ATTAGAAGGGGCCGTCCACAATGAAATATTATTCAACATCAAAATTATTATTATTATTATTCATAAATACTATAGGAGTTTCATTTATGAAAATTGTCTTCTAAACTATATTGATTTAAATTTCTTAATTATTTATGGATAGTTAGAAATAGACAAACAAGCCAAACAATATTATTGAGCTATCAAAAAGAGCTTCAGGATTTCACAAAGTAATTGAGCATTCAATTGGCTTACCAAGGAGGATAAATCAGTTAAAAAGATTTTAACTGGGGTCTTACACCTCCATGCTGTGGACGTCTTAATTTTCGACGCAAAACACAGATTAAATCTATTTATTGAGGGGTTAATTCATGAAGACAGCACAAAATTTTCAATTTTTGACCAAGCCAACACTCCTAAGCCAAAACTGTTAGTTATAGACATGTAACCGGAAACTACTCATCGTAAATTTAGCTAGGATAATTCATCAAAAGGTCGATAATTTGAGTAATTAATAGATTTCATAGTTGAGAAAAGAATATCATACCTCCATTTTAACAGTATTATCCTAATAACAATCAAATTAGTACTCCAATTTCAATATTTTTTCAAGAATTCTATTGGTTAAGCTATCAAATATGTTATATTTAGATACCAGAAAACAAATATCTATTAATATATATAATTATACAAATTTGTGGAAAATAACAGAAAATAAATTTAATAAAAAATGGCTAAACTTTTAATTTCACGAGTATCATATAGAATAAATTTTGGTAAGATTAATAAAAATTCATAACCTTCAGCCTCTTAATTTATTGGAGCAATTATTTAAATGTAAGGGAGAATTTAATCTTCCGAAGCCCTGAACCTATAATTCCTTTAAAACGGTCTATCTATATTAGGGATAGAAACCAGCACATTTTATACATAAAATTCCATGGATGTTTAATTTTTACAAAGTTAAGAGATTAATAAGCATAATATATAATTAAAAGTGAACCTTACATAAAAGGAGATTTTTTTATCAATAAAGTGTACTTAAGTTAAAAATTTAAATTAGAACTTAATTTCTATTGACTTAAAATGACAATACAATAACAGAATTGTTATTCAAATATTATGAATAAATAAATATAGTTATCTAAAACTTCTATCAACTTAATACTAATTTTTATTATTTAAACATATTTTGAAAAACTACAAACCTTATTTATCAAAAAGTATCAAGCTTATAATAAGGATTCAACTATAATTTATCTCCTCCTAAATTTATCAATATTAAGAATATAAGATTGGTGAGTTAGATATATTCAAATTTTGTTTCAATTCAAGATCTGTCACGATAGCAATCAGTAATAAATAATTAAATTAATTATTATTAATTTTTACAGTTAAAACTTAGTTTTTTAATGAGTTTTCCTTAAATTGTTAGAATTCTATAGCTCATATGAAGTGTAAACATTGAGAATTCAAAAAATAGTAAAATTTAAAGAATTGAAACATCTAATTAGAAAAGCGTAATACTTTATATGAAATTAATTAACCAATATTGATTTAACTGAGATGAATTAAATAGAGATCTTTACACAAATAATAATATTCTAATTAAAAAAAATGTGATTCATTTTCTGCTCAAAATTTCACTTTTTCAACAATTAATAGCTAAAGTAACATTAATAGAAATTTTATAGCAAAATATCCTATAAAATTTCTTCTTTAATGTAAAAATATGGTATATTTTTCTTTAAAATAAATAGAAAAAACAATTTGATATCAAATCAATAAAATTATTCTGAGTTATATCATCTACTTTTTAGAAAAAATGGATACTTTACACTTTCTTTAAAATGTAGAAAATAATATAAAAATTTTAATATATTAAAAGTTTTAATTTATCAATAATATAATGTCTTGCTTTTGCATTGTTTAATTTTAAGTTGCTCCTTTTATTTCTTAGTATTTTCGATTCGAGTCTGCTGTTAATGATTTTCAATTATTTAATAAACACATTCATCTTCTTCATTTTCGTTTTCTTAGATAGTTGACATTCTTGCTTATGATAAATCCATGGAATTATAATTGTTAGTTGAATCTGAGGGATGATCAGGATGTTGTTAAGGATCAAATACCTTAATATTATCTAGACTGTCTAGAATGTTCTGATCGTTAAAGAGTTCAATAGGAGAACCTTCTTGTTATTTGTTATTATTATTTGAAGAACATTTAGAGAGTTTTGAGTTTTGTAAACTTTATTGCAAACTTTTGATATATTTAATTTAAATATTAGTAATATCGTTTAAAGGATTGTGTGATTAAGTTGAATAATCTCTATCTATTAGATAGTTATTTTTCATAATTTTGATATTTTAATCCATATTATGAGATTGATTATCGGTTAGAAAGGGTTTAGGAATTTATGAATGATTAATCATTTAGTTTTCAGTATCATTTGCATAAGAAGATTATAGTTTATCAGTTATAAGTTTGCTGTTAGTTATATTAATTTAAAATATTTATGCTCTAAGCTTTTCTAATTAATTATTGATAGTTTCAAGTTCGTTTTTATTATTATTTTATAATCTAGTTGAAAGGTCTTTAATTTATTTATTAATAAAGTTTGAAAGTTTTTCTTCTAACTAAGTTTGCAATTACAGAAATTATGAGGATGCATTTTGCTGATATTGGGTTTAATTTAAAATAATTTACTACAAAAATTCTATTTGTTTATTTTGATGATCTAATACTTTGAATATTTCTGATTTTTAGGTCTTAATAACAGTATCAATATATGAGTAGACTTAATTGATATCATTTTTTTAAATCAAAGATTAGGTTTAATGTTAAAACAATGATTCAAGTTAGTATTGATTGAGTATTTAATCTTTGGATTGATTGGATTAGGTACTTTCTCTTTCTTTGGACACTTATCGCGAATTGTTTTCATAGGAATTGTAAGTATTTTGTTTATGATGGTTTTATGATATGATCTAGACATAGGGAGTAATATTATTGGTGGGAGTGATTTATTTTAGTTATAATTTAATTTAATTTTATTCTAACTGATTAATGAATTAATACATTAGACATTAACATTAACATTTCTATAAAGTGGACTGGAGGATGCAGGAGATAACCTTCTTGGTTAATACATTCAGGTAAATAATTAATTTTAATTTTGAAAAATAATTGTTAAAAATTAAAATATGAAATACTATATTAATGGGTTATTAATATAAGGTGTTAACCGAAGTTTAATAAAACTTATAAGCAGAATAATTTTATTACTTAAAACAATATTAATAAGAAAATTAAAGAATACTAATTTAGAGATTAAATTGTTCGATATTTGATTTCGTCAGTGATTGCACAACAATGGAATCATGTTTTAAAATAATTAATATTATTGAATAGTGATTATATACATTAATTAATCATTTTTTTGATTGGCTGTGTTTATTGTTTATTGATGCGTAATATTTATTTGAATTGATTACTTTATTTTATGATATTTATCATTACGAACATAATTACGCAATTTTGAAATTAGTCTCAGATATTGTAAGATAATTACAATTATTTTAATTATTAAATGCTTGTGCATGAATAAAGTATATAAAATGATTCTGCTGATTTGAAATAGTTGACATATGATGAAGCATTAACCCAAGTTGGAGGTGCTGGATTATATTAAAAAAGAGCATTTTTAATATTTGGATTGCAGTGGTTGATTACTAAGTATGTTACAGAATTCCACATTTTAGTTGGATATTGTTTTCACCTGTTTTCTTTTTTATTGAACCTACGATTGATTGTAAGGATAATGCGGAATGTCTGAGCTAATGTACTTCTGACTCCTTAGATGACAAGTGTCTTACTTATGTTTGCGTACAATATTTGATCAATTTAGGATGACTCTTAACGAAGAGAATTTGTTGTTGGTGAATCATTAAATACAGCTTTCAATGCTTTATTACCTTGTAACAAATCTTTGCAATCCATAATTAAATCTATTGTTTACATTGGATCCTTGTCTGGATTTTTTGTATTCTCTTTTATAGCTGATAATTATGGCCGTAAGTTGGCATTATCGATTTCTTGGGGTATGACTACTTTGGGATCATTGTTGCTTGCTGTATTTTAGTACATTATATTTAAGTTTGCCATGAATTATTCAATGATTGCTATAGGAATATTTTTATTAGGTTTTGGAGGTAATCCAGCAATAACAGTGCATTATTCATTTATAAATGAACACTCATGTAAATACATCATTAATTATTATATAGAGGGACATTTTAGAGAAATATAAAATGTTGGAGTTTAGGTGTTCTTTGCCATTGGTGAATTCACTATAATAACTTTGGCATATTTTGTGTCTAAGTGGAGATGGTTGGCCATTTCAGTTGCGCTGCCTACTGTTTTATTAAACTTGTGTAATTTTTGGATTTTTGAATCTCCTCAATTTCTATACTCAAAAAATAAGAAGAAATGTGTCAAGATTCTTAATTAGATTGCAAAAATAAATGGCACCGAACCTCTAGCAATTAATGATTTGGCTTCTAATCCATAAAGTAAAGAGAACAATTCCAGAGTTTATACAATCTGGGATTTATTGAAATATAAATCTCTTAGATTTGTATTTCTAGCTGGAGTGATGATGTTCTTTGCAATTTAAGTTACATATTATGGGATTAGTTTTGTGAGTGATTAATTAGGCCTTGATTTCTTCTTAAGTAATTTCATTATCGCCTTCTTTGAACTCTTAGCCTATGCAACAACAGGTATATTATCTTCTTATTGTTAGATTTGTTTATTACTAAATTAAAAAGAAAGAAGAACATTATAGGAGGATTCTTTATTGTAGGAATTATGAGTCTCTATTTCATCTTCAAAAGTGATCACATTGTATTCAGAATCTTTCAAGGAGTATTGGCAGGAGTATAATCTTAATATTATTCAATTAGTTGATGAGATTTCTAATTTGTGTAGTATGGGCCTTGGCATATGTATATGTGTCTGAACTGTTTCCTTCAGTTGTGAGATCTTTAGCTTTGTGCTTGATATCTGCTGGAGGTTCAATTGGTAGCATTGCACAAGCTTTTCTTATAAATATTTGTGCTACTCTCAATATTCATCCTATGGTTGCATTTGGATTAATTGGGTTTTTGTGTTCTTTGCTTTTGTTCCCTTTAAGAGAGACTTTACATTAACCATTGTTAGAAAAGATTGAAGAGGATGATAATAGAATTAGAAAGAGTATGCTACACATCAATGAATCAGAGGAGATCACAACATCAATTCCTGTTCTTGATAACAAAGAAGAATGATTATTTAATATTTCTATTTTTTAATCGTAAATAATGGGTATTTTAATATTTCCCTCTTTTGTATATCTCTTTTAATATTATTGGAATCATGTTATTTAATCTCCAAAACTAGAACTTGGGAATTATTTTAGATTATTTCAATATTTCAATTAAGGGGTAGTTACATAAGAGAAGGAGAAGAATGTCTTTGACTTAAGATAATGGCCATAATATGCTAAATTTAAAATATGTTAATCAAAAACCTATTTAGGTAGTCCTTTTTTGAGTTCATTAAATTATTTTTATATCTAATTATTCTATGAATTAAAATTTAAATTAATAAAAAATTCTGTTAAATAATTAATAAATATTATAATTCAAAGAAATGAATGACAATGTATAAACTAGAGTAACAGGGATTTTCGAGAAATTGAATAACATTTAAAATTAGGTTTAGGATGAGTATTAATTAATTCTCATTAATAAATTATAGAAAAAATAGCAGATTTTCCATTATTGCCTAGTTGATTGGCCAGTTTGAATCTAATTTAAGAAATGCATCTTAACAAAAAGAAGCAATCTTTAGTTAATTGGCAAATAAATTTAAAGAATTACAAGTATTCTTGGAAAGTGAAAATGATAAGTATTAATAATTTGAAATTTAGTCGAGTGAGATAAGAATAGGAAACTTAAAAAATGATTGTTGATTTAGAAAGACATGCTAAAAGGTTATTGGAAACTAGTTAAAAGGAAAGAGTAGATTAGGAAAAGAAATTGACTTATGCAATTAGTTAATAAATAGATTTCATATCCTAAGATGTTAATCGATAAGGAATTGAACTTTTAGAATCACATAAATATGTGGATATTTATTTAAATGAAGACTTACCTAAAATTGCTGATGATCTTTAGAATGAAATTGACGAAAGAAGAGAAGTTGAAGAAAGGATATACCATCAATTTATGGAGTAAATCTCAGACCTAAGAGAATTATTTGATAGGTATTATCAAACTAATGATCATTATAGAGAGAGAAAAGAAAGAGAGGCCAAAGAGGAAGACATCGTTGAAAGTTTAAGAGAAGTGTAATTTAGAATTACTGAATTATTGAAGCGAAATAGAAAAGAAAGAGAAACGACGGAATAAGAAATGGTGTCTTTAGTTGAAACTGTAATTGAAAAAATAAAGATTGAAATGTTAGAAATGAATATGTGAGGTTTATTCGTTGAATAAATGATATATTCTTTAATATCTATCAATAATTTCATCTTCCAGACCATGAAGCAACTTATTTCTTGAACATGATGATAACCTCATCCAAAATGGCATTCTCTTCATTTCTCTTAGCCTTTGCTTCTTCATAATCAGCTCTCTTGGATTCTAAATCAGATTAGGCTTAATCTAATGCATCTTGGGATTCCTATAAAATAATCTTAGATTTAGCTTATTAGGCCAAGGCAGCTTGAATTTACTAATTTAATGTATAATTTATACAGTAGCAGTTCTGTCAGCAAATACTTATTTTCTTTCATATTCTACTTCCAAACTTGTTATTTCAGCTTCAGACAATGAAACCCATCCAGCTAATTCCCAGGATGCGTTGATTTCATTCTATTTCAAATTCTCTAATGATGCTTCTAATTCACTTTACAATCCTTCAAGGACAGCCAAGACTTTTTCAGCCAATGTTGATCCATTTCCAGATTGTTATTCCTTGAATATTTAAATAATTTACTTATTCTTCTGTAGCCAAAGCTAAAAATGATTTTATTTGATGTTCTTAGAACATATTGCTATATTATTTTAATTTTTCAGCAACTGATTAAGCTTGAACTTGTGTAAATTCGAAAGAATCTCCATTTATAATATAACCAGCAACATCTTATTTAAGAAGTTTGATGACTTCAAGGGCTTCTTGATTGTGTTTAATTGATTTCACAAATAATTGATTGCTAAAGCATTAATTGTCTTGTAATGTTTCAATTTTAGCTGCAATAGAGTCTCTTCTTGCTTCATTCCAAGCCAAATAATTTTTGGTTTATTATAAGACTTATTCATATTCAGCTCTATTTTCAACTGCTTGTTAGAATAGTTTTTAATTCAAGGCTTTGATTTTAGTGAATTATTCAATTGTTCTAATATTTAAATAATTATATATACTAGGCACCAATCCATTCGTCTGTCTCATTCTTTTAGTCTGCAGCAAATTAAGCATCAATATTTGATTATTTCAAATCATTCAACAATCCAAACACTGTATCAATAGCATCACTTGCTTTTGTTCCTGTCTATTCGAATATTTGAGTTCAACTTACTTATAAAAGTGCTAAGATTTGATCTTAAGTTTTCGAAGCATAACTTGTAGCTGCTAAGGCTAACAATACCACAATCATGTATTTCATTTCTGATAAACTTATTATTAAAAACGATTTATATCAAAAACGAATTAATCCTAAATTCTATAATTATTTTCTAAATTCAATATTATTCATAATTGATATTTTCAGACCTTCCATTCATGTTTTGATATAATCTAATTCAATCACCATATTTTTGAATATTTATTTAAAGCTATTATTTATTTTATAAGAATTATTTAAATTGTTTTACTTCTTAACTTCAAACTCTAAACCAGTTAATAGATTAATTGTATTTGTTATCAAACTTAAAACGTTTAATTAAATGCAATTATAATAATTCAATAAGGCTAATAAAAATGATGTAATATTTTTTTGTGTTCCCTTGTTTTTGGATGTATTCATCATAAATTAGAGATACAAAATAAGAATAAAACTTTATGTGAAGTTGAAAATAACAGAAATTAATTATTTTCATTAATTGTGCTTTTTTATTAATAAATATTATTTATTTTATCAATATTTATAAAAAAATACAAAACTCAAGTAATATAAATTTTAAATCATTCAAATTAACAAATAATTAATTCATAATATAAAACACTAAATCTTAATTAACTATTATAATGAATCAAAACGATCTATATCAAATTGAAGGATTAAACTTCACCAAAGGCAGAAAGACTCAAATTTACATTCTACAAGAGCCCTTAGGATTCAAGCTACTAGTATTTATTAACCTCAATATATAGGACCCTTTGAATTTAAGTTTCAAATTATTGGTTTATTGGAGCGATGAGAGTGTATTATTGGATTGGAATGATTACATTGAAGGAATTTGCTCTAATGAATTATACTTTAGACTCTTTTATTAAGGGGAAGAATACAAAATTCAGGGTTCTGCTGAATAACTGGACGAGTTGTATGATTTTTGTTCTGGAAAGTTCATTTATAAAAAAAGTAATATCTTTATAAAGAATTCGGTTATATAGACTAATGCACAATATGAAGTATATAAATATATTAAGCTAAGCTGAATTTAGTAATGAATGTCAAAGAAAATAAACAGTACATTGAGAAAAGAATATTTTCCAGCTTAATTTCTTAAAGGTTGGAGATGTCGAACTCATTTAACACTCAACTAGGTCAAGACAGCATACCAGAGGAAGTGAGGATCATCTAATTATTGAATGCTTAGAATTGTCCTTACATAATGAAAATTTAATCAATCACATATGATGGTGATTACTATTCTTTAATCTACACAAACAAAAATTTAATATCTTTAAGGTAGATTTTAAAAATGCAAAAAATGGGCTTGCCTCTCTCTTTCGTAATTGAGATTTTGGAACAATTGCTAATCGGTATGGAATAATTCTAATGTTAGTGTTAAACATTTTCCAAGAGCTTCAAATTATTCATAATGGAATTAATTTGGATATGATTAATTATTCTCTGGAATCCAACTCTATTGTAGTTAGTAATTTCTCATCCTCCACTTTTGAATGCAATAAAGGAAGGCCTATGTATATATATCTCATTAGTTTAGAAAGGGAAATACTATAGGATTTATTCCTCCCGAGTATTTAAATAAATACCTAATCTCGCCATAAGCCAATATTTTCTAACTAGGCACTTTGTTATATCATCTGTAATTGTATTGTTCATATCTAAGGTTATTCAATCAAAATCCTTTTGGAAATGACCCATAAACATAACTTCAAAACAACATTTCAGGAAAATATAACATCCTAAATACAAATATTGATAAGGATATCATCGATTTACTTAAATCTATGATGCAAATAAATCCTTAAAAGAGAAAAACCCCTAAGGAGTATTTGTGCTCAAAGATTTTTAAACCTTAATATCGATCTAAGATTTCTAAAAACTCATTCTTATCATTTCTTCAAGAGAATCGTCTTTCGAAAATCTTTGAATTTGAAGTTGAGAATGAAAATCCCACCATACAAAACATTAAATCTCTTTCTATAAATAAAAAAAAGAATTGATATTTGATATATAATTTGTGTTAGAAAGTAGTAATATACCAAAACTTAATATCCATTAGGCTAACTTTATAGATACAGGTATGACATCAATATCTTTTCTTTCAAGAAATGGCTGGATTTATTATAATTTTTGATAACTAAAAAACAATTATTAGTATATTTTATTATGTAATTAGGTTGAAAGGATAATGGATATAGGTTAAAAGTAAAGAAGAAATTAGGGTGAATTCACTAAACTTATATTGATAGAGCTAATCAACAATTATAAATGATGAGACATTATTATTTGAAATTGCAATTTAATTTATATGCAATTAGTATAATTAGGTAATTTATTATTTAAATTTAATATAAATGATATATTCAAGATAAAAACACCTTTTCTATTTCAATATGGGTATTAATAATTCAAATCAAATATAATTTATTGATATCCCTTTCTATACTTCTTTAATAGTGTATCCATCCATTGTTGAATATATTCCTCCATCATCAATCATATATATTTACATTAAAATAACATTCAAATTTTTCTTTATTTCTCAAATAATGTACACCAACTCCATGCACCTTAACGTAAAAAAGTACCTCCTCAATTGGATCAATAATTAATTACATATTCCAACCAAAAATTATTCATTCCTCTGTCATCTTAATATTCAAAAAGGACCATCAATTTTGATTAGAAATTGATTAATTTGACCTGTCCATGATATTAATTAGCAACCTCATCGCCAGAATAAAATAAATTGTCATTTTAATATGTTAAAATTCCATATAATTCTCTTGTGGCAGATTCAAATCCTAAGCCTCTTGTATATATATCTATCTGAATATTGAAGTGCAAAATCCTACAACTATTGCCCTTATTCTTTAATATTAGATATTTATTCCTATTCATTAATATTAGGAAATTAATTTGCCCAGTATCATTAATATTAGATATGTAGTTTACCTATTATTTCTATTATTTTGGTACTTCTGGGTGTAAGTTCTTTACTTTAAATCTCTTGTTATATCAAAAGCATTTTAAAACTTCTTTTCTAAATCATCGTCTTAGAACAATACTATTCAAGTATAAATTATTATTGGTATTATCATAATCCAAATGGTCGATCTCATGTAACTTTTAGAGGTTCTAATCTAATTATTGAGATTAGATGTATTGCGATTATGGTCATTTTTTGGTGGTGATTAATACAAAGAGGAATATGGTTATTTAACATTTCTTGTAAGTACTTATTATGAAATGGTTGTTCTATATTACTATGTGATACTTGAAAGATATTACAGATTATTATGGGGTATTTTACAATTAAGCAGAGCAAGCTGGACTTGATGAGCCTGCTTGATGGAGTGATGATGAATTTTATTAATATCAAGATCTTTGAGTTTGAGTTGGCGATGCTATAGACACTTTTTGTCACGAAGAGGGTTATTAATAACATAGTGGTTAATAATAACCCTAAAGGAATCAATAAACTCACAAATTAACCTAAGGAACTGTGGAAGGAGATTAACATGGCAGTACGAATTGAACAGTTTGAGGAGGATGAGTTCCTTGGATATTTCTTTAAATTCTTAATTATGATGTCAAGGGGTATTGATATTTGATTTTGATGCGAATTTAATTTTATTATTGCCTTTTATGAATTAAAATATGATTCCAAATTACATAAACCAATTTATTTTAATATAATCAAAACCCGTAGTCAAAGCATTCTTTTGTTTATAATCCATTTTTGATGATCTCTTATTTCTTACCTGCGAATGGAATTCTGTGCAACCAATCAGATGGAACTCCCTTATAATTTTTAGGATTCAATTCTATAGGGTCCAATGATTACAAATAATTTGGAGGTGGATTTCTATTGATTAATATTAATTGTACTTGTCATCAAACGATTTCACCTCCTATAGATCAACAGTTATTTAATTCTTTTACTCTTATTTAGGTGATTGTTTCAATAATGAAGGATTTATCTCGTTCACTTTGCAAGTCAATCGATTAGCCTTTTCCTTCTTCTATTTCAATTCTTCTATAAACTTGTTGCTTGCCTTATCAGGAATGGCTAATTAATCATCAACTTTTAAATTTGATTCTGATTACATTTAAACTTTCTTATCTAGTTTCTTCTTAGAATCCTTTGTTTTCTCATCATTGTTAATTTTTAAATTATTCTCATTTTATGACTTTTAGTTTCTATTCTCCAAAGCTGATTATGGCCTCTTAATCTTTTATTGACTCTTCTTATTCTCTTATGGAATTTATTCACCTTAAACACTCCCTGCTTCAGAAGCAAACCTTAGAGTGTTACTCAAATCAGGTTTCTTAATACTGAACTCAGGTATAGTTTATTTACCTTTTGAATCTAATTACTTTTTTAAGTCTTAATAAGGCTATGGAGTCAACGGATTCCTTGATTTTAAAGCTTCCACTTATTCTGGATTTAATCTATCCTCTTCTCTGCAATTCCGAGGGGGTTCTGGTTCCACATTAGCAACTGCAGCTCCTTTCCTTAATGCATTCTAATATGTTTATATGTAATATGGATCATTCTTATTTCTATGAGGTTAAACATTGTGCGATAATAGATGTTGCCCATATATTACTCCTCCAACTGTAGGATTGATATTATTATATCCATAGGGACCCCATGCTGGTTTACCAAAATATGTTGTAAATGCTGAATCTGCTATCCAACGTGTCTCACCTTTAAACTTCTTAATCCTTTCCTATCTTCTTTTCAATTTTTCAGCATCTTCAGGGTTATTTGGATCTAAAGTCTTTGCTTTCTTGATGAATTTGGTTGTCATCTTTTTCACCTAATCATCGTTCTATTAATTATGAACTTCTTCTTCTTCTTCAGAACTTACTACATCTTCTTCTCCCTTTTTAGATTCCTCATAATAAAATCCACCTTATGGATGCACTACTTTATATTGTCCTTTAAAATTTTGATTATTTTGTTCTAATTAATAGATAAGTTCGTTTTAATCCTTTATATCTTTCACTTAATAGTTATCCCTATATGCAGATTATTGTTTTGGATTCCATTTTAAGGGCAATTTATATTGATTATCTAAATCTTCTTATTATTAATATTAAGGTTAATTTGCTTTTTATACCTTACTATTTTAACATTCACAAGATTTAGCAATGTTTTTGATGGTTTTTTCATCTAATTCTATATATGTTGTTAATGTTTAATTTACTTTACACATAAATTTAAGAATCATCAACCTTTAATTTTTCAATCTTTCTAAAATTATCTTTATTTTCAGTTTGCCAATGTTAATTCTCATGATTGATTCTTGCAGTAACCTTTTTAGTCTCTGGTTCTCTTTCGACTTGGATTTTCTTCTTAAAATCCCAAGGTTCATCCTATTGTAGAGGCCATTTCATAATGTCAAACATATTAGGTTCTTCATTTCTTGGTTTATTCTTTTTACCAAATGTTTTATTATCGTCTTAATATAATGATTCTATACTTTCATATACTTATTTGAGCACTTAATGTTTACTTTTCATATGACTGTTAAATTGATATTTAAAAATAAATAAAAAATTTGATATTACTATTATATATAAAACTGTTAAGAAAACAAAATAGTTCATCATTATTCAACATCATCGTCACTCTATTGTTTGACTTCATTATCTATCTATTATTAAATTTAGCTCTCCACAATTTCATTTTGTCTTAAAGTTTCTATTTATGATTCCTCATTTAGTTAAGGGATTTCGGGCAATTCTTATTTGTTCTAATTCTTTTCATCTTGTTATTGTTATTTTTCTTCTTATTATATAAGTTCCTTTAAGGTAGATACTTCTTCTTAATTTATTAAATAATTGATTTTTTCTAATTCAGAAGCATCAATTGATTTATTTTTGGCACTAGGATTAAACATATATAACTACTTAAGAATTGGTAATAACTATGTTTTTTCCTTTTTTTTGCAGGATAGTGAACTATTATTTGTTGTATCGCGATTGGAAAGAGTCAAATTATTTCTAAAATAAATATAAGATTACCTAATTGAATTAACATATTGTTAACATTATTGATATCTTTAAAGTCTTTACATCAATCTTTTGTTTTCAGTATATTAATGAGAATACTCATCCAATTTTAGGACTGGTTCTTGTTTCATAAGTCTATCAGCTAATTTAATGTTTTCATTTTAAATTTATTGAGCTTGTATTTTGCGAAAAGTTAAATTTAAATTATGAGGGTGATGCAGATTTTCATCTTCATATTTATAGTAATCTTATTACATTGGCCTATTGCAGATTTCTGTTATTTTATAATATAATTAACTGTTTCCCTTATTGATTCGTTCTGATTGTTCTAAATTTATTAAAATCTTCATGAAAACATACCACTGAGATCGAAACGCCTTCTTTATTGTCTCATAGAATTTCTCTTTTCCAAGATTTCAATATGTTAGACTCTTGATTATGAATGTGATTTTTTGCTTTTAATTTCATTCAATTTTTTCAAATGAATATCATAAGATCTAATAAATGTATAAATGTTGGATTACTTTTCTCTGGAAAATATTTAGTCTAATTTATAATTATAATTGTATTAATGATTAGTTCTCATTAATTAAAATAAATAATTAATATAATGTCACAACCGTCCGAGACTAAACAATCAATTCATAGTGGCAGAATGGTACTCCATCCGTCCTTGAAGTTAGATAAATCAGCAGCTTTTTTCAAAAGCACAAAAGTTAGTTCATGTTCTTATGTGAGAATGAAATAAGGAAATCCTGAAGTAATATCCATAATATCAAAGGCTGTTCCATTCTATGAAATTGCAAACAAGACTCCAGCAGAACACGAAACAAAATCCACATACACTACATCAACATATGCGTAAAATCTTCATTTTTATATAAGTGATGATTATAAAGTCAAACCTTATTTACATGTTGGTTCAACTAATAAATTATTGGAACCCTATCACACAGGTTCATTCAGATCCAGATTACCTGAACCTGATGCTCCAATTCTCACTAAAAATGCATCTCAAGTAGAATTAGGAGATAGACAGTATGCAGTGATAATTAATTTAGTTTCAATGTGAAGAGACACTTTTTAAGCACAGCACATAATGTTTATGGAAATTTTGGTAAATTTGGAAATGTCACAAATCCAGGAATCCTATCAGAGAAAACCAAATGGCATCACCATTTATAATAAAAATGATAAGATAATATGTATAATCATTAATTAATATCATCATCATTATCTTTAGGGTTGCATTCTGGAATATAGACATTCAATTTTAATGTATCAAGATTAAGCATAGTTTTAGGATCTACTTCTGGTTATTTCTATTCTCTTTATTATTATTTCTGTTTCTCATTTTCTCTTGAATTACTCACAGTCTTTTTTGGTTGTTTCCTATTTTTGTTGCTATTTTCAATTTTATCAATATCCAATTATTCTATTTAATTATCTTTATTTTCCCTTGTCTAATTGGTTTTCTTTTTAGATTTCTTACTATTAACGCTTTCTTTTTATTCTTCTACTTACTCTTCCTTTTCTTCTTCTTATTCTTGATCATCTTCTGGATTTTATTGTTCCAACCCAAAACTAAATAAAAACTTTCTTAATTTGAAATTCTTCTTATCAGCCTTAGTGTTTTCTGGTAGGTCTACAGAATTTGGATCATATCTTTTGACATCGTTTGATTTCTCTTCAGATGTTAGTTTACTACTATCAATTTTGGTTAATCTGTGCTTTTTCTAATTCTTTGATGTTGATTACTTCGGTAGGGATGGTTCAATTTATTTTTCATTTGATTATTCTGAATCAGCTTTTTATTTCTTTCTTGACTCTTTAGGTATTGATTTATATTCTGATTCAGAATCAGATTAATGTTTCTTCTTTTTTGTTGTTTTCTTCTTCTTCTTTTTGGCTACCTACTCTTTAGTTTATGGGAGTTCTTGTTCTCCAAAAACATCATCAAAATTTTGATCATAATTAGTGAGGAAATCCTAGAGTGTCAGTTTTGCCAATGGTTTCTTTTTTAGTGATTTGGAGTTTGATGGTAAGGAGGAAAATAAGGATGTTTGAAATAAGGCTTGATTTTCAGAGGATTTCTTCTAGGTTTCTTCTTATTCTGACTCTGAACCGTCCTCAATATTAAATTTCTATTTGAGCTAATTAATATTAAACATACAGGAGTGGTCATATATTTTTGTATTATATATTACAATAATTTTCAGGATTTTATAAGTGATCCTTTATTTATTTATTTTATTTATGTAAATTATAGGTGAGTAGAATTATGATACATTTATTAATAAATTAATGAATTTATAGAATCCAAATAAATTAAAATGGTAACAATAATACATTCGAAAATACAGAGGTCTGTTGGGAATATCAAAGTATTTTGATAACGAAGACAATTAGTCTTAGGGTTTCAGAAGTTCAACCGATAGCCAATCACATAACTCCAGTTTATTTGGATCACATAGATAGAGCATCAAAAATGAGATCAAGGTCTACGAAATGCAATGATGAGAGTTTCCAAAGCAAAAATAGTTCTTGTAGTGTTAATAGAAAACTATCAGAAATGAACTCTACCAAAATATATTCAGCTGCTGAAATGAACAAAATAATCAAACATGCCAAGCTTTGTGGGTTGCTAAATAATAATCCATAAGTATCTCTATATTAATAATAGCATTAATCATTATTAGAATAAAATCTATGGAACAACATTATCAATCTAAATTAAGTCAGAAAAGAAGAGATATTAATATACAAAGATTGATTTAGGAATAGAAAAGTCTCTATTAAATACACAACATATAAGCAGTTGACGCAACATTGTCAAATAGTAGGATTTGATATCTCTTTTATCTGAATAACTATATTATGAGTACAGTGAATTCTAAAATACAATATTAATATAAATTTAACATGACAAAATACATGAAAACCATATATGAGAATTTTCAGTCTCAACCATCGCTTAAAATTGAAGTCAAAAATTATCTGGATGATTTCTTCAATAATAATAATTATGATTCGCATATTAAAAAACCAATTAAAAAAATTAAAGAAAGTAAATTATATCAGTTAGTAAACTTTACTGCTTATGTTGAAAAATTATATGGCACAGATTGATTTCATACTCAATAAGGTGACTTCGTAGATAAATACTATTCAAGAACTCTTTGATACTCTAGAATGATTTTAATTAAACTATTTTATATTTTATATTTCATATCAATATCTTCATCCTGTATAATTATGAAGAAGTCTTCTTCTCAAAGGATATTAGTTACATAAGATGAGTTCTTAAGAATTCAATCTTATGCCAATAAATCAATTTAACCTCATTCCAAAGCCAGAATCAAACAAAAACCAAAACCAGAATAATGTCAATTCAAACCAGAAGTATTAATACATTTACCTCTAGATTAACAAATAATCAATCAATTTATAGAGAACAATAAGTGATCTCTACAGATGGAATCAAAATAAAATGCAAAAAATACACCAAATAAAAGAAGAAGAAGTATTCATCCATCAATTATCTAGACTCGAGAAATCTAAAATAATGCCAATAGATTGACTCATGAAGTCACTTCTTCATCTGTCTTTGAAAGACTTTATCAAATCAGAAAAAGTAGCGCCTTCACTCTATGTAATTATCCACATTAAGTTAGAATAATCAAAAAGAAATACCCATAGCGATTAACCGTATTATACTAAAAATATGACCAAATCGATGTATTAGGATTATCAAAGATAATTTTAACTTGTGGATACAACCTAATCTAAATCCAAAACCTAAGCAACTGAAAATTCTCAAATACAAACTCCAATTTAACATGCCCTTGATTAAGAATTACCTCAGTCCATTAATAATGTAAATATCTACATTTATATTTCACAGATGAAAATATCCCTTCCTATACATCAATATTTTGATCTTACTCAATAAATGCAGGGTTCATCTGATTCATTAGCCCAGTCCAACTTTTAAGAGAAGGACATAGAAGTCATGGTTGAAAGGTATTAGCATTCTAATCTAGATTAAATAACTGGTAAGCCAAAAAACTAGAAAGAGAATAATTAATTGCTTAAGAATACAATAATTAATAAGCATAAATCTCTGGCCATTCGTACAACTAACCAAAGTCGTATTCGAACATGTTTTTAAATATTTGATTTATTTTATCATTTGTTACTATTATATAATCTAACTAATTATGATCTATTAATATAACAATTAGATTAATATCAATATCAAATATTCACTAACAACACTAGAGAAATGATTGAATTCTATAATAATGTATTAGATTCAATTATTCTATTGTTATTAGTATCTCCGTATTAATAACTACAGTATTTAATAATAAATAGAATATTTTAAGTATTCTATACATTCTATTATCTAAATTATTATATATTCAAACGAATCAATATCTCCTTTTGTTATAGTATTGGATCCATTTATTATACTTTAGATAATCCTTGTAATTTTGATTATATTTAACTTTGTTATGAAGATTTATAGATCAGATAAATTGAAGAAAATTGCTAAATCGCTAGCAATTCAATTTTATTTATTAATTTATTATACATTTAATGTTAGGGAGGATACTTTAATTTCGATAACTAATTTTCACTCAATATAATCCAAATTTTAAGATATCAAACAAAGATTATTTGAAATAAAACGTAAATAAATTTTAATAATAGAATGATGACTTAAATTTGGGTAAATATAATAATTAGATGTCTAAGAAAAGTTATACAAAATCAAAACGAAATTATGTTAGAGAATTTAAATAGTATTCAATATATGAAATTAAAAATATCAAGCTTGGTGTATGAAAGTAGGGCTTCTTTTATGTTATTTTTAGAACTAAGTTAGATATAATGTAATAATACATCTCTTATAAATTGTGTCAAATGTTTTGATTATCTGATCATATTATTGTATTATGATTGTTTTTATCGATATTATTCTTAGATATATTATTCTTGAATATACTCCTGAGTTTCTGCTTGCAAATCAGTAAATCTCTTGTTTGGAGGGATAAACCACTTATTATATTGATTGGGTCGTTTAGGTGATGGTCGTTTGTCAGTCTTGATCTTCAATTATAATTCACTCTAAGATTTAGGCAAGCTGTGCAAACTATAAAGCGAACTGGCTCTCCTATGTTTATATTTGTTATCAGGTTGAGTGGTTTCATGCTAAGGAGTTGAATCATTGGCATTTGTATGAACAATCTTATCGATCCATCTGTGTTCATCAAAATTGCTAATCTTTTGTTTAGGAATGAGAACAGGGGGCAGGATAGTTAATTATTTAGATTTTAATCTAGAAATCAATTTAGCATGAATTGATTCAGAATTATTCTCATTTTAATTCATATAAAATGTTATTATTAAATAAAATTTGAATAGAACAATTAATTTATCACTCAATATATTAAGTTAAAAATTTTGATTGATGATTTAAGTGCTTAATTAAAGATGTCTTTCTAAATTAAGTAATTGGAGGCTATGTATTCTTTGTGTTTAGATTGAGAATGATATTGAAATGTTACTATATATATTAACTATTGAGATATATTCAATAATGTATAGTACTTTGATATTAATGAAGAGTAATTTGTACTTTAGTATTAGATGTATAGTAATTAATTTTTATAAAATTAAATAAAATGGTTATTAAAAAGGCCTTTGAAGATTTTTATCGAGAACACTTTCTGATAATAAGAGATAGCTTTTATAGGAATCAGTATTTTAGTTTTGGATTGATATTGTTTTAAACCTTTTAGTTATAGGGGATATTTCTCAGTGAAAATAATTTTGAACCGTAAAAACATGAAAAAAAGAGAGGAGTAATGGATGCGATAATTTGGATTTTAAAATCATCAAAGTAAGCATTTGATTAGAATATTAGGATATATCCTTTATTTCAAAATGAAACAAACCTAAGTCAAATATATTTTATAGATGTCTGTTTCTTAATTATTCTAATTGTGATTTCTCTTTTAAATTTAATTGTTGTATTTAAGAAGAATAGTTAATAGAAGTAGACAAATTAGAAAATAAATGGATTATTTTCTTTAAAATTTTCAGATTTCCCCATTCAAGTATATAGATTAATAAGAATAGTTGTAAACTAAATAATATTTTCATGTAAATTTTATCAAATTCATTACTAATGCATTGTCGTTCTTTTTGTAAACTTATAAATATGTGCTCCATTGGATGACCATTTATTGCTCATTAAATATTTTTTACAACTATATTGCAGATGATCAATAAGCAAATCAAAGTAAGATGAAATCTTAAATTAGATTGGATTTATACATAAGGTATGATCGCATCAATATTTGTGTTTTTATTTTTTCTAATCCTTGATATCTTTATGATGTTTCATTGTTTTGATTATAAATTTAAAAACAAAGACTTTTTGGGAAGAAAAGTAACTGGATTTAAATTGTTATAAAACATATACATTTATGCATGTATACTCATAATTATATTTACTAAACAACAATACCCAAATCTGCAATTACTATTAGGACTTTTTTGTAATTTGTTTTTTTTACTGTTAAGTACTCTATAAATTTTATTTAGAAGACAATAAATTAATGCTTTTTAGTCATTTATATTGGGTCAATTTATATTTATTTACATTGGGTAGATTTGTTACATTAATAATTTATTCTCAATAGATTTCATTAATTTATTGGTTCTCATCTCATCTCCTATTGTATTTGCAGTCTAAATAATCATCAGACGAGAATAGTTTAAGTATCATTTTGCAGTAAGTTTAAAGGATCCGAGGAACTTGGAAGAAAAATTAAGAATAATGTATGATCTGATTAAAATGACTTATTATAAGGATTGGAGAACTTTTAAGAAACCAATTATTAGAACTCACATTTCCCTTTAATTACACAATGTTGCAGCTAATCATTTAAGAAATTGTTCAGGCTATTTGGTAGATGATGGTTAACCTTTACAATACAATCTTTCTAGATAATGTTTTTGTAAACAATACTTTTAGTATAATGAATAAAAATCTCTTACATTTTGGAAAAGAGATTTAGATCATGAAACAGAAAAGAAATTCTTTGCTTTTAAAAGTGAGAAACAATTTAAATAATTTCTGTTCGATTTAATTCGATACTATTTTGAGAGGTTTCTGTAAAATAAATCAATTACGGAGAATAATGAATAGTTTTCTTATATCTATTTCCTATTTTAAATACAAAAGAAACCTACTAAAGCATTTTATGAAGCAATGAACTTAAAATTTAAAGTTAAGAAGCTGAACTAAAAGAGAACCATGATAATTGAATAATTGATTTAAGATGCTAAACATAACTTTAATCAGATGATAGAAAAAAAAGATCTTAAAAATCAGAAGTACAACTTTAAATAAGTTTTTGATTTTGATTCAAATCTTGACACTTCTAAATAAAATTTCTAGATCATCCTTACAAATTATAAGAAATGGTATTATTAACTATTGAATTAATAATTACAATTACAATCAATCATCAAGAAAGGTACTGAATTATAATTACAGATTCAAGTCTTAGAAAAGTAATTATTCTAATTATATTAACTAAATCCAGTTTCAACTGAATTAGACACCATCATCTATTTGTTTTATAAATACTTAAATTTCAACATAAAGAGACCTAAAACAACTAAAAGAAATTCTCCATATGCTAACTAATTTGTCTAGTCTATTAATTAATAAGTATTTCAAAGGGATTCATGCATTATTTATATTTCATTAATGAATCAAAGAGGTTCAATACAAAATTATACAAAATCCTTCAAATCTCTCATTTTGGGGAATGATTAAGATATCAAATATTAGAATATTAAACACTTCATGCCTGATTCTATTGCCTAGTATCATGATATGTACTTAGACAATTTTATTGAATTTGGCAGAATGAACATCGTGATGGCTGAATAAAGATTCTTAATATTAAAAAACAAGGAGTCATTCATCATTCCAGTCTATGCCAAGGTGAGATTGGAAAATTACTCTAATAGCGACTTTGGATCTTCTGCATTAATCACATAAATAAATTAATAGAATTATTATATAGTCATAAGCAAATTTGGGATTTTAGAAGAGATATCATAGAATTTTTATGAAGATATTATCAAGAAAACTTTCAACTGTCCTCCGAATTAATTGAAGAATCTGAATTTCCTTCGAATTATGCCATGTTTATTAAGAGATCTCTAGAAACTTGAATAAACTTACAAAAATAATACTGATATTGATTTTGAATTCTAATAGTAAAGCAAAGACAAAATAAACTATGACATTTTGAAGGAAGGACATATTCTAATACCCAGATAATTTAATCTAAATGAATATATACAATTACTAAGGACTAGCATGACTGGTGATATTCAAACATACTTTTTATCTGAATAATAGAAAAGTCATCTTTACTATTAGAATGTTTAACATTATTTTATCTTTTATGTAAAATACAAAATAAGATTAATGAAGACTATAAATTCATTGCATATAATCTTGGATATCTAGAATCTTAAAATGGTAAAATCGGAACAACAATAAAAGGTGCTGAAAGTGGTTTAGAATCTTTGTCATTTTGAGGGTTAACATATAACTATTCTGCAATAAACTCCAAAGATTAATTATATCCATTAGGATTCTGAATACAAGGAGAACTTATATAAAGAGAATTTTGATTTGTTTAGGAAGTCTCAATCATCTGAATTTTTAGAAAAGAAATACTAAGATGTGGAGTCAAATTTGATAGTAGAAGATGATGTGATGATCAGTTAAAAATAAAGGAATATTGAGGAATATAATCCTTTTTCTAAAAGAGAATAAATATCTTTAACTCTGGATTCAAAATCCAAAGAAAATCAATAATTATTGTAGATGGAATTTGACAATTCAAAATAGTATTAAAGATAAAATAGTTTCTAATTGATATCAAAGAATCAGATAGAAGACATGGATCTTTCTAATAAAAATTCTAAGGATTCAATTGATTCAAGTTCTGATCACAAAAGCAATAATAAAATCGCTATTCATTAGAATGATGGAGGTAGTTCAATTGGTAGTTCTTAATAATAATCAGATTATCTAAGCAAGAGAAGAATGATTAAGGATGTCTTGTACTCAGATCATCAATTCTAAAATAATACAACCAAAAAAGGAATGTTAATCTTTGGATTACTGTTATTAATTATTTTATATGTTCTCAATCTTGTGTTCATAATTATCTCTAGAGATGTATTTTATAGCATTTAAATTAGAAATTAGTATTAATCGAAACAAATAAGCATGTCTCCAAAAACATTGAGTGTTCTTTTAATCTTTTCATACTAACCAATCAATATAAGCAAATATTGAGTTAGAATCAAATAACTTTGGCATGGTATGATTAGATACAAAATGTCTCAATCAATTATTACAAGTAGTATATACAAGTAATTTTGAATGAATAAAATAACATAATAGAACAATCAAGCTTTAATTAATAATGTATATATTGTATATATTTAAGAAAACATCATTTTTACGCAAAACAATCAAACCCTATTATTAGATTAATTGTTCATATTTAAATTAGTTGGTTAATAAATGATTGATTATATAAAAAACGATGAATTAGATGACAATAATAGCATAAAATTCATAATTGATAACTATTTAGTAATTATTAATGATATGCTATCTGAATTTAATTCATCAATTACTACTAACATTAATGAATAAATTGATTTTATTTAAACCTAGCATTAATTAACAATAATTTTATCAGAAGTAACACTAAGTTTATTAGTAATCATATTATTACCTGTATTTTTGGTGATAAATAAGTAAAAGAATACTATCTTATAATTCTTTACAACATTCCCATAATCAGAACTATAACAATAGTTTGATGTTTATCAAATTTTATTGGAGAAATTGGAAGAAACTAAATTTGCTCAATAAGAAACTAATCAATATGACATTGAAAGTGTTCACATTAAAAAGTTTGCCAAAACTATTCGAGGGATAAAGGACTCCAATCATAAAAAATAATAAAATGGAAAATTGAAGACCATAATTGGATCTAGTAAAATTATTATTCTATTTAGATGCCACTCCCTTAATAATCTTCAGTATCTTATTAGTATTACTTTTATTTTCTATTGTATCAGCTTACTTTATTACTTCTTATATGATTCAATTTTAATTTTTAAATGAATATCAAAGTTACTTTTAATAAAATACAATTTATAGTACTCTACAAAATGAAATATTAAAAGAGAATTCCATCGAAAATATTATCATAAATAATTTGATTAGTCAAAACACATTCGAGGTGAATGATGCTTCAAGTAAAGTCATATCATATAAACTAGTCATATAATTGATTCAGTATCAGTAGGACAATTAGAATTAGGCATTAATATATTACTCTTAAGATTTGACAGATAAACTAAATAATGATGCTCAACTATTTGAAATATTATCAAATAACTTTTGTGCTGTTTTTGATAGTCTATTAATATCGCATTTGTCCAATGAGCAATACTTAGATTATTTCTCTTATGAGATCTGTGAATCATTTGGTAATTAGTAATCTGGAGTTAGTGTCACTTTGGCTAATTTTATCACTCAAATGAATTAATTTTATGAGACTCTATCAATATTTTAAAGTAATTTATATTTTTAGTTAATTAGAATAACAGTTAGATCCTTAAGATTTGGATAAGGAAGTGATTTTATTGAGCAATAAAGAGTTACAAGAAATCTTCATTTATTTAACATTTGTGCTTCAAGTAATATCTGATTATGAAGATTATCAATTAAGAGACATAATTGACAATCATTTTGTAACTTAAATAATCATATTTGTGATTGGGGCAAGCTTTGTTTGTGTTTTTACTTTTATAACAGAGAAGTGTTTCAAGAATTTAATTTCAAATTAGATTAATTAATCAAAATTATTATTAACATTAATTCCATTTGAAGTATTATAAACAAATGCTTATGTGATGACGTATGTGTTGCAAGAGTCAAAGAAAATATATTTGTGATGATATTATTTATGTGTTTATTTAAGTTAATAAATAAAAATAAATATTAATTTATATGTTACTAACAATCAAATATTAGAATAGAGTGAAATAATTGAATTTGGATAGAAGAATTAATGTTTAGTCTTTAGAAATATTATTAGGACAATTATTTAGCATAAAGCATAAAATTATTGGATTAATCGATTCAGATGGTAAAACTTAATTAAATAAAGTGTAGGAAATTATGTTGATTTAGTATAATTTATCTAATAATTGAATTACACAAAATGTTACCATTACACTTTGGTAAGTGAAGATGGATCAAATATATTAGATACTACAATATAACAATAAACATCTATAAAACGTAGTTCCATTTCAGATTTCAATAACAAACTTCAATTTATTGATTTCATCTATGACATAGAAGAGTTTCAAAATATCTTGGGAGATGACTAATATTCTTGCATTTATTTAATTCATGAAAAAGATCCATCCGCATTTGATTTTCTAAGTTCTTTAGAACCTTTAATAAACAACCTCAATTGTTGGATCAATTTTTATTATTCTTTCAGTAATAGCATGCTTGATTGGGCAAAAGAACAAGACTATCAAACTAAGACTCTCTGGGTGTACAAGGGATCTAAGAAAATAGTATCAATTTTATTAAATAATGATAAAAAGATGAAGCAAATGGACGAAATTATCCAGAAGCTTGTTCAATCTAAAATTATGGATCCCATGGCTAAGAATTCTAATATCAGATAAACATCTCAATTATCTTCATAATAATCTCCAAACAAAAGAAGAAGTAAATCCATAAGAAAATTGGTTGAAGACTCTCAAATTTATAGCAATCAAAGTTCCTATAATTCAAAGATAGTCGGTTCTCAATATATTACAAGAGTTTAAGCAAAGGTTACTTAATGTGCCCCATCTAGAGGTAGTGACATTCAAGAGGATCATGTCTCTTAAAATCTCTCAAATCCCAATGATTCAATAATAAATCAACAAGATCTATTGTTTAGGGTTGTCGCTGAATTGGAAGACAAAGAACTCCTTGATGTTACTATGGCCAGATTGGTTAAAAGACTCTTGATTGAAGAAAACATCGAGATTATAACTGTTTTATTGTAGTACTCCAAAAGATCTATAGATATCTAAGGATTAAGTGAGAGACTGAATAATATAATTGAGAAATAGAAAAATCTATAGAGACCTACTTCACCTTTTTAGAATTTAAAGTAGACTAAATAATAATAACCAATAAGTAATAATATTTAGGAATAGAATGAGGATGTAAAGAATTTCATTCTAGATATCAACAATTACAATTTCACTTCTGAACAATATGGCATGATTAATATGTTATGGAATCAAAAGGATCAGATCTTAATTAGGTTATGTACTGATATTTATAACAAAGAGAGTAGAAAGGAATAATCTTCTTTAAAACCATTACAACTTTATGCAGATACTAAATTCAATGAATTATTGAACTAAAATTTCAAAAAGTCTGAGATATCAATCATCCAAGAATGCAAGAATACAAAATCTGGTTCTATTTATGCTACATTATAGCATTTTAGATATGAAACTAATGCTGACTATTTTGTCAATGATCTGAAGAAGGCATTATAACAAATTCACAATCAAAATCTGCATTTAATTGTATCAGAGAAATAACCTAACTAAATATCAAAGGAAATCAATCTTTTCAAATTTTAATCACCCAAGGCTCCATCTCCTTTATGTGTGTTAATGCCTAACTTTTAAAACTTAGCCAATGAAGCCCTGTCACCTCCTCCATAACCCAAATAATAATTGTAGGAAGAAAATAACGATAAGAACTATTAGTCCTATGGGAAAATCTCTAATGAGTTACAAAGAGTTCAATTGTTTTAAACATTCCCTGCTTAACAACCAATATTAGAATAGTAAAAGAGAGAGGAGGTTGAATAATAATAAAATAATTAACAAATCTCACTTAGGTAAGAGTAATCTCAAAAGAAATAATAAGGTGTTACTAACAATGATAATATTTTTAGTGAGGAGAACTTCATCCAGAGGAAAAGGGAGTAGCGTGTATAATACTCTTAAAAAATTGAAAAATTCTATTCTATCGAAACAGATAAGGATATTATTTAAAATTTCTAAGATATGATAAATTAAATGGAATTGGATGATTAAAAGATGAATTAAGTAGAATAGTTGTTTTCAGACCATAATGAATAACTGTATGAAATAATCAAAGGGTTTTAAACCTCTCGAATTGTAATGAATACAAGAGCAAAATTGATGTAAAAGAATTCTTAATATTTAATAGCAAACTGCTCTCTGAAAAACAAAATGATGTTCAGGATTATCGAAAAACCAAGATGTATAATTTATTTATGAATTAAGTGAGATAATTTACATTGTAAAAGCATTTATAGGAAAATGAAAAGGTTTATCTATTAAAAATGTTTAAAGAAAATGATTTACAGGTGTTGGGAACACTTGAAACTTATTTGCAAAATCAAGATGCTGAAGATATGCTAGAAAACTTATAGATGATAATAAAACAATATGGTAAATTCACTAATGTAATTATATTCATTATTTTGAGATTAATTAATTAGGAACTGACTTATCTCCCTTAGATTAGCCACACTTAGACACACCTATTTTGGGAGCCAAAGAGATATTATCAAAGTTTAAGCAATACTTTTCAGCTGAGGAGAAAAATAAATTAGAAACTATTGCAAGTGGTTGGGGTGAAAACAATATTGCCGAACTCTACTCTCAATATCTATAGGATTAGGATTTGAATGGATTTATAGCATCAATAAAAAAATTAAGTTAATAGGATATCTACAAAAAATTACATCAATCAAATAGTTTTGAAGATGTGTTGAAGAAATTAAAAAAGGATGGATTATTGAAAATAGATGATTATATGTTGGGATTACTAAACAAGAAAAAAAATGAATAAAGAATTAAAGGAGTATTTGAAATCTATTTGTATTCTAAGAATGTTGAGGATTTTGTAGAGAGCATTAAAAGTATCTAAAAATTATTGTAATAATGTAATCTTAATTAAAATATTATAATTAGAAATGATACAATAAACATTAGATGAATTTGAATAGGAGAACCTCTTAGTAGATGATAAATTGATGAAATTAAAAGAGATAGCTCATGATTATCATAAGGACTACCCAAAATTAGTTGGAGCTTTCTCTTTGTACTTTGAACAGTCCTAAATAGATCCTGAAGGAGCTAAAAACGAGATATTAGAGACCCTAAATATATTTGCTGATTGAAAATTATGTTTATTTTGTAAAATGTTAATTGTGAGATATTATTAAATTATTTCATGTTTTCATCAATATCGGTTTCTCTATAAGATTTAAGGGGTTAAAGAATAATTTCTTCGAATGGCACATCAAATTATAGAGATTTTTAAAGGTTGCCTGTCACAAAGACTAATTATAAGAGATAGTACTTAAAAGGAGCATCAAATAGAGTTAAGTCACTCAAGGAGGAATCTAATTTTGTATAACTGTGCAGTGAGAGAAAAGACAATGAGAAACTATTTAAGTTTAATAAGCAAGGTTAACTATTAAACTACAGGAATTTCCATCTCCATAAATAATACCCACTCACTTAAAGGGAATAATAAAATGAAGTCGATGGTTTAAATAAAATTAATAGTGGAAGATAGATGTTTAAAAACTCATCATTAAAGTTAATTACTGATTCCAACAATCAGTTAATTGAATTAGTGTGTTCATCTGAACCAGTTATCTAAAAAAATAAAAAGACTAATTCTATTTCTAATGTTCCAAAAGTGGAAGAAAGAACCAATAACACTACTAATTATAGTAATACTAAGAGAATATCATCTGCAAATAACCATCTATAATTGATAATCTCATCAGCAAGTAACAAGGAAGATCTATTATTTAAAAGTACCCAATCCACTCAGAATTATACATCAAAAGTGATAATTAAAGAAAATAAACTAGACAGAAGTTTGAAGGCTAAAATACCCACATCTTTTGATGGAACTAAGAAGTTTTTAAAGTAATTTATATGATATCAATATATCTCTATTGTATATGTGAACTTAATAAATTATATTTATCAAGGGTAGATTGCAAATTTGAGATGTAAGGCATTAAAAGTATATCACTATATATATCCATCTCTCAGTGTCTTCGATTTCGTATTCACTTTTCCTTTTGATCATAAAAATAAGAATTTTTATCTAACTTATTATTGATAATACCAATAATTCCTTATATTACAAATTTATTGGTAATAATAATTTTTTAAAATATTTATTAAAATGGCAACTGCTGATATTATTGTATTTAAATATTGCAATATTTAGATGACCCATGGTATGCCTTCAAAAAAGGAAGTGATAAGTTCTAAACGGATATTTCCAGGTATTTTCGAGATCGAATGAGTTAGAGCAACACAATAGAAAGGGTGCAATTCAATTAACTTGGGATGTTTAAGGAGTTTTTCCAAAGATTGCTTAAAAGATAGGAGTGTCACCAGTACCTGATGATCCTCCCTTGGTATTAGTTATTGTTAAGATGTAGCCACCAAAACCTAAATATATTCCACCTCCATTGCCTCAGAATTATGTTCATCCTCCAATTAAAAAATAAGGGAAGAAGACAGGGAAACCAGAAATAGTGGCTGAGAGATAAAGTTACGAAGAGAGCATTGCAAAAAAAACAATCAGATAGAGTAGAAAGTCACTTTCGAACTCAAATTATGGAAAGGAATATGGGGGGTTTTATAGTATGGATAGGTGCTTTTTGAAACGTGATAAGGAATTCATAAAAAAGGAAGTGAAAGGATATGGTAATAATGATATATTAGAATTGCAGGCAATTTCTATGAGAAATCACCGGAGGGGAGATTTGTGCATGTTCCATAGCCTCCATTATCATATAAGTATTAATATGTAGCCTCAACAGAATTATGATTAAATAAATTAATATCATTAATAAAAAACTTTAGTATTTAATGAAACCTTAATAAATACAAAAGATATTTTATTTTAACATCTAATTTTTTTTAAATCATCTCATGCTTCCTTTAATGTGTGCCGCACCATATTTAAATTACCCCTAACTCAACCTTTAATAATTCTATATGCTTCCTACGTCAACGTATGCGTTGCCAATTCCAATGAAAGAAACTTGTGATTAGGCTTGTTAGTTTCCTGAGCCAATTGAATAAAATGCTGTAACTAATAATATGGAGATTATCGCAGAATAAGAATTGATCTCTCTGTTAAGATTCCTATCGAAGAACATTTCTTTACTCTAAGACTCAGTGTTTGAAGAGTTTGTATAAGAAAATTTAAAAGTATTTTGCATTTTGATTAATTAGACACTCTCCTCATTTTCGAAAGACATACCAAACATGATCAAAAAGCGCTATGTTTAGGTTAACAAAACAAAAGAGGAAATGACGAAGTTTATTATAAGAAGATGTTTTCTATTCATAAAAAGTCAAATTGAATACGAAGAAAAAGAGGGAATGTCAGCTGAAGAGAGAGATAGACTCTTTTATCATTCCTTTTTCTCAGGTGACAAGGAATTTATGAAGACTCTCAATCAGGAATCAATAGATGACATGATACCATTTAGAAAGGACTCCAAAATGAAGACTATGAATGAAACCTATCTAAGGAAATTATTTGCATCAGAGAGATTTTCCTCTTTCTATACAAAATTTCTATGTAAAAATTCACAATATCATTAGCTTCATTCAATGAGATCTGCATTCATGAAAATGATGAAAAAATCGAGAATATGACTAAACAGATTATTAAAATTATAATCACAAGAGATTTTGGAGTAATATTTATCTTATAATTAACAGAAAATTAAAAGTTACAGACGATTCCCTTGGAAAGACCATGAAATACTTAAATGTGAACAGAGAGCCAAAGAAATCTACTCCAAATATTCTAATTATTCAAGTACTTCATATCTTCATCATCTAGAAGCCAATACAAAGAATAAGTATCTTTCAAAACTAGATTCGCATACACTGGACATTTTGGAAAAATTCTCTGAATCTTCAGAATGAAATATATATGAAAATTATATATATATATATATTTTAATTATATTATGAATCAGTATTTGGCCACTCATGACTCAAGTCTAAACACTTCTTTGTCTAAATAAAAGTACTCATTCCCAAAAGCCAAAAGAGAACCCATTCATAATAAATCAGCGTAATTCTCATTATCCACTCATGTAGAACCAATGAATTAAGTTACAAATTACCTTAAAACTTGGGAAACAGAATGGCTGGAATCGGCTATGGATTCAAGTACTTCATGTTCACATATTTAGACATGATTTTTCCAAAGATGCTAAACCAGTCCCAGCTCCTAATTTGTATGAAATCTAATCGTTTGTTGAAAATAATATTGACAAAAAGAAGGGACCCACATTCGCCTATAGCAGAGATTAAATGAAAGCCCATGGAATTTGGGGTTCTTTGAATTAACTTTCTCCTGGTCCTGGTAGATATGCTTAAACCAATTCCCTTGTTGATAACAAATTCACCTTTGGACTCAAATCAGGCTCTTTGAAATAGTTCAACACTCCTGGTTTCTTTACTTAATCTATTTCTAGGACCTGGAACTTATGAAGCCATTCAAATCACAAATCAAAAAGGAAATCAATATATCTCAAAATTCAGAAGCTCTGGTGCTGCCATAATAGGCAAAGATTAAGATAGATTTAAGACCTTATAGAGTTTCAATATTATTTATCATTAGCCTAAAATAGTTTTCCTGAACCAGCTAGTTATGATATCTCGAATACTGGAATCACTGGAACAGGTTTCTGCCCCAAAAATGGATTCAAATCTACAGTCTAAAACTCGTTTCCAAAGGCCACACGAAAAGGACCATTCGATTTGGGAGCGTAGAGTCCAGGTCCTGGAAGTTATAAAGTTTATTCAGAATTTGAGTGATTTTAATATAGAAACATTAAGTTAAATTGAATAGAACGAACAGTCTGATAAGTTTAATAAATCAAATACATCTGATGATTAAAGTGAATAAAATTGGCTGATATTCAAAATTTTGTTTTTCCTGTTACAATAATATTAATTATAAAAATGGGAATTTGCTCTAGCCAAAGTCAAAAAAGCCATGAGAAACCAACTGAAAATAAGAAATTTGATTCAACAAAAGAAGAATAATAAAAACCGGAAACTTTAACATAGAATAATTAATAGAAACAAGATAGTAATCAATTGTTATATTGTCAAGTTTAAGGTGACACCGGAGGTCTTGTTATCACAAGTGCCAAAATGGGGAGAATTACAAGGGATTACACACTGCTTAATCCACCACTCGGAAGCGGTATGCACTTAAATCACACTATAATAGGGGCGTATGGAGAAGTAAGAAAAGGAATACATAAATAAACCGGTATAATAAGGGCAGTAAAAATTATACACAAGTCCCAGACGACTAAGGAAGAGTAAGAGAGATTAATGAATGAAGTTTAAATTCTATAAAAACTAGTAAGATTATTAAAAGAGCTCTTAGGATCATCCAAACATTATTAAAATCTATGAGTTCTATTAGGATGATCGATTTTTTTATATTGTTACAGAATTATGTACTGGTGGCGAGTTATTTGAGAAGATTAGATACGAAGGGAGCTTTTCAGAGAAAAAAGCAGCTGAAATTTTGAAATAAATCCTATCTGCTGTCAATTATTGTCACTAAGAAAAAATAGTTCACAGGTAATTATTATGAGTAATTCTAAAAGAGATTTAAAACCAGAGAATTTACTATATGAATCTGATAAAGAGAATTCACTCTTAAAAATTATTGATTTTGGAACCTCTCGAGAATTTGATGTCAACCAAAAATTAAATTAAAAATTGGGTACTCCTTACTACATTGCTCCTGAAGTACTAAACAGAAAATACGATGAAAAATGTGATATTTGGTCATGTGGAGTAATATTGTATATACTGTTATGTGGGTAAATAGTACAAAGTAGATTAGATTTCCACCTTTTGATGGGAAAACTGAAGACAAGATAATGGAAAAAGTGAAGAAGGGCTAATATTCATTTGAGTCAATAGAGTGGGAGGATGTTAGCAAGGAAGCAAAGGAATTTATAAAAAAACTATTGTAATACGATCCAACAAAGAGATACAGTGCTTAATAGGCATTGCAAGATCCTTGGATTAAGAAATTCACAAATGCTGCTGAGGTGGAGTAACCTTTAATGAAGAAGGTGTTGACAAATATGAAAAATTTTAGAGTATTAATTAGATTATAAATTTAGCAACACTAAAAATTGCAAGAAGCATGTTTCAAATATATTGTTAATCAATTGGCAACCAAAGAAGAGAAATAAGAATTATTAAGGACATTTCAATCATTAGATACGAATAATGATGGGAAATTAAGCAAATAAGAATTACTGATTGGATATTAAAAGATTATGAATGCTGATCAAGCTATAGAAGAAGTCGAAAAAGTATTTGCATAGGTTGATAAAAATAATTCAGGAATGATCGATTATACTGGTATACAATGAGATAGATTCATTTTAGAGTTCGTGATGGCCACAATAGATAGATAATAATTATTGTCGAAATAAAGATTACAATTAACATTCAGAATGTTTGATGCTGTAAAATATATATATAAATGATATGAATAGGATAAAAGTGGTTCGATAAGTTTGGATGAACTTAAACAGATATTTGGTGGAATATCGGAGGAAATGTGGAAATAGGTGGTTTAAGAAGTGGATTAAAATCAAGATGGTTAAATTTCATTAGAAGAATTTTGCGCGATGATGAAAAAGATTGAATGAATCATTAATCTTTATATTCATAAAATCATTTGCATACAAAATAAATAATGCATTATTATTAATTAAACATAATTAGTCATCTTACATCATATTATTCTAAACATGATTTCATGTTTAATCAAGAATATTATTGTTTTAAATAATGTTTAGGAATTTAATTAAAATAGGAGGCTGTTTGGGCTTATTGAGTTCATCAAATATTTTATGCAATTAAATTAAGGGTAAAAATTAGGACGACTAATTACCTCATTATCATTTTATTAATGATCATGATTTACAAAAATTATAAAAGAAACATACTAATTTGCAAATCATAGATAGAAGTTACACAGAACACATTCTATCAGTGATTCGAGACGTTTAAACAGATATCGTGGTATTAATAACTATTATTCAAGGATTTCAGAAAACATGCAGATCGTTTAATTAGAATTCTGATTGAATAAGCTATTTCATAAATTGAAAAATAGAAACATGTTAAACAGTCTCCATTAGGATATTATGATGCTCATGAGTTGATATTTTAAGATGAAGAGTAATTTTAATTAATAATTTCAGAATATGTTTTGTGAGTATTTTAAGGTCAGGAAATGCATTTTTGATTGAGGCATTGAAGATCATGACAGGAGCATCGATTGGTTAAATACTTATTTAAAGAAACGAGGAAACATCATAACCTTCATATTTTTTCTAAAAATTGCCTAAAAACATTAAGGACTAAAAAGTCATCCTGGTTGATCCAATGTTGGCCACAGGAGGTAGTGCTAGCATGGCTTTGAAAATTTTAAAAAATCATGGAGTCAAAGAAGAGAACATCACTTTTTTAGCTTTAGTTAGTTGTGAATAAGGATTAAGCAAATTGTTTAGTGAATATCCTAAAATTAAGATTATTACAGCTTAAGTTGATCCAATCTTGTTGTAAGATATCAACTACTTAGCTCCAGGAATTGGTGATTTTGGAGATAGATATTTTGGGACTGTTAAAAGCAATTAAGGTTAATAATGATTATTACATAAAACAGCAAATTTATCTGTGAAATCATGTTTATAAAAAAATATATTAAATAATTTTTCAAAGCTACTATTACTAATTAAATTTATTATATAATTTAAAGGCTGAGTTCTTTTTAAGAGGAGTAGTATCAAATTTTAATTTACTCAAGCTCAAATTATCTTTAAATTAAGAATGCTGAATATAACTCTTATTTTCTGATTTCAAATTTGGTGTCTTTTTATTAGATTATTGAATATTTTAATGTTTTGGAGTGAGTAAATTTAATAATTTTGAAGGCGACTCAATTTAATGTTAAAATTAATCATCATATTTGACCTCCAAGCAAATATTACTAGGACTATGAGTGTCATTATGATGATGATTTTCATTCTTATTATTAGAATCATTTGTATTGTTTTAATTAGGATCAGGTTTCTCTTTGAGAGGAGTCTTATACTAATTGAGAGAAGGCAATTGATATTCATCACTATTATTGGTTTATTCATAAATTCTACTTAGATTCTTGGATACTTAATTGGCACTATCTTGTTTGTATTTATGCAAATAATTATAATAGAAGGAAGGCCTTTATGATAAAAAGTCTTTGATTACAGAGACAGTGAAAACGTCTTAGCACATAATCCAAAAGTCTTTTATCCACCTATCAACCTTCTCATCTTAATCATAACCATGAGCTCCAACCTTTTCTTATATGTATTCATATAGATTGTTTTATATGTCATCAACTTTGTCTTCATTCCAGAATATTGAGTCAGTTATTTTAGCAGTTTTCTTTAGCATTTTTGTTTCCATAGAGTAACTCTCAACTCCATCTATTTTGATTTCATTCATCATTTTCTAAATATAAGAATTCACTGAATTGGGATTCAAATAATTCTGTTGTTTATTTGTCCTTCTTCTTGGCATATTGTTAGGAGAATAGGATCTGGGAGACATTTATCCATTTTATTGAGAGGATAACAATTTTTATAATAATTATCTTTCTAAGGAAGTAAATGAATTCATCAATTCAGAATTCTACATTCCTATTGGATAGTTAACTTATAGTACCTCCTCTCTTGCGAATATCTTTCAATCTCTCCTCCATCTCAGGAATACGTTTTTTCATTGCTGAATTCCAATGATTCTTAATCGAATTGTCTGTCCTCCCTATTAATTATTTAGCCATTTCAGCCCATCTATTTCCCATAACTCTATGTGATAAGAATAGAATCCATTCTTCGTAATCTCCCCAATGAGATTTCTTAATCTAAGGATTCAAATGATTATGCCATCTCTCTCTGCATTATTTCCCTATTCTCCCAGGCAGATGTTCTGCTATGAATGTCCATTTCTAAGGACCATGCATTTAAACCAATTTAATTAACAAATTATCTTCCTACTCTGACCATGGTCTCTTTTTCCCTTTAGACTATTTTGATACTCTAATTTAATACGTGAAATAGAATATCCTCATCATCATCATAATCTCTTTCTTGCCCATATTTTGGTGTAACTGTCAGGGCGAAATTGGTTAAGCTCTTTTATTTAGTTGCTGCTATGTCCTATAAAATGTTCTATTTTTTTTTATCAGTTGGTTCGATTTCATTCACCTCAACGTATTCATTCTTATTTCTTAATCTCCTCTTAATTATTGGAGGAGAAATAGACATATGATTTTATGATTTCATTCTCAATCTCTAACTTCTATACATTTTATTAATTAAATAATATTTTTGAATTTGAATTTCAAAATTAAATATATATTATATACCTCATATTATTTATATTAATTGCCATTCATATATATATTACTCCTCACTCTCATATTCATTCTCCCATTCCCTAATCCTTCCTCAACATTCAACAATAAATTCACTTCTTATTTTTTATAGATTGTAAACTTTTTTTATTTCAATCATCAATCCCTATTAATCTATTAGAGCTAAAGCCAATTCTCCTCATAGCCTTATATTACCAATTGGAGGTTTCCCCTTGCTCATAATCCACACCATTCCTTCTCATTAATATGCTATAACTATAAGCAAATCATCCCAAAAGTACATGCAAATTCAAATTCTAAACGATAATTTCTAATTTATCACAAATATTTTAAAATTAATAATTCAAAAAATTATTCCGAATGTCAATTCTTAATTATACATTAAAATAAGGAAATAGATTTAAGATGTTTGTGATCAATAATATAAAATTTAAGTTTTAAGCATAATTGAATTTAATTGATATTGAATTTTCCTAATTTTTAGATATTGGATGTTATTGAAACATGCTATATTTTAATTTTATTGGGGGTTATTTATATCAGATACAAAGCAAAGTATCTACAATGTAGAATTATATAAAATAAATTGAATCATATATGTATTTTTATTCCACAAAGACAAACCTTGGTTCACTAAAGAATAATTCTGAATAAAAGAATACAACAGTTAACAGTTATTAGAAATTTAAATAATATGAGTATATTCATTATATGAACAAATTGATGTAAATGATTTCAATCCCAAAGTAATTATTTTTGAGCTTACATACCTTAGAGTATATAATTATAATACACTCCGAATTTATTATTTCCATATTTTTCATTTTTAAGTAAGTTCCTTTTGTTTCATATTTTTATTGATATGATTGAGTCTATATTTTAAGACCTAATTATTAATGGTTTCTTTAAAGATTGTTTTAGTTATGGACTGGAAATATTCTTAGAATTTATAATATTTATAAATGAGATTTGTTTAATAAATTATTTGTATTTTAGTATAATAGTGTCATAATGTATATGGATTCCATGTGTTTTCTATGGTTGAAATACGAGGAATGAAAAGATTAAATAAATTTAATAAAAACTTATGGATAGAACTTCATTTGTAAATTAGATCGATAGTTTCATTGAGACTACAATATAAGCGCAAGGTTTCCAGAAAGAAGAGTTTCTCTAATATTTAAATAGTAAGAAAACAAATGGTGATAAAATTGAATTATGGAACATGGATGAGATTCTTATAGCAGGAGGGGAGTTTTTGGCCCTGAAATAGCAATAGTACGTATTATAATGATTCTAGACAAACAAGCACAGAAATGACTAAATATCCTGAATATTAGAACAACCATCAGGATGGGAAGCTATATCCTGGATTCAATGATTATCAATCTCCTCCTAGTTACATTTCTTAACCCCAATTTGCTAAATAAGGAACTTTGAAGGAAGAACCTGAAGGTTTAATGCAGACACCTCCACCTCCTCAACTTCCTCAACCTCCTTTGCCTCAACAACTCATTAATCCATAAAACGTTATGATGATAGAAGGTCAACGTTATAAGGTGTATCCTGGATAACAAATGTAGATAAATCAGAATTCTTTCTTGTATAAACATCCAAACATTGACGTGAAGATTCAAAGTTATTAAGAGTAACCAGGTTCTTTGTTTTCGAAATCATACATATTGTATAAAATCACTTTGGACCCATATGGATATTTCATTAGTAGGAGATATTCTGACTTCGACAAATTAAGAGAATATTTGGTGAAGAATTACCCAGATTACTATGTTCCTCCAATTCCCAAGAAGGTGTCTTCGAGTACTAAGAATAAGATTGCTGATTTCAGATAGTTAGCGTTAGAGAAATTCATGAATACAATCATTAGACAATTCTGGTTCGATAGCTTAGTAGACAGCTTTTTCAGTTGTCAAAATGATAATGATCTATAAAATAAGCTAAAGCAATAGAAATAGAGACAATATGATATCTAAAATTTATCAACTTTGAATGGACAAATTGAATGTTAGATAAGTTCACAAATTGAGGGGTTCTTCTCGTATTAATCAAGCACTTTTAGTAAGGATTTGGAATGCTATAACAACATTAGACAAATATCTAAGAAAATTGTGGGTTTAAACAAATAGTTAAGTTAAGAATATAAATCACTGGCAGATTAATTTGTGAATTTACACTAAAGAAATAGAAGTTAAAATGAATAGATACCTGAGAAGGTAGATGAAATCTATTACAAACATCTTAATTACCTGTTCTTGACATGGAGTAGAAAATAAGAAGATATTGGATTAATTGTTACTAAACATTTAGACTACTTTTACAAATATTAAAACTAAGTTATTGAAACACTCAAAGAGAAAATTAAGTATAGAGATTCATTAAGGGATGAAACAGTAAAATAATTACAAAAAATTGACTCTAAAATAGACAAACAATTTAAAGAACTGAATGATAGCTAAATTCAACAAAGAACTCAAACTTAATCGTAAGAAATCTTCACAGAAAAACAATAAAAGTAGAGTTTGTTTCCTAAAGAAGCCAAATAACATGAAGTTATTTAGGATAATTTTGGATATATCAATAACAATATTTACTAATAAGTATAGATCATAATGAATCTCAATCAATTTTAAACTACTTAGACAATATTAAATATGCAATAAAAAATGGCATAACTCTATTCGGATATGGTCAAAGAAAATGAACAATTATTTGTAAGAAACTGATCAATATATTTAATTTATACATCATTTCATTATATTACACTTTAAATTGCTTCTTCATCTAAATATTGACCTAATAAATCTATGAATGCTCAATAACAATTCTGTCAGACACTTTATGTATATATTAAATACTATCTATCCAAAAATATTTATATTAAATTAGTTCATATAGCATCAATTCTCTTTTTAAAATAATCAATGGCTGTCCTGTCATTCAATTTCTCTTAAAGACCTGTAGAACAAATAACATTTTCCAATATTTCTCTAACCACATCCTTGTTCTAGAAGGTGTCCACTTTTTTTTTCTTTAAACAAAAGTTTGTTATCAAACATAATAAATACATTCCAGTTTCAGATGGTAGAGATACAGTCTTAATTTCTTCGATTTTAATTTTCCATAATTTCATATTTGAGATCTTCTCCATTTTGTAGTAATAGGATTGTTTTCGAATCCAATATATTAGAAACTAAAGAAATCGATGCTGCATATCAATTCTTTATTAAACCTCATCTATTACATCCTATTCTTAGATCTGCCAAGATCGAAATATTTATTATAATGAACTGACTGGTAATTTAGGCTTTTGATAACATAAATAATAATGACGAATCACTAAATTCTAGACATCTATCACTCCTAATGAATATTCATCTACCTGTCCTTACTTTATTGGAAAATATATATAATCAAAATTAGATAAGTAATTCTCAGTTCTAGATTAAGGAGCTTCTTTTCCAGTTCTTTATTCAAAAATTAAATTATCAAAATCTGCAATTTGCATAAAAGCCTACCTTTCATTACAAAGTGAAGAAAATTCTTGTAGAAACTTGAAATAAAAGTCAATTATTTCAGATTTCACTCTCCCATTTCTCAAATCATATAGTGCATCTCTTGATATCTTATAAAATGATGATTTACCTTGATTCCATACTTCATAGCAATAAGATTATCCTTTTGAACTGTGACAAACTTCCCTGGTGGCAATTTTTTTCCTTCCTGCCTCATCATTGGATCTACAATAGATTGATAATTTTGTTCTTATAACTGCTTCAATGTCTCCTATTTCGAGTTTGTTTATAGCTGTAACCCCAAGCCTTAGAACAATTGAGAATCAAATTTTCCTTGTAGAATTTAGGAAGCGTTCTTTAATAACTGATTTTGGCTAGATTAATATAGCATTTGATTTTGTTTTATTTGATCCAGGTTCTAGAATTCAGTTTCTAGATCTTTATTTAATTTTTTCATTTTAATCTAGAACATCTCTGAAGTCAGTATGTCATCATCGTCGCCTACTCCATTCAATACTTTCAAATAGGATATTCTTTCATTCAATAGATTGATTTATTATTCTCTTTCTTGCTTTGATTTAGGAGTTTAAAGTCTGACTTTATTTAACTTTTTTGGTTGAAGTTGGGCCGCTCTTTACTTTCTTAACTCTTTCAAGGCCTAATTCTGTTTTAATTATAGTATATTTTATTAATCAATTTCAATTTATTCCTAGAATTCTTTCTCAATCTAGTCAAAACCAAAACTTAAAATTAGCCAGACTACTCTATCATGGCAAATCTTATGCTCAAATTCGGTTAACTAAATTGTATCTATTTTAACTCCTTGAAGAAATGATAATAAAAAATAAAAGTAATATTGCGATGCTTCAGTATTGATAAATTTCTAGATTAATCTGATTTCATAATCCAGACCATCAGTCAATTAATTAACAATTATTTTCATTTACTCCTGATTATTCTTAGAGTAATCCACCAAATATATGGCTTCGTGGTATAATATTATAAGAAAGTACTTCTTTATCAGTTTCACAAGAATAATTTGCTTTTTAGATTCTTCAGCTGTTAATGTTTAGACAATTGAATCGGTTTCATTCCTCAAGTTGATTTTATTGTTTTTAACGTCAAATTGTTGCTAATGATTCACATCAAAATTACAATATCATAGAACTGAAAAAAGGGTAGGTCTCTCCCTTATATAGTTTCTGAAACAACTGCTAAATAATTTAAGAAAAATATCCAAAGAGAATTAGAGAATTATGATTTTTTAATTAGAGCATCGATCTCTTTAAAAAGGATAGGGATTTCATGGAAATAAAAAAAATGCTAACATATAAAATGCATTACATACATTTTCATCTGAGTTGAACTTATAGTAATCGTCCATTAGATCAATTACTTCATTAGTGGTAAAGTTATCTAGATCTGGAAATTAGTATTACGACATTAATAACAAAAATAATATAATATTTGAGTATATAGTTTATAATTGTTCATAGGAATGGATTGTTTGCTATGTAATTCATTTTCCTGTAATAAATCATACCAAATATGATGAAGAGTATTGAGAATAGTGATGACAAGTACAAAGTGTAAGGTTCCCATTGCTTATCAATAATTTTAAATATTGAAATTGTGGCATACATAAATAATGCCATCGTGGATAGCTTATAAGAACTTATAAAATATCGTGTGTATCTAAAAATCATCTCTGAATTGGTTTATTTGATTTCAACCAAGTATCTAATGTAATAATTAATAAGGATTACTTAAATTTGTGAGTGAAACATTACAAAATTGAGAGTAAAACCAAGAAGACCGTGTCTCCTAATAATATTAGAGCCAAATATTCCTTATCTATCTATTCGAATGAGGAATCAAATCCAAAGTCGACATCTACAGTTGAAGGTAGTTTGTCGTATTCAGACACGAACTCATAGAAGGTGTATATGAATAGAGTGAGAGTGCATAGATCGATGAATATTTCGATTTTGGATAAGGAGGGACGATTGTATATGATAGGTATTGTCTTGTTTGGAGAATCTTAGATACTGTAGGTTTCTATTGGATTTAATTGTTGGTTCAATAATGAGTCTTATCTGACGATGATGTAAGCATTTGGGTTTTTGTTGTCTGGAATTTCTTTTTCATTAAGTTCCTTTTTGGATAATTGAGATGCCACTGTTTTGGGTCCAATGATGGGATGCATGATTTATAAATTTATTAATACAAACAATATGCCGTGTAAATTGTTAATTTTATTGGCTATACTAAGTGTCACTTTGTAATTTGATGAGGACGTTGATGTGCATGAAGAGATAGAGAAGGTTATTATTATGATAAATGTTGTAGTTGAAATAAAGTCAATTTGGATAAACAATCTTGGACACAGTCTAGATTTAATTATCTGGGCCTGAACCATTACAGAATTTGATAAATATGCTTTAGAATTTGAATACTCAATTGGAAGGAGAACAAGACAGAGATGACAGATTACATGAGAGATATTAATCATAATGTGAAAACGTATAATCTTGCAATTCATTTCTTTAAAGGATTTGAGCACCTTGGAAGATATCATTAATGAATCAACAAGTACATCAAAATTGCTTAAGGGATAGATTGACTAATTGGAACCCGATAAATAAGCTAAATTGACAGACTTAGCAAGAACAGAAAGTGAATTAAAAGAACTCAAAAACGAATTAGAATATTAAACTGAGAAAAGAAAAGAGGAACAAGTTAGATATGAAAAAACCTTAGATAATTTAGAACAAGGCTTGTATGCTTTAAATGAAGCCAAGAAAATGTTTAACACATTTCTTAATGTTCTTATTAAAAACTAATAAAGATTTGCCAGTCTCATCCAAGTAGAAAATCAAGATAAGTTCTTAAATAAGAATTATTCCACTGATGATGAAGATGACCTAACTTTGGTTGAAATTGCTCAATAGATTAATAAAATCAAACATAATGTAAAAGCAGAAGGAATCAACTTTCTGTTGCATGGAATCTCCCATATAGTGAATCTTTTATCCAAAGACCCTACAGCAGAATAAGAATCAATGAGTAGAAAAGTCTTGGAAATCATTTCACAAGTGGACAATTGGATTCAAAAGCAAAGAATTTATGAAGATTTATGTGAACAACAACGTAAAGATGCTTTCGGAGCTCTGGCCTAAATGTTGGAAGATCAAATTATATTAAAATAAGAAAATTTAACCTTCCTTTAAGGTATTTATTTATGGAAATAATCATATAGGATCAATTGAGTCTCTGAATTCTTAGATTACAAGTGCTAAAAATGAAAAGGCAGAAGTCGATGTGAAAATAGAAACTAAAACATCTTAAAATGATGATCGTGATACCGAATGTAGAAATGAAGAATTGGATTATTAAAGTGGCAAAAATAAGAGGGACAAAGAAAGAGAAGAATTAGGACTTGTATTAGATTTGGTAATCAATAAAATTGGATAACTCAAAAAGGAAATATTATAAAAATGAAAAGGGTTATTAGTATATCATTCATACACTATTTTATTTAATTCTTTTAATAAATATATGTCATATTCTCAAAGAAACATTCAAAATTTACCATTTTATTCACCAGCCAAATTCGAAAATGACCAAAAGGATTTAATGATCTCTTAATTGAAGGCTGAGAACTTTGAATTGAGATAGAATGCACGAGACTATTAAGAATTGGCCTCTCATTTGAAATCATTAGAGAATAGGTGAATTAGCTGTTAAAATTAGATATAATACATTACATGATGAGAAGATGAGAAATGAAGTAGATTATCGAAATAAGAGTGATCAAACATTAAAAACTATTGCTAACCTTAGAAATGAGATAGATAATTTGAAATCTTAGTTAACAGAAAAACATATCGAAAGTTAAGAGATGAGAGCTGAAAATCTGGCATTTAAAGAAATCACAGATCATAGATCCTAAGAGTATTAGAGAGTCAAAAATGACTTAGCCCAAATCCAAGAGGCAAACAGAAAAATATATGAAGATAAACTTAGATTGGAAACAGAATTGTAAGCAGCTAAAGATGAAAGAAAAAGGTAAGAAATCATTCATATAAAATAAGATTATTGCATGACAGAGAGATTCTTAATAATACTTATGAAGATGTATTAGATAAATTGAATGAAAAAGAGAAATCATTGTCTTAATTACAAAGTGATTATGATAATCTTGAAAAGTAGAACCTAATTTATAGAGCAGATGTTGAAAATGTAATATTATTAATTGATCATCTAGATTAATAATGAATTGAAAACAAAGAATGAAAATTTGAAATATACTCGAATGCAATATCAAGAAGCTTAGAATTATATATCATAACTATAAAATGATCTAGAAGAACTCCATAAATAAAAAGAGAAATTCAAGTAAGAAAGCCTATTATACCAAAAAAATTATTAATCGGAAGCAGACACATGCATGGAATTGAATGCATAAGTGATTTAGTTAGATCAGACTGTTAAACATTAAGAAAAGACTGTTATAGACTAGAGGAATGAGATGGAGCGATTAAAATCATTACACATGGAATGCTTAGAAACTACAGAGGAGTTGAGTCATGAATTAGAACAAGTAAAACGGATGAATGATCAATTAGAACATTAACATCGAGAAGTATTAAGCTGATCTTATTATAGGTTATGGAAGAATTTGATAAAATATCATTAGCAGAAGAATAAGCTGCTATGACTAGAGCTAGTAAATATAAAGAATTAAAAACAAAATTAATAATGGGAACTAAGCATCTAACGTAGTTCCAATCTCCATTTAAAAGATTTTCTACTAACAAAAAGCCTTAACTGAAATAATATGAATTTTGAGAAGTTGTTTATTACTATTAATAATTTAATTTATTACAATCTTTGAGGATAATTCAAATCAAATTCCCTCTCTCAGAAAACAATATTGGGCAATAGATCAAGCAAGGAGTTGCAAAGACCGAATTCATTAATTAGTCTAATTCAAAATAAAATAAACTTTATAGACTATAAAGCTTCAATATAATTATAAAACCAGAATCAAAAATTGTTATTTAAATATTTCAGTTTGAAGGATTGAAAGGAAAATATTGAAATATGTTCAAATTAGGAAAGGATCAATCTGTCAAAATTAAAGAATCTCTTTTGAGAATATTAAAAACTAAAAGGCAAACTATTCTATTTAGAATATAAAATCTTACCATCAAATCACGAATTGAAAAATAGTAAAAGTAAAACTTAAAATAATATTGCTTCAAAATTCAAAATCTAATTCAGTTCAAAAAAACAGTGACAATTGACTTTATCAACAGATGATAGAAAGTTTGCTTTCAGACTAAAGATTGAAAAGATTACACACTCTTATAAATAATAACGGAAACAAATTGAATGCACCATCATTAAAAAATCAAGTCAATCTAATTTTGATAAATTCAAATAGATTTTTATCTTTTAAGTTTAATTTAGAATACAATTTTCATTTAATTATGAGCATCAAACGAAAAAATTTTAATTTGAGTACTCCCAAATAAAGGTGTATTTGAATGAAATAAAATAAATTTTAAGAATTACCTACGTAGTAAACCAAGGCAAGGAATTCTTTGAAAGCCCATTTTAAAAGGAAATTTTCGTAAGAGAAAAATTAAGATAAAGCTTTTTATACTGTATCTCTTCAATCAGAAATGTAACATGCAGATTAAAATCAAACCCTACTAAATTAGTTAGAGAAAATTTATTATGAACTAAGGAAGCATCAATTTTTAAATAAAACAATCAAAATAAAAAAATTCTCTCTACAAATATTAATATTTTGTAAATAATAAAAAATTTTTTAATATTTAAAAATTCAATAATGATTGCCTTATTACTTATTCTTAAAACACTTGGGAATCATTTTGAATTTAATTGAAGGATTTAACTTTTATTATGGTTTAGAATTATAACTTCATAAATTCTTAAATTTTGGGAGCCTAATTCTTTTTAATGTAGTTTTATATCATTTTGGATTATATTTAAACTCAATAAACTTTTATTAAGTTCTACTTTTTATTTTCAAAAATTAATTTATACTTTTGTATCACTTATTATGTCATCGATCAATTTGAATGAATGATGATGTAAGAGGATTTTACTGATTGAGCTTTAATCATTTTATGATACAGAATGACATAGAATGTGGAAAGGCATTAATGTTGAATTTGATTTGAATGAAACAAAATTAATCAAATTTGTAACATTCAGGATAAATTATAATGATCTAAAAAAATAAGATTAAAGAATTATAATCAGATATTAATTTGATGCAATATATTTGTAGTGAAATTTGTCTGAAACTTAAGTTTAGACATACATTCAACTCTTAGAAAATATTAAATTAATATATTCGAAAATATATTAAACCTTAACCCTCTATTTCAAGAGATTTAATAATCTACTAAACTCTTTATAGATGTATCAATATTCAAAATGATATGTATTTACTTGTAATAGATTGATTTTTTAAATTTATCTATTACTTGCTTAAACATTTGTTTATAAATCTTAGGTTATCAAAGAATAAGAACAAATTGATGAAGGATTAAAGTAGCATATTTTTATACAACTTAAGAATGTTTAAATCAATTTTAGATTACTTTGACTTATTGTGAAAAATAGTTACAGAAAGACGCTCAACTATTAAAATACATTCTTTTTTATATATACCAATATATAATAATATAATGATACAAATACTTGAGCGAAATATAAAAAATGCTATTTTAAGAATATTAAACTATGCTTATTCAAAGATTTTTATTTCAAATGGTTTTAATGTTTGTTTTATAGTCATTGAGGCTAATTACCAAAGGTTAATAAATCTAAAACGTTGTAAAAGAAAATGCTGAGAGAATAAGGAATCCACTTTAAGTTAAAGATGCAAAGACTTTAGAATTTTAAATGATGTTCAATCTAAAGAGATTTATGTTAGGTAGCCTCATAACATTAATTGCATAAAAGAAGATATTATTATAAGAATCAAAGTGCATGCAGTCATTAAATTAGTAGAAGGCTTGATCAGATTAAACGTATATCTGTCTGAATTATCATAATGTATATGTTCTAAAGTTATTTATTATTGAGAAATTATGCTTCAGAAATGAGTAATGATAAGACATACAGATCGATTCAGGTGCTGAATTAAAATTAGCAAATTTAAAAACTGATTCTAAAAAGGTAATGTTCTTAAATTTGGATTGCATCATGTGGCAGTTTTAGGTGCAACTAAGAAGGCAAAATTAGTCCGAATTATTTTTGATGTTGATCCAATCTAATTGGTTGTTTGGTTGTCTCAGTTATGCAGAAGACAGGATGTTCCATTTGAATTCATTAAAGGTAACATTCTTTGGAATCACTTCAATTAGATAAGACAAGATTAGGGCATTGGTTCATTCAAAGACAGCCATTTATGCAGCCTTGAGTGACTTTTGAAAGAGGATCAAGCTGGATTCGATAATTTAGTAAAGAATTCAATTTAAATTATTTTAAAAGGCTCGAGATTTAAGATAACATTATAATGAGAACCATGAGTTAGTAATAACTATTGAAGGAGGTTAAGTTGAAGTAAAATCGAAGTATTAATAAGAGGCTTTAAAGATAGCTTTAGAATTGGAAGAACTGAAAAAAAAACAAGCTAATGATGTAACATTATAAATAAGAAAAATTAACATATATATATAAGGGGGATCATTTTTATTTCTGATGTTCTTATTCTAAGAAATCAGAATGATCTTCTGCAAAATCATCATATCTGCTTTCTTGGAAAAAATCAACTGGTATTCTCAATAATTCGTTTTTGAGGCAATCTTAAATATAGGTGTTCTTCATGAACATTTAATCATAATATTTGAAAAATTATTCTTCATTCCTTTTCAAAGGATCGATAGTTTTCAAATCTCCTCCAATTACTAAGTTTTTAAAATTCAAAGCAACATTTTTAGCAACGTATTTTTACATTATTTGTTTATTAAAAATATTATTACAGATAAATAAATATTATTGTAATATATATATAGATGAATTCTATGTGAAATCAGAAAGTAATACAAATTATATGGATATCTCATTATGTTTAATTAATAAATAAATAATATGTCATATTTATTTAATCAATTAATAAATAATAATACATATGTATATATTATAATTAGAGTATTTTATTAATCGAACTTTTCAAATGCTCATGTAAAAATATTATAATAGTGAATGTTATCTAATAAGTAAGAAATTTCAAATTTAATTCAAAAATTTATGCAAATCAAATTTAAGCAATGACCCTTCTAACCAAATCTCATTTATGCGGGAGAAATCTTTGTTAAGCTTATTAATCTTTTGCACAATATTGTTATTCACTTTTACTTCCTCATTTTATTTTACATTTTTCCATTAGCAATATTTGGATTAAAGCAAAATGATCTTTGAACATCCACCAAAATCAAGCACATTTGTCCTATATATTTGATTTCCAATTGAAGACTCATATTTATCAAAGATCTCTTTTAATGGTTTGAATCTTTCCCTCTACAACTTGCTAAAAAGGATTATTTTTCTCTAAATATTGATTTCTTGTTATCTCACTAATATATAATTAGAAAGCCTTAGTTTCTGATTGAAAGTTAACATTGAAAAATTGGACTATCGATTTTAATTTTTGAAAAGTGAATTTCGCTTCGATAACAGTTTCAATGGAATAACCTTTGTGATTGTCTAGTACTCATTTAAATCTTTCCAATCTTCTGGAGGTGTTACGTCTATTAATCTTATATAATCGATCACCCTATTTACACAAAATTAGAATCTCTAAAATACTATTTATTTGTTAAGTTTAGCTTATCCTATGATTCGTTATAAAAAGTTATAATGATATGATTAATTATTCTATAGTTGATTCTCATCTATTTTTCTATTGTTGAATTTTGGTGAGCTGTCGTTGAAGATGATTAAATTTTTTCGTTTCAATCTTTGCAATTCAACTTTTTATCTAAATTAATTATTTTTATACTTTTTTCGAGTTTAAACTATGAAAGTATTAATTGCTTTCTTCGCGCATACAATTGGGAGACTTCAAAATTGATGGGTTTACTCTGTTTAAAGCAATTAATAAAGGATTTAAATTAAACTATTAAGATGAAAGATCTCTATTGAGCTATAGCATAAGTGAATCGAGGCTGTTCATTTAAGGCCTCAAATTCTCCAAATATAGTACCTTACAATATGGTTAATAAATTGAATCTGTTTTTTGAAAGGATTCTTACATCCCCTTTGATCAAATAATAGATTTCATCAGAGATTTAGCCTTTCCTATAGATCACTTCGTTTTTCTCGTATGTGATAAATCTGCACGATTTCAAAAGACTTTGAGTATTATTAACATCTTAAAGAAAGAATTGGATTTTGATGCATAAATCTAATCTTACACTTAAAGTGAAATAGGTTTGAAGGGGTTTGTGAAATTCATTAACCATATAAAGGATGTCCTATTCCCAAAATTGATTGTGCTAAGCATTTGTTCTAAGGTACTTTTAGACTGAATCTTTAAGATCATCAGGCATTTTAGTTTAGAATGCTAGACGATCAAATAAGAAGTACTGATTGTCATCATTGGATAGATTAGATTGCATCAATAATTTGGCAAAATCACCAACTTTGACTGAATAATATCCGATTGATATTATAATCCAAATAGCCGATATTGAGTAGTTCTAAGGTATGTCACCGTAACCTACGGTAAACAAGGTTTACGAAGACCAATAGACTCCAGTAATGTAATTATAATGGGTGTTATTAAATAGAAAGATGCATCCAAATATGTGTATGAGAAGCAAAGCATTCAGAATGATATTGGATAGAAATATCCATCCTTCTGAGAGGTAGTAGTTAGTATCCCAAGAGAAGGAATCGATGATATTGGAAGTGTAGAAAATTTATCCTTTATAGTTTTTTTAAGGTTTATTAATGAAGTATTTGACTAATCGAAGGAGTTTAAACAATTACAGTTCTGATTGTTGAATGAACAACTAATATTATGGTACTGATATTAGATCAAAGATCATCCAAGTTTTGAGATAGTTGAGCAGGATTAATTTGAATTCTTTAACCAAATTATAATTTTCATCAATGTATGCAGTTGTGAAATTCATCATTATATCGATAGCAAAGATGACATCGATTCCCATTAAAACTTAATCTACATTAATTTGATTAGCCAACTGCAAAGGAAATACAATTGCATAAAAGAATAGCAGTAATTAAATGAATGAATTCCATTTGATAATAAAATACTGATCTGGATAAAAGGGTAGGATGCTTTATTTCTTTGATTTGAAATATTCTATACGTTATCTGAGTTGCTCTTTCGAATATTAGGAGAGGGATTAAAAGAAACTCATAATTATGATCAATTTTTTTGTGGTTTGTTTAAATTTTGACTTATAGTCAATGAGTGGTTTAATCTTGGAAATACTGGTATTATGGGAGTAGTAGGATTAACTTCTCTTATTAATAAGATCTTATTTTTTTAAGGCAAATGGACTTAATGAGAATTGTTTATTGGGTATTTTTTTTCTGGAGAGCTGAATGTTTTAAGAGTATTCAGCTGAATCAGATGTGGAGGACATCAAATCTCTATTTGTAGTAATCATCTAATATATAAAATAAATTAATTAGAAACAATTTCATTTATAATTATTCTTCCATTTGAGCATACCTTCATAAACAATCTCCTTTTGAGGTGCTTTCTTGCCATGCAATTTGGAGTAAGTCTTCAATTCTTTAGCTTATTAAATACACTAAAAATAGAATTATTTAAATACCTTAATTTCTAAATTGGAGATTTCAGTAACCTTGAGAGGAGATTTGGGCTTATTATTAGTTGTGTATTCATTGGTTGTGCAATCCTTGGCATTTCTAACACTATCATGTGCAGTCCAATCCAATTAAGGAGAAGTTGATCTAACTCTTTGATTGAGTTTAGTGTCACCACAATGTCTGTCAAATAAATCAGAGAAGTTCTGATTTTGATGCTTCACCTGATTATTTGGATCCTCAACAACCTTAGTTCTGCTTTCACAAACCTATTTCACCTTCTAATAACTATAGCCAGGTAAAACATTGGAAGTATTCTAATATAGCATTCTTTATCTATGATCTAGATTTGGAGATTTTGGTTTGTCTTCGATGCATTTAGGAGGTGATGTTGGAAGTTTTGTTGGTTCATAAAATATATTTGATCTTTTGTCTTGTATTGATTTCTCGTGTGCACTTAATTGAATTAATTTCGAATCTCTGTTGATGTATTAATTTGGCACTATTTTTGGTCTCATTGGTGGACTGTATCGATGATACGTGTATTGAGAGTCCTCGCTTATTGGGAATAGGGCATTTCGATCATGATCTCGTTATTTCATTAAATTTAAATATAATATATTTAATATACAGAAAATGGAAGTATAAAATATTTAATACGAATAATGTGAATTTTGTAATCGAAAGTTTTTCGAAGGAAAATTGAAAATGCATTTAAAATTGTGCAGCAAAGAGAAACCTATGATCTTTGTTTCAAAAGGAAAAGAAGAACTAAAGAAGAAAAGATCAAAATCTATGGCAAAACCAAAATCTCAAGGACCAAAAAAAACTAATAGAGAAAACAGTTCGTTGGATAGAAGTTATATAACAACAGCAGAATGTCACATCTGTGGAAGAAAGTTCAATCCTCGAAATCTAGAAAGTCATTTAGAACTTTGTCAGAAAAATTAAAAAGAGTTGATGTATAAAAAAATGCTCATTGAAAAATAACTTAAACAAAAGAAAATTAGTACATACCATTGTAAACAATGTAGCTATGAAATGGAACAAGATCATAATTTCTGTGGAAGATGCGGCTTTAAAAGAAAATGATGAACAATTTATAAAAATGAATTTAATTATCTTACTCTATAAGTTTGCGTATTATTTACTCCTTATCAGTGTTACAAGTATATGGATTATTGTAACTATCGTTTGATACTTCATTACATCGTTACAATAAGATAAAATTACAATGATTAACTAAAAATTTAACTTAACATCAAATATTTGATTTAGGCAGCACTCAAAATGTCATGATCATATATACAGAATATAATATATCAAAATTTTGAGTTTTCCTATATGCAAATTTAATCATTAATTCATATCTCAGTAAGAATAATTAATAACTTTTAATTTAGTCCTCACTCAACTAAGGATGACTGTCTCATGCAGTTTCTTTGCCTTCTATTCGAAATCTTTCTTATTTCAATCCCGAATAAATCTTCGATAAATGTCTTAGTTGCAAATATTCAATTTAATAATTGTAATTCTAGAGTGATAGGTTAGCAGCATTTGTGGTTATGATTAAAACTATAGAGGGTATTTGGAATTTGTGTAATGATGAGGAAATAAGAATGAGAGGTTCAAAATATATTATATAAATAAATATATAATGAAATAAAGGCCAACAACTGCGAAAGTTCCAAAAACCATAGATTAAAGGGAAATTCAATAGCTTCATGATCTAGATAGTACTTAAGTAGTTAGAATCTAGGTCGTTAATATCAGCTAATCGGCAGCAATCTGTCTCATTTTACAATTTTGAATGAATTGGGGAAAGGTTCCTATGGAGTTGTTTATAAGGTGAAATCTAATTAGGATGGGAATATTTATGTGCTCAAGAAGATCAATCTAACTCATCTGAAACCAAAGCATCAAGGTATGTGTGTTTCATATTAAAAGCTGAGGCACTCAAAGAGGCATAACTTTTGAGGAAACTGAAACACCCAAATATCATCACATATTATATGAGTTTCATTGAACAAGACAATCTTTGCATCATTATGGAGTATGCAGAAGGAGGAGATCTTTAGAAAGTAGCCATCCCTCACTTATTTAGTTACTAAAAGATTATAAGGAGAGAAGGAAATTTATGTAAGAAGAAACCATATGGGAGACAAGTAGGGAACTCAGTTCAGCATTGTAGCATCTGCATGAAAACAACATCATTCACAGAGATATTAAAACACTCAACGTATTTCTAACAAAGGATAAACGTGTGAAATTGGGGGATCTAGGAGTATCCAAAATATTCAATTCAGACACAGCACTCTAAGGCACTCGAGTGGGAACTCCCTTATATTTGTCCCCAGAACTTGTCTAGCATTAGCCCTATGATTACAAGGTTGATATCTGGGCCTTGGGATGCGTTGTATTTTATATGGCTGCATTGGAACCTCCCTTTTAGGGCGAGAATTTGATTGCCTTAGGATATAGTATAGTTAATAGAGCTCCTAAAACATTGCCGCCTCAATATTCTACAAGTACGAATTTTATAAGTAAACTATCAAAGGACTAAGTCAGTTCATTTGGAAGTTGCTTGAGAAGATTCCAGCCTTGAGACCCAGCATATAAGAAGTCAATACAATATATTTCCAATAAAGGAGTCAGCCATAGAGAATTTCATAGTAGATTTTATTAATTACATAGACAACTTGATGATGCATTGCCTTAGATGTAATATCAATAGCACTAATAATAAAGGCCATAAACCTCAAATCCCAAATCGTATGCAATGTAGGCTTAGGAGACTGAAAAGATGAAGAAAACTAGGAAACCACAGCAGCAAGATTTAATTAGTAATGGGTCAGATACAATTTACATGGGAGATGTTATTGATATGACCTAAAAGCAAGTAGAAAATGAGCAAATATCGAGAGCCTTATAATATTAGTAGTTGTTGAAAGATCAATAGGAGAAGTTAGAGAAGGAGCGACTTGAAAGAGAGAGGATAGACAGAGAGAGACAAGAGAGAATGGATAGAGAGAGATAGGAGAGACTGGAGAAGGAGAAATAAGAAAGATTGGAAAGACAAGAGAGACTTGAAAGAGAGAAAATGTAGAGATTGGAGAAGGAAAGGTAATTAAAAGAATAACAGGAACAAGAAAGGCTTAAGTAATTAGAATAATAAGAATATAAACATACTTAATAATAGTAATAATAATAGGTCTTAAAGATTCAATCTAACAATGTTGAACTCTACATTCAAGATATCGATGACAAATAATTTTAAGAGGAAAGGAAGAACTCATTTTCACTAGAATAAGGACCAAAATTTAAACTTGAAATGAAACACTCTAAACCATAAAATACCTATAAACAGAATGTGTAAATCAGACCTTTATCAGCCTAAGCAAGAGGGTCTTCATTTGCTAATATCTCTTGCAGGGCTAAATTAATTCCAGTGTAACAAAATCAATCAGTCAAGGAAGTCAAAAAGTTCACTATTTTAGATTTGAACCCAAATTCAAACTAGCCATCTGTGCATTAAGAGGTACCTCTACCACAGGAACCTTACATTAAATACCCAAATAGTAATGGTGGTTAAAATACTGTAATTAACAATGTTAATAACATTCTAAATGCCCAACCGAATAAAACCAAAGAAAATATTCGTATCAAAAGTGCTCTTATTATATAATACTCAAATAAAAGATAACAACAAGATCAACCATCAAATTAAATTGTTAAGCATTACACATTAAAGGATTTGGTAGAGTCATGATATTAATTATTTATTTTTGGAATATGATCATAAATTTTTAATGATATTTGTCTTAATTCTATCCTGACTTTCTTAAATTCCTTAAATGGTATTTAATTAATTCAAACATTCAATTTAAATATTATTGAATCAACTCATTCTATCACATTATTATTCATCAATAATATGAGATCAAGCTATGAATTGTGAGTTCTATGATTATTTGTCAATTAACTTGAAATACATATATGATAGATAGATATATTTTCTGATCAATTTTAAATTTATTATTATTTTTGATAAATATCTACAAGTAAAATACTATTTTTTTAAATTAATCTATTCACTTACCTATATAAAGAATCTTCTATATTGTAATATTCTATAGTATTATAGAACATAAAATACTCATAATATTTTCTTAATGAGTGTAACTATTAAACAACAATTATATTTTGATTGTTTTTAATGAATAAAAAGGTTCTATACTATTTTTTATTAATACCTACTGATGCTCCTTAGCTACTAGTATTTAAAGTAACATAAACTTTTAAGTAATTTCAAATATGAACTTCCACATACATATTCCAGATTCTATTTAAATTCAATATCATTTAGAATATAAAAGCTCTTAGCTCAATTTTATGAACTCTTAAATTACTTAAAATAACCTTTCATCACCTTAGAATAATTATAATTTTGAAAGTATTTGTTAATCAATTTCATTGAATATTGTATTTTTTATATAACATTTATAAAATCAAACGAATAGTTTTTTCATTGCTTAAGCCATCACTTTATCTTATTTACTCTCTTTGATTTGAATCTATTTCAATTAAGAACTGATATCTATTTTATGATCTTATTTTTGCACATCTAACAATTATTATTTAGCTTCTTCAAGATTATTCAATTCAATATTGCATATAGCTAAACGAAATAGAACCTTAATGTTCTAGCTAATCTGTAAACTATTCAGAGCTGCTTCTCTTCCTTTATCGAATTTCTATTAATTAATATAGACTTAGGCCATATTTCCATATGTCTGGGATTTTAATTGTAGGATTACATGTGTCTCTTCCTAAGTTGTCAATTAATTCTAAATTCGAATTATTTTACAATACCTAAGAATATTATGCCAATTCATCATCTTTGCTTATCAATCCATTGACGTATAAGAATACTTTGTGATAACAAGTCAAAGCTTTTTTCCAATCCTAGTTTTTGAAGTGTACATTTCCTTCTTCTTTATACTTTTAGGCTGTCAATATTTTCCCTTAAATTGAGTTATCAGTGTTTTGCATTATTTAATATAATAATAATAATATCAATATTTAAATAATAATCCTTTATTTTTTTAATTATTTCTCAGATTTCCCTATATTTTCCTTATTGAGTTGACTTCTCTTCTAATTATAAGGGATATTATGGGTTTTTTAGTAATAGGAACTTGATCCTTTTGAAGAGTTGAAAAATTGTAAAACAAGAGTTGTTGTTTATCCAATTATTTAGAGAGAATAGTAACAAGCACATGGTTCGTATTAAGCGATCATTAAATTGATAACATAATTTAAGTAAAGAATTTGGAGAATTAATTATTGTAAATAATTGAAATTTATAAAAATAAATTTTGAATTTATAATGAATTTAATTAAAAGTGCATCATTTTAGAATGACATACTTTAAAATTACATTATGATATTTGAGTTTATAGGGTTTTATAATAATTAGCAATAAGATATAATTAATTCGAAAAAATATTATAAAAATAATGGAACTAAGAGACGTCTAATCAATTGGTTATTCTAATGGAACAGCGTTAGCAACTGTGCATGGAGGGAGTGAATAAAATAAATTACTCCATAAAATAAGTGAATCAAGTAGTCCCATGAAGACTGATTTTTAAATAACTAAGGGCAAAGAAATCTACACAGATGAAGAAATGAAAAACTTCACCAAGAGAGGAATAATCTCATTGGTGGGAGGAGTAATTTTACATTTAGAATTGGGAACTTTCTATGTTTGGGGGTCTATAAGTAATTAATTAATAATAATTTGATTAGGTCCTTATGTCGCTGCTTGGATGAGAGAAAAGGATAAAGGAGTGACTCTAAACTTTATGGCAATCATATTCCCAATCCTAGGTGTAATAACCATGTCAGTTCTATCCTTTGGCATTAAAATAGCGGAAAAAATTGGATTCAAAGTTACAATAGGAATAGGATCATTCACTATTGCTCTAGCTTTCTTGATAATCTCTTTTATCTAAGAAATAGGAGGGTTTATAGCAGTCTATTGTATAATGGTTGGGATATCTGGGGGATTATTATACATGTTACCAATTATTTGCGGATGGAGATACTTTCCTAATAGAAGAGGATTAGTATCAGGGATGACAATAGGTGGATATGGATTTGGATCATTTATCTTCAACTTCGTATGCAAAGCGATAGCAAATCCAAACAATCTAAAGCCTACAGTGGTGGAAGTGGAAGATGGAAAAGATGTGAAATACTTTGACAATGAGGTGGGAGACAAAGTGCCATTGATGTTATAAGTCCTTGCTGCAAGTTATCTTGGATTGGGAATAATAGCTACGATTATGATAAGGTATCCATCTGAAATAGATCCTGATAAAATGTTGGCTACATTAGAAGCTGAAGAATTAAAGAAGAGAAAAGAAGGAGCTGATGCCCCTCCACCTCCAGTATTACCAGCTCATAAGGAATGTGTTGAAATGTAAGTTATCTTAGTTATTTTTTTAGTGGTAGAGGTATGAAACATCCATCTTTTATAATTCTCTAATTGATTGTGTTGATGTCATGTACTTTTGGTATGTTGATATCTAATTGCTACAAATACTATGGATTAGAATTGGGAATAGATGATGCTACTTTAACAGCCACTGGTTCTGTTGCTGGAGTTATGAATGGCTCATCTAGGTTCTTTTGGGCCACTCTAACAGACAAGACGTCATATAAGTTCACATTTACTCTAATTTCAATTCTCAATCTGGTTACTACATCGATTCTGCCATATAATAAAGAAGGCATTGGCTATCTTTTATTGATTGCTGTTGTCTACCTTGCTGAGGGAGGGTTATTGGCTACCTATCCTGTTATTTGTGCCAAGATATACGGTAAGAAGATAGGAGGGTTGATGTATGGGTTCATGTTCTTCTTTGTTGGAGTCTCGAATATGATTGGATATCTACTTTATGCTTTTGCTAGAAAGAAGATTAAATGGGAAGGAGTTTTTTGGATTTGTTTCGCATTGAATGTTATCGGAATCATTTTGGGGTTGATTCTTAAGGAAGTGGGATATGATTGGAGAGATCAGACAGTGATCGATGCGGAGAAGGAGAAGGAGAGAGAATTAGAAATTAAGGAATAATTGGCTGCCAATCAAAATTGAATTAATATTAATTTACACTACTGTGATTTCTATTTGTAATTTATAGATCAATAATTCATTCTAATATTAATATTTTAATTGTAAAATGGATAGAAATGGAGAATCAATATTCACATCTAATTTTTGGAGAGAAATCAATGAGTAATTTTTTATGGTTCTGTCTCCTGTCAACATCTCTGATATTAGAGTCTTCAAAAAGAAATGTAATCATTTTATTCATAAAATAGTTTCTAATTATGTAAACTTAAATTGTCATAAATTATTAGATAAACTTCTTAGACATAATAACAGATCTAAATTATCTTAATTCAACTTTATCAACTTAAAATAAAGAATTTCATTGCTCTTTCAAGAAAGCTAATAACATTCAGAACCCATTTAAAATTTAGTTGATGAAATGATAGACCAAATTTGTTTTGCTCATCTTGTAGAAGGACTACAGCAGACTTAAGATCTCATTTAAAATATGTCCCAATTAACAGAATAACAACAATAAATAATATACAATTAAGAAAATTAAATATTGACTAATCTACACCAAATGATCGATTGCCAAGATGAACTGTCCCAACATATATAATAACTTGAATCATAACTTGAACAACTTGATAATTAGAATTCCATTCAATAGTACAATACAATTCCTAATATAATTAGGCTTGAATAACATGTTAATGAAATCAACAATTCTCTGCTCTTTACCTATTCTTCCTAAATACTCCATTAAAATACCCTTAAATTAACCAGAACCAGAATCAAAAATCATAAGGAAGAGCTCTCCGCATTGAAGGACTTAATCATATTGCATGAAGATTACCAAGTGGCGGAAAGCATTGGAAAAGCTACTTTCAACGAATCAAGTAAACTCAACCAACTTATTTTGTAAAGGTAACACCATTACTGTGATCTTTGATAAATATTTGAGTCAAACTTAAATCGATCTCAACTTGGAACACTTTGCAAATCTACAAAAATTGAGAGAAGTGCCTTACGAATTTCCTGATTAATTGCCTGGACTCAGATCTGATGTAAATGGATTGAATTTATGTAGGATGTATTCGAAATGCAAATGTGTCATTTTTGTAAGTTGATGGTTGATGTTAAAAATCTGAAATAGTGTTCATATAATCATTATTAGATGGGGTTACATGAATACAATGAAGATTTATTAATTTGTTAAAGATATTAAATTAATGCAAAGTCTTAATAATCATATTTTTTAGATCTCTATTCTACAAATTACATCATTGAAAGTACTTTAAATTTTGACATATTATAGATTAATAGATACAATGCAAAAGATACTTTTGTTTAAAATGTTTAAAGCATGAATTTGATTCATATGAAACTACTCAATTTCTTTGGATTTGTCCCTTATGCAAAGTAAATACTACTTATAATCAACGTAGGGATTATGTTCTTGTCTCAGGTGTTCAAGAAATGAAATTATTTATAAATTAAAGAGACAATACTTGGAATTGAATGGAAATTTGGAAGATATTTATTAATCATCCTATTTTGAGATACTTGTGAATGAAAAACGAAAGCAAATTAAAAATATTCCCATTGAATTTATTAATTTAATTAAAAACAAACAAGAAAACAATGATGATACTTTAACACCAAAAAGTAATTTGAAACATAAGAGATCAATGACCAAGGGTATGATGAAGAAGAAAATGAAGAAAAATGATTCAGCTTAGAAATCACATAAGCTTACCCATATAGAGAGTTCCTCATCATCAGTGAAAATTAAGAAATCAAAGGAGATCAAAAAGAGATCTTTGTTTCTTAATAACAATCATAATGATCCTTCTAATCAATAAATCTTTATCTAATGATTTTGTTTATGATTAATACTCTTTATCTTTATGTTTTTATATATTAATATATTTCAACATATTGAACTCGAATTTAAAGAAACCATGAATCATATAGTCCATATTCCACCTGAAAAAACAATAATTTTATTTAATGTTTAATTTATTCAAATACATGGTTACGCTCTTTTACCACTGATTATAAAATAACGAATAATATTATTATGTGATTATATAATTTTATCCAAATTTCTATATGAGTCATTTCTGTTTGTATCATGAGATTGTGTCGTTGTAATTATTGTATTAGAGCGAATTAATAATGTAATTGAATTAAAATGTTAAATTATGAATTAAATGAGTTTGTTAAGAAAGCATATAAACACAATTTATTGAGTAAAACAATTTAAAATATCCTTCAAAGCTCCATTGATAAGGAAGTTAAGGATAAGAAATTAAATAGCAAGCGTATCTGTAAGCAAAGATTAAAGTAAAAAGCAATCAAGAAAGGAAACAAAAACAATTGAGAATATTTAGTAATAAAAAATTAGTGAGGAGTTTACAGGTAGGAGTAGTTCTAAACTCTCCAGCTCCATTTTGATACGACAAGAGAGAAGAAATACATAATCACCTTAGAAATTGATGAGAATTTTATCCATATCCCAAGAGGAAGTGCCTCAATAATTAGCTGATGTGTTGGGGGAAATCAGTAGAATTGAATTGGAAACAGATATCAAATTGAGATGCAAGACAATCTAGGTTAGAAACATACGAATAAAGAAATAATAATTAGTTAAGTATTTACAAAGGCATTATCCTGATGTAATCTGTGAGCAAATTGCTAAAGTATTCAAAATACCTCAGATCCTAAGCTTCAATTAATATTAATAATGGATATAGAAAATAGAAAATTTGGATTTAAAATAGTAAATCCGTCTGTGCTTCTTCGTTTATGATATCAATAATTAATCCGAGATAACCACCAATAATTTAGTTGAACTATTAAAATCTAACACTAATGCATCGATAGAATTGGATATCCTTCACATGATTAAATAAACAAAGGCACAAATATCAAATCAGATAAATAATGACATTAAGCAAATGAACTCATTTACGTTGCCTCTGAGTGTTTTGAGAGTCAAATTAGATCAGAGTGTGGTTCTTTAATAAAGAAGACAATCAGTATTATCCAATGATGGCCGAGGAAGACTCTTTGGTAAAATTAGTCAGAGAAACTCATTTGATCTAAATATGGATGTTGATTAAGATAGCTCAAATCATGCTAAGACCACTCCTACCAAGAAAAAGGTAATGTTGATTACTTAAATTAATAATAATGACTAGGAGTATGCTTTTACAGGCATAATATAAAATAAATCAGAAAAAAAGAAAAAGAAAAGCAAAATATTAAAGGATGAAAATAAAATTAGTATAGATTTGAACGGATTTCTTAATATTTGGTTTCCATAAAAACCGAATCTTTTTCCTGATCTATTGAGAATTTTAACTGCTAAGCCATGATATATATAATGAATTTGATCTTGAATGATATCTATATCCGTTTGTTTATTTTAAATACATTAAACTAAAATATATATAATCAATTTTTGAATTGTGGTGATTCAGATAAAATCATCTTTTTTTAATTATTCAGCATGATCAATTAAGTAAATTAGGATGTCTTATCTGGAATTCGTACAACTTATTAATCCTTCATAATAACTTAATCTTCATCAATTGAATTGTTAGTTTCACAAGTTTAAAATAAGGTTTCTTGAGTATATTAGTTATTGTTTTAAGTGTATTGGCGAGTAGTGTTATTGTCCTTCAATTCGTAAAAGTCATCCTTATTCTAAAATGAAATAAACAAAGATAAATATGTTTGAAAAGATTATGATAGTTACTTACATAACAATTAGTTTTGCTATGTAAAATTATCATGCAACTTCTAAAACTAATGTATAACCAATTCTTGTTAAGTCAATTATTAAGTGAAAATGGAATGTTCTTAAAATCTCTTCTAATAAATCTGCATTATTTCATTGAATGGTCCCATTGTCATGTATTCAATGATATTAAACTCATTAGACAATATGTCATCTTCCATTTTCTTTAATGAATCTATGGTTGATCGAATTTAATATTGCTCAGCATTTAAGCATTTCTCAATTTATTTAATCATTTCATTCTAATTTAATAAAGATATCCAGTACTTTCAACTGAAGCAATGGTTAAATTGTATTATCAAATATCTTATCTATGGATTGCCTTAAGTCTGATATTTTCATATTTTCCAAGCATTCTTTCGTCTACTGGATTAACTATTTGAATGAAGTAATTTTCTCTTATCTCATCTCTTTGTCTCTCACTTCCGGACTCTAAGTACTCTAATTATAAATGAGTAACATTACTGTATAAGTTGATAATGAGATCGTTTTGGCTTTAGGGGAGGGTTAAGCTGTTTGATTTAACGAATTGTATTGATTTGTGTTCATTCTCTTTTCTTCATTCGCTTATTATTTATAAGCTTATAAAATTACATAGGTAATTATTAAAGTTCAATTTAATGCCAGCATAGCAATTCTATTGAGTTAATATTGGATTTGTTCTATTTTATATTTTCATAAGCGATTTCAGAATCTAGCCTTGTCTACTAGTATAAATCTAAATACAATTATGCAGTTTTTTATCAGATGGTTATGTGGACGTGATTTTCTTCGGTTAATTGGGAGTTTGGTTTTAAATTTCATTTAGTAGTGATCTGTTGGAATTCGAATTCTTTTCCAAGGAAACAGTTTTTTATTTGCTTTTGCTTAAATATGTAGGTCTTTGGTTATTGTTCAATCGGAGGTTTTCCTTTAGGAGTGGACTTTTGCGCATTGCTATGTTTTAACAACCTTTTTTATTAATTAAATATGTAAATGGAATTACATAAAGAGAGGCAATAATCTAATGAAAATTCGAATCAGCTTAAAGCTGTGGAAGCATTCTAATCTTTAATACAATACATGAATGAACTGACTGATATAATCAATAAGATTAAAGTAAAGAATGAAGCTGAATTCATAAATGCTTATCAGAATCACATGAAAATCATCAAAGCTGAATTGAAGGAATTACGAAGTAAAATGGAAAAACAATTAGGCATTCAAAATTAGAATACTGTAAAAGTAGCAAGCAGTGATAACGAATTAGTAATAAACAGTTTAAAAATTAATTAGGCTTATTTTAGAGAAGAATGTCTAAAGTTATACTAAAAGGTTGAATTGAAAAATAAAGAAGTCTACGAATTAAGATTTAAATTGGGAGAACTGTAGAAATCCAATGAATACTTGGAATCATAAATCAAGTCATTAATCAAAAAGGTTAAATTATAGGAAATTGATAAAGAATTATAACCAAACATCCAATTAGATTAAACATTTTGTACTACTACTCCTGCTAATTAGCACAGTATGAATATTATTCAGTCTAATAATAGAATCTCAAAAACGAAGATTAACTGATTACCAATCTAAAGTTGAAATGAGCTCATCCCTATCGAAACATCATTATTCCTCAATTAAAGAAATGTTTCCAGCAGATGAATTGAATAAAGAAATCATCAAATATGAGGATATCCTAGATAAAATCACTAAGTATATCATAATATTATTAGATATGTTACCATAATTGAATAAAAATACTAAAATTAAAATAGAATCCTAAATGAAAAAGTTTAGAAACTTCTAATTTCTTAAAATAAGAAATGTGTAATTAGAAGTGAATTGGAAAACTTTTTTTTAGAGTGTGTAGAAACAGTAAGAAAAGAAGTTCAGAAAAAAAGACCTTTGGCTAATTTCTAATAATATCAATCTTATTTAGATTCAATACAGGATTACTCCTAGTTCTATAAAGAAGATAAAATCAAGATCTTAGAATTAGTAGTTAGCAATGAAAAATTATTAGTTTTTATCTTCTAGAAGCTATTTCCTAATCACGTTAATTTAGTTCTTTAATCCATTAAAGGGGATATAAATCTAAAAACATACTTAGATTAAAACATTAAAAACCCCATTCCAAATCATCAAAATACTGAGGAGATTATTAATTTAAATTAACTTATGACAAGTTTTAAGGTGGAAGCACCTAAGACTACAAGAGAAGTTAGATCAGTGTCTTTAAATAAATAATTAGAAGTGAGAAGAGGTAAATTACTATTTAAATAGTTTTGAATCCATTATGTACTTTATTAATATTCTATTTCAATTAAGGATTTGGTATTATTTATAATAATTTTTTTATAACAAATATTTCAATGCTCCCAAAATTCTACAGATTTTAATAGTGTGTTGAGTCGGATATAATTAATAACACTTAATTGTTTTCTATTATTTGCTACTCTAATCTTATAGAATATTTTTTATATTAAAATAAATAAAAAATAATAGCTTTTCAATTAACTATGAGTTAGTATTGCAACTACAAGGATCATGATGAAGGAAAAATTATTGGAGTTTGTACAAATCTAAATTGCAAATATAGAGGAGGATTATGCATTAATTGCTTGAAAGAATTCCATAGAAATCATAGTTAAGTGTATTTATTAGATCTCAATGGTTTATAACAAAATTGGTAATAGAAATTTAAAACTTATGGTAAATTAAAAAGTCTTTAATAACATTTTAATAGAGTTAAATCTGTTTTAGATGATATGATTGTTAGATTCAACATTGAAGTACAAGAATAAAACTTTGAAAATTATTCTCTATCCAAATTGAAAGACTTAACTGAAAAATTAGCATATCTTGGTTTGATAGAGCAATATATAAACCCCTTAGAAGATCTAATTTAACGAATATATGCTTAAATCAAGTCTGTGAAAGACTTATCTATTATTTAATTACGATTCTCAAACGAACTCAAGTCTGATAATATTTATCTTAACATTGAAGGAAGTATTGCATCTACTTCTGATGAATCATTTGGATTTGTTTTATGCGAAACTGGGGTGAATAAGGAGTCATAAGTGTAAGAATTTACTTTTAAGATTTTGAAAATGGATTGGATTGCATTAGGAATTATTCACAAAGATCAAGTTCCAAGCAATAAAAAAAAATTTGATATTTGGGAGAATTCTTAGCACGGGTAGAAATTATAAATATACAAGCTGTTATCTTATCGATTCACTTGGTAAAGTATTCTCTCCTGGAGAAACCAATAATTCGAAAAACAAATTTAAATTAAAAAAAGATGATATAATAACAGTTAAGGTAGATAAAACTAAAAAAAATGTCTTATGGACTAATTAAAACTAGTAATAATTAGAGGTAAAATTTGTGGAATGATCATATAGATGATGGAATTTGATGTTAGTTAAAGTATATGTCCTATGGTTTGTCTTCGCAAATCTGATGTATAAGTTATTAGTTAAACTTGAATTAGAATTTATTTCATATAATTAAATAAATAAATAAATATATAAGTTTATTCTTCATCCAAATATATCTACTGGTTTTGATATCTGATATTAAATTGATCTTTAATAATAATAAAATTACAGGCTTACTAAATAAAACATATGAAGAACGAGTTGAAGCAAAATAATAATTTGTAAATTGAAATAATTAATATTGTTAATATATTGATTATTAATGGTTATTATATTTATATATTAACGACTTGTCACTAATTTCAAAATAAAATTTGTTAATTTGATTCTTCTTAATACGAGTTTTAGCCTTGTTTTTTCGGTTGGACCAAGGCTTTATAGTGCTCCTGCACTAATACTTTGTATTTTTATTTTTTTTGTTTTTTCCTCTTAAAACTATTGCGAGCATTTATAAACCAATTTAATATCTTAATTAAAAAATTTTAATACTTTCTTCTTCGATAGTTGTGTTTTATTGATTAATTTTTTGATTTCCATCTAATTTGGGTATGGATAACAATAATTGTGTAAATACCATTTCTTAAGTATTAAGTTTGTTTTTGTTGGATATACTTTTGAAAATAAGTCTAATAATGTATATATTTGAATCAATACCTTGTGAACTTTAAATTAGTTTAAGTTTTAGAATGTCCTAAAACAACTTTGTTTTGTTATTCAATTATTCAAGAGCTTCTTCGAAAAATAGGTTTAACTATTAAGAAGTCATGAAACAGATCGAATTGATATTTCCAAATTATTAACGAAGTTGGGCAAAGTATTAAGCAATGTATTTTTCAAATTGTTCGAATTATAATAAGTCCTTGTTCATATTGTGTTCGTTATCATGGAGTTATGAGTTATCGGTTTGTAGTTTCTCATTTTACTACATTTACTCATGTTTACTATAGCTTAAACATTAGAAAAATGTAGATTCGAGCTTTTGTATTTTGATTTGAATATCCTCATACTTTCCAGTATTGATCTTCTGAAAAAGATTGAGATTTATATGTTAAGGATTATCATCAACTTGAATCATTGATATAATTAATTTACCACACGAATCAATAATACAATTTAATATAGAGGAATAAAATATGATGAATCTTTATTATTAATTAAAGTGAATCAAAATAGCAATTCATAATAAACTCTATCTCCCAAAGCTTTAATATATCAATTTCTAATTCAATAAAGAAGACTACTTCAATTTAATTAAAATAAAAAATTTATATCATAGCTTATGCGATGTTGTCATTCCTTCTGATCATTTTCTCATGATCTTCCCCGACTTATCTTACAATTGTCTTAAAATTTCCAATTCAAATGATAAATAAACCAATTGATGACTGGTTAGCGTTTCATCTTTAATTTGATTTCAGAGAATTGATTACATAGAAAAATGCAATTATCAAATATTATGGCGCAAAAACACAACCAAAAAATTAAGCCTCTATTTCAGAATAATTCAATTTTGCATCTTTTTGATTTTAGACTTCAAGATTTCAACATAAAATAATCAAGATATTTTCAAAAAAGTTTGTATAAAAATCTCTTTATTAAAAATATTTAATAATATATAATTTTATTTATAATGCATGATTCTACATTTGGAATATAAAATAAGGTCATATAATTTAGAATAAATAATTTTTTAGCATAATTCTATGTAACTTCGATAGTAATGAATTTTTGTGTATTTGTAATTCATTTAAATTTTTTTATCCAATGAGAATTATAAAAAAAATAATACTCTATTAAAATAAAAGGTTGTATATAATAATATTAATATGAATTATTGAATTCAATACATGTCCTTTACTTCTAGAATTCTAATCCTCTTCTAAGGTTGTTATTAAGTTTGTTGTTGTTGTTGTTACTAGTTTTGTTGAGCTTATAATTATTACTTTATTGGTGATTGCTATTGTTTCACTATCCCTGACTATTATTGTTTTTAAGATTAAGGTATTAATTATGGAATAGCTTAAACTGAAGAAGTTAGTGGAGATTATTTTGTTTTTGCAATCTCTTAAGGAATTGGCGATGATTATTGTAATGGCTTATACTTAGGATAGATAAAATTGAGATTCATTTATTTCTAAAACTCCTTATTCCCTTAAGACCTAACATGATTCTCTTTTTCAATTGTATTCATATAATTTTTATTAATATTTATATTAATTAATTTATACATTTTCAGATTAAATCTTCATCACTGCTATCGTCATCAACGTTGAATTGTTTATCCATTAATTGTTGTAAATTTTCATCTTATGACAACGATAAATCATTTCTATTAGGTTACAAAATACTAATCTGAGATTAACTTTAGTTTTGGGAAAAAGGTACAGAGTTATTGAAATTTGGTTGATAAGATTATTAGACCTAATACATTTGCTATGGTGAATTAATAAATTTAGGTAATGCTGGTTGTTTTGTTTGAGGTTGCTATTGTAGTTATTGGAATTGTTAGATCTATTGTTATTATTGTTGCAATTATTGAAGTCTTTGATTGATCTATTGCTATTATTGAATCTATTGCTCAAATTATTATTAGAAGCTCTACAAAGGTTGAGGCTAGAAAATATTACTAGATGAGACAGAGGATGTAGTAGACTGTTTATTAATTGGACTCATCGTAAGCATAGGTTGTTGTGGTTATGGCAAAGGTAAAGGAGGTTTAGAAATTGGTTTTTGTAATTCCTAAACTACTTCTCTTTATTAAGACTGCTTCAATATTTTTGATTGCTGATCTTTCTATTTCTTCTATTCTTCTAAAAGTCTGACTATTTGATAAATAACTAGATATACTTCCTTCTTTAATCTATATATAATCTTGTTAAATAGAAGTCATTGACTTTTAACTAAATTGCGGTAACAATGGCTTTTATTATTAAGGTTAAGGTTAATCAGATATTACCTTCTAACTACCTGTTTCCTTTATTGATATTGGGAGACATTGTTATAGAAACCTTGAATGTTAATATAATAGCATTACTTATCAAATCCTAAAGAAAATAGCTTCTCTTATGACAGTAAGTAGTAATATTCATTGAAATCAAGTTTGAATAACAAGAACTTTAATTTTTCCTCGTTTTGTAGATGCTTAATCAATTCCAAGGTTTATTCTCTATACATTTATCTCAATTACAATAATAATTTAATAATTTCTTATCCTTTGAATTATCTATCAATATTGATGTTGTATGAGGGTGTAGTTTTATGTGATATTATTGAATCCAATGATTGCTCAAACTTATCGCTTCTATCTTATGCCACCAATTCTCTTACGTACAGAAATAGATTTTCTAAGTTCTACTTATATCTGAATGATATTTCAAATAGTTTGAGTAAGATTATCTAAATTTCTTCTTGTTTTTGATGTAAGAATGTTCTATCAATAATTTCATTCAGCAATTATTCATGCAATTGTATGAGATGATCTAAATTTTCAATTTGGTTTATTTGATCCATGAATTTTTTCCAGGGAGTCTCAATTGCATCCAACATCAAATAACTAAAGAAATTCTTAATAAAATGGATCATTGAATTCATTATTTACAGACTCAAATTGAGAGCCTTATTTACATTAGATTTTGCATTTAAGTGATATTTATTTTTAATTTATTACATCCATGATTAGATGAGAGTATGTTCTACTCTTTTAATACGCCATAAATAATTGAATATTTTATAATAGTTGAGCATAGTCCTATGATTGAATATTGTTTTTAGTGGTTCTTCGAATTCGTAATCCAAACAGAAGATATCCCAGCCAATATCATTTTTCTATGCTTCCAACAATTTCACTGACAATCTCTATTAGATGATCTAATTGGCATTACTCAACCTGAGTGTGGACTCTACCAAACCAGTCAATGTATGTTTATACACTAAATGAGCATTTTTTGACAACTCTGTATACAGGGTTTCAATCAATAACTGAGAGAAATTACCATTGCCCAACAGGAAATACTATTTAATCATCTTAAAATGGTCCATCAATTTGAATTTATCAAATAATAAATTGACTAATTGCGTATTTGTGTTTTTGTTTGCTTGATTAATCAACTATGATAATTCCTTGGTCTAAAGCATATTAATAGTCAATGGCTATATGTCCAAATACCAATTCTTATTATCGCATTGTTTTCTCAACCAATTTATTGCCCTGCCTGTGTCATAGATCTTATAGGCTTCATCGTATGAAATAACTACTGGGACTTTATCATAATTAATCCTATATTATTTTCTCCACAATTCTCCTTAATCCTTAGTTAGTACTTTTTAATCATCTCTTTCTATAAAGAATTCATTTGCAATATCTAGGAGATTGCCTTCAAACATCCATTCATTTATGTACTTCATTAATGGCTAGCAACTTGCCTATTATAAACGCATAAATAGTTCTGCTGTCTAAGAACACCCATGTTTTGAAAATTGCTCCAATACATTTATAATCAAACAGGATGTAGTTCCAAGGGGATTGCTTGTTTGGATTATGGAGAGCAATTGATTAATGAACAACATATAATCATAAGAGGATTGGAGATGGAAGTGTATTCTCTTAAAAGTGATCACTACATAGTAATAATACTTTACATTAAGATGATAGGATTAATCCCTCCAGATTTGCTATCAATTTGTAATATTCAGACAACTCCAATTTGATTACATTTTGAAGTGCTTAGACTATCAGATTCGATTGTTGTATTTAACAAAAAGTGGAGATCTTCTTGAATAGCCATCCACATTCAGAAATCAAGTTCACTAATTGTCGCACTGATATTGACACATTCACATCTTTCCTTAGACAAAATGAGTCTGAAGATGCATCATATTAAATGTATTAGCCCTCTATTCCTTAAAGACAAAATAGTAAATCCTTCATCAAATCTCTGTCATTCACTTCTTAAGCAATACTATTCTAAATTTATATAATTTCTTACTTGCTATCTCTCTACAATCACACTTTTTATTAAACTGTTTTCAATTTTATTGATTGTTTGATTTGTTGTCTATTGATTTTCAATTTCCATTGATTACTTTAAGTGATTTGAATTTTCGAAAATGGGCTTTACTTGACTGTTATTCAAGATCTCTTATCTTCCCAGCTAACTTACTCTGATTACAAAGTGAATTATTTCTTAATTTTTTTGAATTGTTGATTTTTTCAATTTGGTTATGCATTCTCTCAATCTGCTTTAAAGTACTTTCTATTTTAATAGCATTTTACATATACATTTTCAATCTCATTGATTTCCTTCTCTAGTACCATATCATCCATTTCTGAATATTTAGTTTTGAGATTCAAAATCCTATACAAATATGTTTTGTAATTTATGAGAGTATTTTCTTCCGTTTATTAAGGAAAAGATAGTCTGACCAAGTCAAACACACTTTTTTGGGCATTAAATTCCATCTTAATAAATACTAATCAATAATATATATAATTATAAGGTTATAAAAATATGTAAATTTTGGCTTCATAATTTAAATTATTCTTCACTAACTCGATGTTTGATTAAGAAATTGGGCATGTTAAGAGAGAGAATATGGATCCAATAAAACTTAATTGATTAAAATATCACATTCATTTAATCACTATTTTTCTATGAGTAATAAATTAATCTTTCTCTTGTTATTATTGACTGTGTCTTTCAGTAAGAAAATTCAGACGTTTATTTTCTATTTAATATATAATGTGTTATAAATACAGAGTTCTTCATCTAAATGAGGTTCATTATTATTTAAGTTTTAAAGATTCAATTTGAAATCAAATTTTTTATGATTTTGTATAGATTGTGTGGCCAACTAAATGTACTTTTTAACAATATCATCAGTTTTCTGTGTGTTAATGTTCAGCACTTTAGATTGGCTATGATTTCCTTATTGCTAATGCTACGACTTAGTTGCTAAATCCAGACCTGTGTTTTTCTTGGTGTATTGAGATTTGGCTTTGTTGTTATTGCCTAATTTGAAAGTGGACATGGCATTATATTAGGATGGTATCATGTAATTGAATTCAGGTTTCTTTTAGGAGTCTGCATTCTATGAACTCTTGATTTTGATGTCATGCAATTTGCTAAACAAATCTTCAGAAATGGGCAACTATTTCATATTTCTATCAGTCAGACATCCTCCCTTTGCAATTCTATCCAATTGATTCTAGTTTATTTTCTTTTATTAAGCTGGTTAATATACTTTCTTTAATTATTCTTGTCTTTATGATATATTTTATATACTACCATTATTGTTATTTTGATCTTATTTAATACTTTTTTAAGAACCTTAAAATCCCTATATAAGAGTAGATGTACTTGCAACTAATAAGTCTTATGAAATAGTTGATCTTAATTGTCTGATTTGAGTGCCTTAATATTCCTTGAGCATCTTTTAGACTGTGAAATTATCATTCTATATTCGAGACATCTTATTCTTACCTTCCAGATCAGAGGGTTCAATTTATCCAGAGACATAATCGCAAACTTAATCACCTTATTAATCCACTGAGTCCTTGATCTTAGACATCTTGAAACTTGATTGGGAATGCTTAGATTCACTCTTGGAATTAGCAAAAATTGCTATGGAATAGTTATTTAATTGAGTTACCCTTCTTCTCCCTGAGGTCCATGTTATTGGTTCTTCTCTTGACACTTTTCATTGCATGAAGATCCTTAATGAGATTGGTTTGTATGTTTTGTTGACTTTGGGGAGGAGATTTGATGTAAAAATTTGGAGGCAGTAACTTATTTTTGTTGGTCATTTTATTTATAATTTGGTATTACTTGTCCAGCATTTCAAGAAATAGGTTACTTTCCTCAGGGTTATTGAGGAGAGTTATGCCTTTAAAATCGATGCGACTCTATTTCTATGGTTGATCCTCAGAAGAATAGATGTCGTGTTCTACGGTTTCATAACTGATTTGAGATTTTGATGATAGTTTTGAATTGAGTACATTATTAACAACAACAGGATTCTAGGATTTATTGGAATTTTCACTCTCTCGCATTCTCTAATAATAAAGCTTGTCTATCTTCTTGTTTCTTTTGGCCATCAAAGCATGACTCTCAACAACTAGTAAATAAGGATGAGCCTCTTTGTAATTTGTCACGTAAAAGTCAATCAAAATGTCAAGTCTTGGTTTGACTTCTTCTTTCTTATAATATCTACATGTTAAGGAAGTTCTACTACCTTTTCATGTATTCTTATTATTCATCTAATATCACATAATCCTTATAATAGATTACATGAGGAGTATTAGCAATTTATGATAGAATTTCGTTGATTGGCTTTGCAAAATAGAAGTTGAAGGCTTCGAAATACTTTATTTGTAATTTCTCTTATATGAGCTGTTATGAACTCTATTTGCACAGTTTGCAATTCATTAATTTTAATCTAAATATAAATTAACTCAAAGTTATGAAGAAATTGATGAGTAAACTGGGTGTTGAACATTTAAATAGTTTCAGAATTTCTAAACTTACCATACCTGAATTCATTATTAGCAAATGGATGAGAATTTAATCATATTTTAAATCAACTCTTTCAAATTGAATAAATCAGAATTGCTTTATAGGGATAAGGTCATATTCTAACCAAATTATTTCATTAGTATAGGATCTTCGAGGAAATCAGAAATACTGTTAGAAAAACCTATTATTTTAATTTCAAATTGCTTACTCTATTAAATCATTAAGATGTATTTTAAAGTAGTAATAGAGTATATGAATTATCTTTGTAAATAATAATGGTTTGTTCTTAAGAGATTATTAGCATACTATATATAAATAATTTATAATTTAATGGGTTAGATATATATGTTTGGATACACTTTGGATGTTTGAATGTGCTTCTTTATCCTAATTAAGAAATTGCAGTAAATGCAGATATAGAACTAAAAAAGTGTGAGGAGACTATAAGATTGGAATCAAATAATATAGGAGGGGTTACAAAAATAATGCTTCTAATTTATAGAGGTTTCTTATATTTTAGATTTAACTGAATAAGTGTTTTTCAACCAAATATTAGGAGTAATATATTTTCAAAATGGCTTTCTGATAATGAATGGTTTTTTGATTAAACTTTTATTGTTTAAGAAATAGTTTATTAAGAAATAAACCTAAAGTGACTTAATTCTATTATATCAATTACTTAAACTTGGATAGTTCATTAAAATGAAGAGAATATCTATTTATAATTATCATTTACAAATAGTATTTTTAAGTTTATTAAATTGATAATTAAACAACTTAATTGGAGGATATTGTGATGTATTATAATTATAATTTAACAGACTCTTGTCCATTGAATAAGAATGTATATCAAATATTAGGAGACATCCAATAATTGACAAAGATTTTTATAATTTCAATTGATGATTGACTTTTCAGGCATCTTTGCTAATGTATATTGATCATATTAACAAGTAATTAGATCAGTTCATTTCTCTAAGTGATACAAATAAATGTCCTCTAGTCTGAATCAAATAAGTTTTTAGTTTAATTATTAATTTATTTTCTTATATAATAATGTCCAACAGAATTACAAAAACAAAGTGCCCTCAACCAAATAATCAATCGAAAACTGACAAAGACTTAATGAAATATCACATTTTATAAAAGATCAACAAACCCCTAGTTCCTGAGCAATAAATAATTAAAACTCAGCCTGATGAAGAATTGGAACCTGAGGATTTTAAACAAGAGATTGAATTTAAGTACTTACAAAATCATTTACTAGATATAAGAATTGCCAAATTAATCACACATTTGTTTTCCCTAAGGAAGATTATGAATCCTCATCTGATAATTCTCTTTAATCTCTTAAAGACACTACAATTTACAATCTTAACTGCAACAATATAGAGCGGTTGACTGATGCCACATCTCCTTATTTTATGAAGGCTTTGAATGAGAAGCTATTGAAATTAGCCGAATCGATCGAGGATGATCCTACCCAATAAAATACTATACAAAAATTCAATACTGCCAATCCAAAACAGACAAAGTTGTTATTCTCTTCTATTAAATAGTCAATCGAAATCTCATTGTCAGAATCAATCAAGTACATCGATAGGCAGACTCATTGATCACTACATGATAAATCTGAACACAATGAGTCAGAATGGCAATCAAAATCGAGATAGTGTAACTCATAAAACTTAGAAAAACCTATATTTCAGAGCCACTCCCACATTATCATCCGAAAAGAAGAAATAATCCAAGAAGATATTGCAAATCTTAAAAGTCACTCAATAACGCAAAATCAATAATTCTACTAATAAGTATTTAATATGCAAATAGTGATAGCAATACTTTCAATAAAAGAACTACCCAAATTAATAGTTACTCTTTTAATAATACGCAAAACATATTTTTGAATGGAAAACGAAATGGCGAAAACATGAGAATTAAAACAGAATAAGATGATTTTGAGGCAAGTTTGTAAAAGTTTCAAATTATTCCAAAATCAAGGTAAGCTCTGATTATTAAATCTAAGATCGAAAGTTAGAGAACATGTAACAAAATTCAAGAAACTTGAAAGTTCCTAGGAATGTAAGATACTCAATTATACAATGGATAATCATTTATTCGAATAGCTGGGTGTTGGAAGGAACGCAAAGAGTCAAAATAGAAGTTACAAGGTTTGATTATATTATTTTTTTACTTCTATTAATTTTCTCATCACATTGTTATAATTTTAATTTCTGAATAATTAATTAGAATTAGAAATTAATTTATGAATCCCTTTGTTACTGACACCTTATCAATGGCATAGATCAAATCCATCAACTCTAGAACCATTAAAATAGACAACGCAACCGATGTACCTAAAAATATAAAATCCCTCCAACAAATATAAAATTCAAATGGCATATACATACTATATGCAACATCCTAAGTATTAATCCTTTCCATTTCTTTAGGAAGCCCAAGAAGCATAACAACAGTTGAACACTCAAAAATTTCATGCCACCCTAGTCAATGAGGTCGAGTAGGAAGTTTACACCATCAGTGTACTTAACATTCCTCACACAACCAATCATTATTTGCAACAAGCCTTTTCAATATTTGGCGATGTTGCTTACACCACTATTTTGAAGGATGATGATGGAGAATCAAAAGGAGTCGGCTACGTGACCTTTCAAAATAAAGAGTCATATGATAAAGCCATCATTGCAAAGACTTTGATTTTTGATGAAAACATTCTAACAATACTATAGAAATAACCGATTCATATCATGGAAAATAGATTCAAACAAATGAAACTTAGAAAACAGCAACTCGATAAGAAAAAGCTTAAGCACAATAAAATAGATAATGTTAAAATATCGCAAGTTGAAGTTAATTTAGTAATGCTTATCAATTAAATTAGGACTTAGAATTAAAGAATGAAATGAGAACTAGTGGAAGAGTTATCAGAAAGAAAATCAGAAAGATTAAATCTAAAGTTGGAAATGATGATTTCGCTTTAGTCGCTAAAATGAAATAATTTAAGAAAGGAATATAAAAGAAACAGGATTAATTCTTTAGAATTCCATCTTAATTAAAAGCTAAAAGAGAATAAAGAAAGTTAAAAATGGAATAAAATAAAAAGAAGGCAAATAAATTACATAAAAAATGATGTTTATAAAATATTTAAGAACCCTTTATTCAATAGTGTTACATATCTATTTATTTTATATACTTATCTTCTCTTTATATCCAATAGTTAATTTTCAATTTCTTCTAAGTCTACATCATCCTTTTTATTTTATTTACAACTCATTTAATAGAATTCAAATCTATGCCTAAATTGCCATATTCATAATAGCCAGTTGGGAAAGTATTTGCAAATAATAGCATAAATTAAGGGTAGGGTAAGTATTATATATATCGGAAAATATTGGATAACTCATACAGACATTTATTCTTGCAAAATATATATGTATAAGGATAGTTAATTGTATGAAATATAACAAATCGCCTTTTAGTCATGAAAAAGAAACAATCTCTATACATATATATACTAATAATAATATGATTTATACTCACAGAGAAGATATCGCCAGATGATACTTACAAAATGAACAGTTTTTACAGAATTATTTCTTAAATAAATCTGATCTGTTCAAAATTCCATTTTCAGCAAATAAAATTAGTTACTTAATTAATTAATCGCCTCTTAATTAAAAATCTGTGAGATTTCTTAATGGATTAGAGGTAGAATAATAGGAAAGATTAATAATTTATAGGGAATAAATTGGGATATTTGATTATAATGTAGGAAATTCTATTTATCTGATAATTACTTGTGAGATCAGCAGGATAAAAGAAAAGAATATAAGATGAAATTTATAAACTAATTTAAAGGACCTTTAACGTCTCTTTTCTCAATTTCAACTTTCTTTGTATCAAAATTTGCTTGTAAATTGCAATCTCACAAAATCTCTAAAATCTGTTATGAACATCTTTGAAGAGATTTCTTTTGAATTTATAAAATAATTTCTTTGACCTATTATTGAACACCAGTAACTATATACTACAAATATGCTTTTATAAGAACAACGCTTCAGTAATGAAGATTGATTTGATATATTATCTTAGTTTGTATTTTGGATACTATTTCATGAAGTTTTCTCTAACTTTAATTTAACAACTTGACACGGTTAAGAAACCTAGCACATCAGAATGCGTTTTACATTGCTATTTATTGTTTACTGTAGCAATCTCTAAGATTTCTTATTACAACGTATTTATTTATAAAGTTCCTAGTAAAAATTGATGTATTTTCTTCCAATGTATTGAAAAACTTATTCTTAATTAAAATTAATTTCTTTAATATTATGATTATAATTTACATCTATTTAGTTGTGGGTTATTTGTCATTTATGATATTTTTTGTTTTGTTCCTTGTCTTATGAGTGTAATTTCTTTAACAAAAAGGAATACTTTTATTTTGACCTTGAGTTTAAGTTAATTAGATAGGTTTATCTCATTTCAATTGACGATATATGAGAATACAGTATGAAAATCTTGGAGTAAATGGCAATCTAAGATTATTAATTGCAATTAAAGATATGGGGATTGAGATATTTATATGGTTAAATAAATATATATATATAATTTATTTCTTAGATAATTGTTTAGTTAGAATAGTGAAAATTATGAGGTCTGTAAATAATACAATACGAGCAGCTAGTTAAAGGTATTCTTAGTTTTACTATTCAATAAAGTAATGGGAAGCATAGATTCCTAAAAGTTCCTGCAAAAAACAACCATCACGTCACTCTTGCGCCAATAAACAGATTCATTCAAATTAAAGATTGTGCCAATAAGAATTGCCAATACAAACTAGGCAAATTGATTGGTTCTGGATCAAATGCTCAAGTATATCAAGCAATGAACATGGACACTGGCGAAGTTGTGGCTTGTAAAAAAGTACTGTTCAAATTCAAGAATCAGTAAAAAGTAGATGTAAGATGCACAAATTTAATTAGATTGAACTGTCATTTCTATAAATCCTATAACACCGAAACATAATCAAATATATATCTCACGTGTCCACCAAGGATAGTTTATTAATTTATTAAGAATATATGCCGATGGGTATAATTCATTTATTTATTATAGGTTCAATTTCTCAATTATTAAATGAATTTGGTCCAATGATAGAGTCAACTATCAAAACCTATACTCATTAAATCCTCAATGGCTTAGAGTACTTACATAACAAAGGGATATTGCATTTAGATTTAAAATCGAGCAACATCTTATTAGACTCAAGTGGCGATATTAAAATCTCAGACTTTGGTTGTAGCAGACACATAAAACAAAATTTATGTTAGAGTATACTGTAAGGGAGTGTTCCTTGGATGGCTCCCGAGGTGGTTAGATAAGAACAGATCGACACTCCTGCTGATATTTGGGCGTTTGGCTGTTTGATTTTGGAGATGTTAACTGGGAAACATCCATGGTTTGAACAACTTGATTTTGATAATGTTGCATCAACACTTCTAGCAATTGCATTTAATCAAGAATCGCCTAGAATCCCAGAGAGAGTTTCTGAAGAATTGAAGAGCTTTCTTCAAATGTGTTTCTCGTAAGATCCATTATAAAGAGCAACCATTCAAGAACTTAGATCGAGTGCTTTTTTATAATGAATTTTTTGTCTTTATAATTTGTAAGTGAATAAATATCTGTATTATAAATACTAGAGTGTTCTATTTATTGCATATGAATGAAATAGTTAAATTATATTAATAACTATCATATTTATGATTCAATCCTAAGGCTAAATTCGAACTTAATAAGCCGGCTTAGAAGTTAAGTACCATAAATTTTAACTTAGTATTCCAATGAGGTAAATCGAATATGTTTGTTCAATTTTGTGTGCTAATTATACATGCTTATCTTTAGTTTAAAGCTCATCTGGTTATTCGATTCGAAATATATAATAATGTTCGCTTGGTTTATGGATTTGGTTACTTTTATTGTTGTATTGCTCGACAAAAACATATCCAAGGGAGTCTCCTGTGTCCATTTTTTGGAGAAAGTGCTGAGTATTTCATTTAAAGTAAATTTCACAATTTTTTATGATCACAGTAGTTATTCATTTTGAAGTTATGGAGATTAATTTATTTTACATTCCCATAATGTAGATAGTTGTGATTATCGGATTATTTCTCTATTAGGTTCTGCAATAAGATCAATCCAAAAGGAAACATTATATAGTATAATATAACTCTATTAAGATTGCTCATTCCTATGGGATCCTTTATATCTCATAATTGTTATTACTGTCCTTGAAGTGGAACTCCTTTTTCTAATACTCCTATTACCAAACTTTCATCATCGCTTGGACAGCCTTGGGAGTGAACACTTTTTTGATTGTCCTACTGCTTATTACTTTAGTAGAGAATTGTTTCATCAAAGACATACCTGAAATAGATGGTACAACATTATTAAATCAAGGATCAATCATTTTATGGCTGATATACTACATCTTTGGACTAACCGTAATACCATTCTTCCTTCTGAAAGAGATCTGTGAATTTTATGAAAAAGATACAATCCTAATTAACATTAAGATAGCTGGAATAGCTATATTGATATCCCTAATCCTTTACATGATCTCCTTTCTATTCTTTACAAATAAAGTCAGGAAACAATTAATGTAATTCGCATTTAATTATTAAAATAGAATTGTTTTATAATTGGAAGGTAGACAGACTCATGCGGAAGTAAGATCTCCAAAATCTCCCAAATCTCCAGAACCTGAGTCACCAAAACCCAAATGGTCTAAGCTCTAAATTCCAATTCTATTTATTAGGGTTTCTGCTTCCTTTTATAAATTAATAACAAGAAAGACAGCGAATGAAATAAATAATAGAAATATTAGTTCAATTCCAATATGTAGCGATGTTTTAAGACCTGATTCTCTTAATTTTAGATAGTCTCCCTGTTTGACGATGATAAGATAAATAAAATCAATCCCAAGAGATCAAGACTCATGTGATATTTGTTTAATTTGCTTTGAAAATGAACCAGATATTGTTTTATATCCATGCAACCACGGCGGTATTTGCACAGGTTGCTCAGAAAATCTTATGAAGACAACCAAGTAATGTTTCTTATGCAGAACTGACATAAAGTACACTTTCAAAATAAACCAAAAAGTAGGAGAAATCTTAGAAGTCACAGATGTATAAAAAGTTTGATATATTAAAATATTCTATTATCAATCAGTTATTCATAATTTCTAGATTTTCTTGTGTTTAAGTTGTCGCTCCCTTAATTGTTATATTAATTCCTCAGTTTATCTAATCTTTTTCAATTGTTCATCCTCATTTTGTTTTGCAACATCCTTTTTAATGCTGGGCAAGAGTGGCAATAATGGCTGTCTATCATCATTGGCAATTTTAGGACTGTAACTAAAATGAAAGTTTATTATGTTACGATTTTATTATCAAAGGTTTGAGTTCTCCTTCCAAATCATTTTTTTTGTTTGATTTGAGAGGCTCATGCTTTTAAGATTTATTTGAAATTCTTTAATCCTTTTTCCTCGGATGGATTCCAACCCCATATATTTGATTGATTTGATTGTTCTTGGGGTTATCTAATTAATTGTCCTCTCCTCCCTTCTTATTATTTCTTGAAACAACGGAATTATCAAGACTCTCTTCATTCCTTTTATTAAGACGAGGCAAGAAATCAACATGCATTGAATGATTCTCCTCTAAATTTTCTTAATTCAACTTCTAAATAGCCAAAGTCTAGATGAACTGCTATTTATCAATTTTAGTCATTCTAATTGGATTATAGTTAGGTTTAGGCAATCTATCTGTCAAATAGTGCATATTCCTGGGAACTCTGATTGTTTACAATAGAAATTTGGCTCCTTCCTCCTCAACCAAGACCTTGTCATCCAACCTATTCACTATGGATTACAATTAGAGTATCTTATCGCAACTGGGCCTCAAATGTGGTTAGACTTAAAGCAAAGCTCTAATCACATTGCTTAAATCTTAGCTGTAAATGGTGGGTATTTTAGGATAAAAGCCCTTAACTACTTTTTTGTACAAACCACTCATATCTTCAGCTCGAAAGGGTGGCTTCAGTGTAGTCATTTCATAGAGAACACATCCTAATGACCAAATGTCAGATTTGGAATCATAAGGCTGGTCTTTCCAAACTTCTGGTGAGGCGTAATAAGGTGTTCCAGTTTGCGTGTAGAGTAGTATTTTTCGAGCAACTTTGGAGACGTTCATATCTCCCAATTTAACAGTTCCATCTGTATTCATAAAGACATTTGCGGATTTGAGATCTCTATGGTATATTTTCATATCATGCAATGCTTTCAAACCTTTGACAATCTGTAATGTTGATATGGATCAAGAAATACTTATATGAAGATGATCAAAATATCATTTTCAGACATAAGAACTCCCTTCTTCTGGCATTCTACTATTTTTTAATAGAGATCTCCATCATCTGCGTATTCCATTACGATACTTTAAATAATTGCATCTAAATAGTTACCATAATGCTTAAGATTACTCTTCCAAAAATGCCTCCTTGTATTGAATCACATTTGCATGTCTCACGCTTGCCAATATTCTTACCTCGTTTAGTGCGTTTTGTTTCTCCTTGTCGGAGAGAGATTGCAAATTGACCTTCTTGAGAGCGTATTCCTATTGATCCGCAATTCTTTTTATCTTAAATACTCGAGAATAGGCTCCCTCACCTAGTTTGCATTTTAAGTATACCTAATTCTTGCAATATCTGGAAGTCCTTCAATGACATATAATAAATTATTATTAAAATAATCACATAGATGTATGTCAATATATAATTTAATTTTATCTATCACTCTCACTAATCCAACACTACCTTCGTCTTCTATACTTAAATGATAAACCCATATATATTACATGCATAAAATACAGAATCTATGATCCCAGCTATTGTAAATACTCCTCCCAAAATAGCACAAAGTTGGACGATGAAATGATTGAAGGTCTCATAGTATTTAGTAAATTGAACGGTAACAGGAGATATGTCATATCGGAAGTATATGGCCGGCATCGAATTAGTCTAAGCCTCATTCGTATTCGCAGTGAATTGATTGACAAAATATTCCCTATTGTCGATGTCCACATATATTGTAGGCACAATTGAAATATAATATTGATGAGTCACTCCCACGTTCTTAAGCTCCTGAGTCTTTATTCTGCTTATGCCATCTAAGGGATTGAGCAACCCTTATTTGAACTTCTCTCTGATCTTTTATATGTCATTTTAATTTCCGAATGACAAGTGTTTAATTGTATGCGACAAATCGATTGTTGACAATTCCACAAATGGCAATACTATATTAACCTATCCTCCATATGGATGAGCAGATATATGGAAATTTCCAGGAACTCTACTTATTATGATATATCCAGTCAGTTCACAACCTTCGTTTTATTCATATGCTTTTTAGGCTCTCTCTAAATTCAATGTCTCATTGGTTGATAACTACATTTATTACTATTCAATTATACGTATGTATCAATGATCCTCCCATTTAGCATTCTCTTTTTCAATAACTCACCTTTAACATTTTATTAGTGAGTGCCAATTACATCTTGTTGATCAATACTTATGAAATCACATGGCATGTTGGGAAATGAGATATCCATATTCACTAAGAGTGTGTCATCCTTGTTTTAATCGATATACATCTCAGTTTACACTTGTTGAGTCAGATATTCCTTTCCTTATGACTTTGAATTACCTAAAATTCTGTAATAAATAATATAAACATCAAAATCAATGATGTAAAGGAGATCAATGCACCTGATTTTGATGGCTCAATTAAATCCTATGGCAACTTCCTATATAAATCAAATTTGAGCATTTCTATTTATTTTGGTATAAATATTTATTGACTTATAATTCCAATCTAAATCAAATCAAATGTATTTAATCACACATCTATTTATTGGTTATTTTATCGATTGCCATCTGACTATCTTACAAGGATCCTTGATTACTAACTAGATAATTTCAATATGGACAACAATTCTTCTAGATATCTTAACACCATTTACAAGGTAATGAGAATGTAATTAATACATGAAGTCAAATTAATTATGGAGATGTTCAACTTATTATGATTGTATAGTTTAAGTTTATATAAACATTTACAAAATTATGAATAACAAATAATTCAAAAAGAAAAGACTACACGAAGTTGACTATGCTCAAAAAGTATTGACTTCGATTAAACCTGATATTCAAAATATCAAACTGAATCAAAATTTGTTTCATGCTTAACAACTAGCTAGACATTCCTCAACACTTATTAAGAATATTCAAAAGGATGTCAAATAAACTCTCAGAAAATATGACTCATAATTACAGCTTTGCTAATCAAACAGGAATTATACGATGAGTGACTCAGCTAGAAAATATTCAAATGAAATACCTCGACAAACTTAATTGTCAACAGAAAAAGAATTAGAATCGTTAAAACAATAATAAAAAATATTGATGATCCTTTTGAATAATCTTCAATAATAAGAGAAGCTTATAGTTATTTAACATCAGAATTCTGAAGAATAATAACAAAAGTAATGTATTGAAAAATAATGGTATGAATAAAAAGAAAAGTAGTTATTAGAAATAAAACAAAAATAATCCTAAATAGGTTAAGCATAAAAAAAGAAAATGTGCGACACTGATGTTATTTAATTGGATATAAGCAGACTTAAACGGTCACCTCATAATAAGTCTAATTCTTCTTAAAACTTCTTCAGTCCAATCAATAAAGACAAAATTAGTTAAGACACACCTATCTTGAGAATGAATAAAAGTCAATAAAAATTTAATCAAAAAAACTTGGATTCCCCAAAGAAGTGGGAATAATATGGAATGATTAATAAAAAAAATAATTCAAAAAAATAATAAAGAAATGAAAAAAATTAACTTACAAATGAAAATTATATACAGAAAAATAATAAATAGAAATTGGAATTATAAATCAGATCTGGTAATTCCAATGCAAGAGATAGTCATTAGAGCAAGTAGTTATCAGATGATTTAACATATCTAATCAATGATTTGAATGAATTTAACAATAAATCTAAGAGGTTCTCTATAAAAGAATGAACACATTTTTTTAACTAGAATGAGATTGAAATTCCTTTATGTATTATAAAGACAATTGTTATTATTTAATATTATGACAATTTTTATAAATAATCACATATTAAATAAGAGTATAAAAATTTTAATTAAAATTTTAGTATAAATACATAAGTTAATTAAACAAGATTTGAACAATTTTTATTAATCTCTAAATATTAATGGTTTTCTGGAATGGAACAGATATCGGGTTGGCAGTCATTGGTGGTGCTCTTATAGGCATCGCTACATCGCTCCACTACGTAGTAAAAGGCAGAGTGACTGGATTCAGTGGAATTTTATACAGCATCGCCACCTATGACCTTCCATCATTTTTTTGGAAGGTTTCCTTGATGATGGGCGTGATAATGGCCTCAAGTATTTTTTACTTAGCATTTGGGTACGAATAAATTATATTTTTATAGTACAGAAAAAGCAATTATTGATGGAGGCACTCATGCCTATGATGACTTATCAGTTCTAACTTAAATCGGATGGGGAGGAGCAATCGTAGCTGGATTTTGTGTGGGATTCGGTACTAAAATGGGCAACGGATGCACAAGTGGCCACGGTGTATGTGGATTACCAAGGTTGGCTCCGAGATCAATTGTTGCAGTCTGTTGTTTTATGGGAATGGGGATGCTGACCGCCTCAATTAAAGAAAACTTTAGTATTCATATAAAGCTAATTTTAAGTTCCGTTGGAACATCCAGAACCAATTGATTATGATCATGAAGCTTGTGCCATAACAACATTAGTTTTAAGTTTTGTAATCATCCTCGTTATGGCTGGATTTTAATTCGTCAAGAAAAGGGAATTAATGCTTGACTTAGCCATAGCAACAGTAGTCGGATTTATTTTTGGATTAGGCTTGGCAATATCTGGTATGGTGAAAAGAAGCAAAATTATTGGATTCCTAGCAATAAATGAAAGATGGGATCGTAATATTATAGTGTATATTGTTAGCTACTCTCATTTTTGTGATGGTCACTCCAGTAGTCATTAATTTCTTTGCTTTTAGAGCCAAAGAGAAACCATATTTGAATAAAAAATATGAAATTCCAACCAATAATGTCATAGATTGGAAACTCGTATGTGGAGCTATGATATTTGGATTTGGATGGGGAGTAGGTGGATTCTGTCCTGGCCCTGCATTTGCACTTTTCCCATAATTCACAGTCCATATCAATGTTTTATTTATGTTAACTCTTGTTATGGGACAATTATCAGCTAATTACTTTGTGAAATGGGTGGATGAGAGAAAGAAATATGATCAAATTAAGCCTCAACCTGAATAATAATCAAAAGAACAATAGCAAAAGGATCAAATACCAGATATATCTAAATAATAACTTGCAGAAACCCCAAGCGATAGAAAGAATGATGCTCCAGACAATACTGCAAAAATAAATTGATTTAGAACTTTATATTATTAATTATTGTTAAGAAAACTGATCTTCTAACTTTCATCTTATTAGATTATTATTTGATTAATTTAATAAATGACAATCTAAAAAATGAATCATTATATCGCTAAATTGGATCATGGATCAAATATCTAATATTTATTTTAGTATGTTACAATCAATGAAATACATTCTCATTATCAATTAATGATAAAATTAGAAGGGCTTGTTCAACATAATTTAAGGGTTTTAATAAATGCACATAACTCAATATTATATAAAATTATAATATTTCAGATTTCATCTAAATCAAGCACTGGATAATCACCAACAGTTAATTCATTTGGTCTTACAAATATTCCAAATTTTTGAGGACATTAGAAATATTGAAAGCCCTAAATGTTTCCATTATTTGTTCCTGTTGGTTCATCTAACTCGATTCCAACAAAATAGCCTAATCCCATCTAAGGAACTTATCCAACTTAAAAATTTAATTATTATTTTACCATAACGAACTGTTCCTCTTCTCTCCCCTTAGTTAAGTTAACAACGAGAGCCTATAGCTATTTACAACGCTTCTGCCTCTTAATAATTATCATCTATTTCAGGTTTATTTTATCCTAAATTTCCTCCGGCTGCTTATTATTACAAAAATTATTATTTGAATTTTCTCATATTAACAGGTAGTTTATCATAATCCTCATCACTTATTGTATACTTTTAAACTTTGTTCACATCTTCCAAACCATTTAAAACACTATTTGGATTATTGTCAATTATATGAACTTCGTATCCATCCTTAGCTCCATAAGTCCCCAAAAATTTTACATCATCATTCATGTAGGTGATGAAGTTGCCCTAGAATATTTTACTTATCGTACTTATTTATCCTTTAATTGCAGTTGCATAAATTTAGGGTCACTACCATACCTTTTTTCAATTGATTCTTTGATGCTGCCAATAGTTTGCATAAGGTCAAATCTTATATCTATCATTTTGCAGGTAGATATATTATGAGTCAGAGTTAATTTTACTGTTGAATCATAAGCTAGTGGCTCAGCAAACATGAAATAATAAAATAATTATCATCCTCTAAATTAACTTAGAAATAAGACATGAAAATTATAAAAGAAATTTTATTTATCTAATGAATTCTTATAGTTTATACTAATTTATAAATAAAATTTATATTTTTTATAATTTTTTGGATTAAAAACATAATTAGAGGATATACATAGAAAAGGAAACATTTTTCAAATATGAAACACTTATTTTTAATAAATATTAGGGTATGCATTTATTATAATACTTAATGCAAAATATAATTAATTATATCCATTTAAATAATAAATTATATCAAATTACATAGTAATTCTTTATGAATAATCTAAATTAAATAACTTAAACCTTATTTTGAAAAATAATTCTAACTTATAAGAAATAATAGTAAATAAGATACAATATCTTTTGATTATTTTATTGACATTATTCTGTTGGTTTAGATGATACTAAGGAAAGATTCTAATTTATAATAATAAAAAGTGCTTTGCATGTACAAATTTCATCATTTTTATATTATGAAATACAGAATTAATAGGATAACAGATACAAAGCTATAATTTGAAACATTTTGCTGATTCAATATTTTGCAAATATTTAGTTTTGGCCATCTATGAACGAGATTATTGAAACAAGTTGAATTTTACCTTTTTAATTAAAAATGATTACTCATTATTAATATTCGAATATTTATATATAATTAGATCAATTAATAATTATATTAATATATAAGTTTATTAAAATGTATTATTAATTAACATAACTCAACCATCATTCGAAGCATAATAAAATCTTGATCTCTTTGTCTTCATCTTTCCTTAATTGTTAATATCAAAAGCACCAGATTGAGATCTTTAATGTTTTCTTTTTTAAATTAGGTCAGGACTAACCTAATCTGAATCCAAATTCATGTTCTTAAAATTTTATTTAATGACATCAATAGAATTTACTGAGCTAGTTGAACCATTAATAGAAGATTGAGCAGAAACACAAACAATTTTTTAGACCTTTGGTTCTTTATTTGATGAAGAATTACTATTTTCTTCCTCTTTAATTTAATCGGATATCATTTTTTCTGATCTCTAAGAGCTAAGTGTTCCAATTGAATTTGTAGGGGTGTTTTGCTATGAAGAGTATACATTAAATTTAAATTATTATTGCTATTATTATTAGATAAATTATTAAGGAAAGTATTAGCCTTGATAAAAGTTGGGAATCATAGTTTATTATTATTATTATTATTATTATTATTGTTGAATTAGTTATTATTGCAATAATTATTGTGAAACTAAATTTTGATGTTGTGGTATTTATATACTGATATTGGGTTATTATGGAGGATATTATTAAGGTTGGCAATGTATTTATTATTAGAGTGGATTAATTTGTGCAGGAATTTAGGGAATTGTTGAATATTAACTTACTTACTATACTTGTGATAATGGTTGCAATTATGGCATTTGAGGAATCTGCTAAAATTGTTAAAAATAATATTATTAAGGATTCATAAGTAAGCTATATGGATTAATTTATTAATAAGTCTATTCTTAACTGTAAGTATTATTTTCTTACTGATTTTATTTTGTTTATTATAATTTTTAAATTGGCTTCAATCTGTTAAGAATCGTGTGAATTAGAAACTACGATGCTTTGTCTAACCCATTTTTAGAAGGATCTTAGTTTTATTCTGCAGTGACTCCTTATGGTATTTATGTAATTTTTTTTTCTTTATTTATGAGACTCTTAAAGCGATTTTTAACCTAGTTTTCTGTTCTGTTCTTTAGTTTCTTTGAAATATTGGACCATCTAAGTCCTTCAGCTAGTGCTAATTACAATAAATTAAAATCATCAAGTTCTGTCCAGATACCTCTAAGATTAAATATACATCTTTACCTATTTACTTATGGATTTAAATAATTATTCCATCTTTCCCTATATTGCTTAGCCTTCCTAAAATAAAGGCCTGATGATTGAATAAACATTTCGTATTGGACTTCAAACCATTTAATATTTGGTTCTTTTGTCATTATTTTATATAACAATTGATCCTCTTCTGATGTCCAATTCTTGCTTGCAGGCACTACACGTAAGTGAGAAAACCATTTAAATTGACAGTTGAATTTATCTTTAATTGCTATGATCTCGGAAATTTCATGCCAATCCTCAACTTTCTATTGTAAAATTATTATAATACAAAATCTTCACTATTTTTTTAATTAGCAACGCAATATTGTTAAATAATCCATATTAAGACTTTCCATTCTTCATCCGTCCAATTTCTTGAACTATGCATTTTCAAAAATTCCCTATGAAATAAAAAATTTGATTACTGTGATTCACAATATTCATAAAAATGAAGTATTTCATTTAAGGTAATGCTCGTTTACTGTATTTTTACATCAATTGTATTTTAGAGTCTTTAAATATCCACAGAATAATTTTCTTCCCCAATACTCTAGATAAATTACTATAGTTTTGGTAAAAGTGATAGGTGTGTTTTATTCATTAATATTAAATTAATTTATAAAAATAACTAATCAACAAGCACAATAATGTCTATATACTGAGTTCAAGCACCAATTTAAATTGAATCCAAAGAATTTAATTATACCATTTCATCAAAATAATTTATCTTATAATCTTATCATTTATATGTCAATTTTTTTAATTGAAATAAATTAATTTATTACTTATATTGACATATACTTTTATGTATTATTACAGAGTTCTTCAATTCCCTTTGCAAGAAGAAAACTTTTACATTTAATTTTCAGTATTAATGTATTGATATTTTTAGTATAATTTTTCAATAATCGATTTTTTAGAATCTTACTCAAAAGTTATTTAAATAGTAATAAACCCAAGCATCTCCTAAGATTGAACTTATTTTTTAGAAATTAAATCGAATAACATATAATACTATATCTTATCTATAATCCAAAATCCTTTAGATGATAGTAAAAGGAAATAATAATTATTAACAAGACCTATTTTAATTGGAGATAGATAATACTCAAAAAAATATTGTTCTTTTATCGCAAATTCTAAAGTTATAGATAAAGATTTAAATATACTTATTAAAATTTTAAGATAGGCGAATTAGAATTTTGCCTATCTTTAGAAAAAAGATTTAAAACAAAAACGAGGTAAATCCACAAAAAATTTGCTGTTTTTCATCCTAATCTATATCTAATAATAATAATTATTTTTATAGTTGGTTAATTTGATTTTACAATCATTACTCACAAATTTACACATATTTTGGACTAGATTAAAGCGATGCATGGAGTGTACATAAAGTCAGGGAATCTTGAATTAATACATAAGAAGTAGTTTATACATATATAAAATGTATTTATATTAAAATTAAATAAAATATATTGTTCATAATAATAATGAATATAATTCAAAAATCACTATAAGGTCAAACAAAGTTTAGCAGATTTTTGAAAGTAAAGTAATTTAAGTATGAATTGAAACGCTATTTTTGATCTAATCCAAATATAGTGAATTTAATATATAACACATGTAACATGTAGAATTTCTAATTAGATTGAAGAATAAGAAGGAGCATATATGTTAATTTTGGCAGAGAACTTCTAGCTTTTAAGGGAAATCAAGTAATTATTCTTTTCTATTCAAACAATATAATTGCCTCTCAAACTTATTTTAATTTTTAATCATACATTTTTTTTGCACCCCCGGTCATTTTTTTATCTGGATTTTTAAGGTAAATAAACAAAAAATAATAATTAAAATAATTTGTTTTCAAAAGAATCTCTCATACTCTAGAAATCGTTATTGCAGCCATGACGACCTTTTGTGTATTACTAAATAATAATTTTTGAAATCTAGCAAATCGATGATGTTTTTTAAGTCCATTTAACTTCAGATTAAGCAAGAGTGATTGCAAAGAGATTACCCCCTGGGTTTAGCATTAATTTAAGCAGATAATCGAAAAGAGATGTTAAAGTTTACTAATCAAATTATAAAATTTTAGAAATTTTAATAGGATATTTCATCAGATGAGGAGAATAAAGTTACAAAAAAAACATACGTCGCACCTTATAGAGCTGAAAATACTGATGAAATGAAAAGATGCTTAACATTACTTTAAAAATTAAAAAAACATTAGTTAGCAGCTCCATTTTTAAGGAAATTAGAAAATGTCAATTATCCTTAAGAATTGGAATACGTTGACTTATAAATTGTTGAATAGAATCTCAAAAACAGTACTTAAGAATTCCAATTATTAATTAGATGAATATCTTACTGCCACGTAATTTTGGGGTGATATAAAGAAAATTTGGTAAATGTCCTATGCCATGAATAACAAAGGAACCTAACTTTATGCTATGACTCAAGAGTTAGAACAACATTTCAATGAGTTATACAAGGAAATAGACAAACCTTATCAACCAAAGCAAGTTGTTGAGCAACCACCAAAACAAGAGAAATAGAAAAAGCCTCCTGCCATCTAATAAACTAATAGCAATAGTAATCACAATAATTAAAATAATAAGAAACCAATGTAAAACATAAAAATAATAATATTAGAAAACAACCAAGTCTAATGGAATAACCTATGAATATGCAAGAAAAAAGAGCTTTAGTATCGAATATTAATAGTTTGCCTCCAGAGCATCTTAGGGGTGTTTGGGAAATAGTATCAGATGGGTTAAAGATCTAAGAATAAAATGATGAATTAGAATTTGATATTGATACTTTACCAGTAAAGAAGACAAGATAGCTGGAGAAATACGTGAACACAAAATTAGAATATTTGAAAAAACAATAAAGTAAAAAGGCAGCAGAAGACAATAAAAATTAAGAAAAAAATGATAGAATTGTATAAATTGAAAACTATTTTAGGTACATGCTGCTAATAATACGTATAATCATGCTCCATAGCCAGTTTCACAATTAAAATAAACTGACACTGGAGACAGTTCTTTTAGCAGTGATGCTGAGGAATCTGTTTGAGTATTTTTTTTATTTTTGTTTTTTGATAAATTTCATTAAAAATTAAATGAAAATTTTTTTTGGTTGAATTATCATTCTAATTTATTCAAAAATTATGATATTTCATTTTTAATTTATGATGTAAGATTGGCTAAGTTAATATCCTTTGATTTTAACAATTTATTAAAATTAGGCAATTTCACAATTTTATCAAATTAGAGAATCAATGTTTCATATGGCTTTTATCTATTCTAATTTTTGTCCTATGCTTTATTTTATAATTGTTTTCTCGCATTTTTATATTGTATAATACTCTATTTAATAATAATAAAACAAGATTACATCCTTCATTTGAGAGTAACAAAATTTAATAAATTCCAATCCTTTGATAATTTAATAGGAGAATTTTGAGTTTAGTAATAATATTGCACTTTCCAACAATAAGAATGTATCTTCTGCCTATAATTTTTTCTATGCTGTATCTTGTCTCAACATTGCAAATAAATCAATAAGTGCAGAGTTATCATTACAACTATTCAAATAGATAAAATATAATTACCGTCTTATTTATTAAATGCATTACTTCATATCATTTTGAGAGTACAGCTTTATAATAGGCTTTAATTTTTATATTCTTTCATTTAAGATCATTTTGACTTTGCTGTGATCTAAGGAGATTTCATTTATAATTTCTAATTGGATGTATTTATCTTAATTTGATTTTGTAAAAAGTATTTAAGAGAACTTAAGAGAAAGATTTTAAGTTGTAATTATGTCATCAGAAACCTACGCTTCTTATTCATAACTTTAGTCTAACTTTTCATTCGATTATGTTGGGTAAAAACATTAATCAAATTACATTAATTATGAGAATGGAATTTAGCTATCTTATATTTATGTTTAACTGTCTTCTACTTATTGAGTATTTAATTCAAGTTAAAATACATGCAGCTTTAAAATGTCACCTCTTTGCTCCAATACCTAGACGACATCATTTTCAAGTTTCATGTCTTGTATTCGTGACCAATCTATCTCTATTGAATTCAATTATATCAATTCAGTGTTGAACAGATCCAAAATATCTTATTAAGCACAAATTAAGATCTCCTGTTCATAATCAAATACCATTTTTTAAATTGGTTATTAAGTAATTGAAATTCGATTCTTCTATAAATAAAGGAAAATACCTGAATTTATTTTGTAATATCCCATTATTAAATGGTATATTTTTCTCCACTTGTAAATAATGTATCAGAATTTTTGATCATCAATAAGTTATATACTGAATCTTGATGATCAAGTAAACCTTAAGGTTAAGAATAATTTCTAAAATCCCAAATACTGATAGTTTCATCTTGAGATCCACAAACAAATTGAAATTTCTCTGAATCTGCAACAATATCATTTATTTATTGCTTATGTTGCTTAATTTAAGCTATTGGCATATTTTATCTCAAATCATGAACCATAATCACTGAATCTTAAGATCCACTTATGAACGTATTAATATCATAATTAGTTAATTTTGTAATAGCTCCATTATGCAATGCTTTTGTTTCCTATTCTAATCAAAATTAATGAATTATCTTTACAGATTTATTGTTCTAACTCTAGAATAAGAATCTTCCCTTCCTAAGTCCCTTCTAATATTAAGTTAGTTTATTTGCTAAACTCAATACATGAAATCTAGGCAGAATTGCTTAAAACCTAAACAATTTAAGAACTAAATACAATAAGGGGTTAATAGATTTAATCTGACCATAAAAATATATTTTTTTCATTCACACTAATGAATTGATTTTAATGTGGGGAAAATTTGGAACAAATAATTTCACTTTTGTTTAGGTAATCGCCTAGACTTAGATTGTTTATTACATGTAGTATATTGCTTCATATTTCTTTTTCAACTTGATATATAATTATTATATTAAATAATAAATACACTAATTCTATTATTTAAATCAACTATTCATTGAACAATCGATAATGTCTATTTGAGTTACTCAAATAATTCTTGTTGCTCAATAGTGGATAATTAGGAAACATAACCAAGGACTGTCCCTAAAGTTACTGCCTTTGGTAACACAATTTGATGCAAATATAAATAAGAAAACATTCCTGTTAGTATTTAACAATCCATTCTATCAGTAATGCCTCCATGTCCTGGGATAGTGTCACCAAAATCCTTGATTTTAATACCTCTCTTAAAACCAGATGCAAAGAACCCACCAAATGGTGAAACCAAACTTGTAAATAAACTAAACACCATAGCATGAAGTTAGAAATCACTAAAATAAATTGAATCAATTCCGAATATTGAAAAAGGTAATAACCTCTAAGTAGTTATAAAAACACTTGGTATTTCGCATGTTAATGAAGCAAAAGGAGAAAAAGGCAGCTAGTGTTATGGACATGTCAAATACTGACTGCCTTATAAAAAGTAAGCAAACTATATTAACATTATAGGATTACACAAAAGGATGCAACTAATGTTGAAAAACAGCCTCCAATAAAGCCTTCCCATGTCTTCTTTGGTGATAACTCAATTAGAGGGGTCTTTCCAAAAGATACTCCAAAAATGTATGCAAATATATCATTTGTGATGACCAAAGAACATGGTAATATAAACCAAACAATGCCTAAGAAATTAATATTATTTTAGATACCTTCAAATATATTCATGATCATAACTGAACTTTGAGCGACTACAAGGATTAAAGTGATGTGTGTCCATCCAAACATTCTAAATTGATATCTATAATATCCTTTTTTAAGTGATAGCGTGAACATCAGAAATCCAGCTACCCATAGCATAAATGTGATTATATTATGATAATTCAAAATATATGACAGTATATGCATTCTAAATGCGTATTCAGATAATTTAGATTAAAAGAGTTTTCCGTAACAAAAAAATGTGGCAATTCCAAAGAAGTACCAATTTATAATTGGCGAATACTTTACATTCACTTCTTTCTCATAATTTCTTTTCAATCCCAAGATTTCCTTAAATATTCCTATATTAATTAGCAAAACTAATCCAATGATATAAATATGGCCGGCCCATAAGACAGCCATAAACCCAAAAATCATAACAATTGTCCAAATCGTTCTTACTACAAAGTTGTTATTTTTGATAATTATAGGGACATTTCTTTCTAAATTAGGCAATTTATTTTTAGTAACAACCTTTTTTGGAGCAGGACCTCTTCTTCTAACTTGAGTATCAGACATTTCAGAAAAGTCATTGTCCGTATTAGATTCTTCTTATTGAGCATCAACCTTAGATTTCATTTGTGATTAAGAAAATATATTAATAAATCAATATCAGCCTTCTTTATTTAAACCTGTATCGAATTTTAGCAATTCTTTTTAAATCTTATTTATCTTTTTCATGTTGTAAGTTGATTGCTATTATGTAGGTTATTAGAAGGGCATGGTAGCATAAGGAAATCCTTAGTTGCTAAATGCTGGCGAGTTAAATAATCTTAATAAACAAGGCACATCCTACTGAGGAGCACTGGAATCCAAATTATTTGTCGATTTCATGTATTCATCAAACAATTACAATTATCCAGAATAATTTTTGTTCCTTATTTCATAAGGGGATGAAATGTTATTGGGACTTTATTCTACTGATAGTTACTATCATTTACATAATAAATAATGTAATGGTGAAAAAGGTAGCATAGGTGAGTATACTGGTAATCCAAGTACAAGAGGCTATTATTATTATTATTACTATTATTATTACTGCTATTACTATTATTACTATTGTAATTATGATTATTATTATTATAAAAATTACTATTAGATTTAAAACTACTATTGTGATTATTCTTATTGATGTTCCTCTTTTATCTCATTCATTATGTTATTTTCAATCTACATATATGGCTAATCATTATTATATAGTACGGTATCCTTGTTATTACTATTATTATTGTTGATGTTATTGTTATTATTGTTGTTGATCTATTTTCTAATTCGCTTAGTAGTTAACGGGACTGGACCTTCATAATCTTTACCTTATAAATTGGCCAACAATTTATGAATGGCTATGTCCTCATTGTCCAATTGCTAATGTAGACTGAATTTTATACATTTTGTCTTCTATAATTGTTCATCATAGAATTGTATTAATTTTTTACTTAATTTTCAGTCCTTCCCTAAATACGTTTAGAAATTAAAGACCATCTTTTTCCAATCTCCTACACGAGCAACAATAATTACAATTATTCCGGTTAAGACCACTCAGATCTAATTACTTGACCTTATAATACTTTTTTAAGTCTGGATTTAAATAATTGTTCCATCTTTCTCTAATCTATTTAGCGTGTCTAACTATTTTTGCCGGGTTAGCCCTATTAAAATCAATAGTTATTTGAGTCCAATTCTTATTTTCACTTGGATCGGTAATTAATTTTTGTAGAACATCATCTTCTTCAGCATTCCAAGGAGCCATTTTTAAATTAGTTTTTAACATACTAATCCATTTTAAATTTAGCAATTATTCTGTGACTCCTAAAACAGAAGATAGATATTGCCAATCTTAATCAGACTATGCTATTAATAAAACTTACAGGATTTAGATCAGTCTTATTTGTTAATTCAAAATATTTCAATACAGTCCAGACAAATAGGATTTTATCTTTCCTGTGCCACTTTGTACGATGTTCTTCATTTGTACGTCTACTTTTATTGTAAACATCTACTTTGAAAACTCTTAGAAATAATAATTCAGGATATTTTTGCAAGGTGGAAAGCTTTTCTCATTTATTTTCAGAACTTTTTTGATTTATTTCAATTTAACAGGTCTATCTTTGAAATCACTGATGTCCTCCAGAAATTAAGCAAAATTTGACATTTTTATTATTAAAAAATAATTATTCAATTCTTTATTAAAATCCTTTTATCGATAGCCAAAATAATTTTGAATTGTGAAACATACATGATTTAAATTAAATAATGAAATAATGAGTATCTTAATCAAATTCTTTAAGTTTTAATGTAAATTGGTGTAACGACATAGACTGAATTTATTTTAGATATATCTCTTATCCCATACCTACTTGATTTTTCAAAATACATAATTTTAATAACATATTATAACTCAAAATGTTTTTTTATTTACGGTAATCTTATGCTTGAAATCCCCTATTGCCTCACTTTTCAATGTAATATAAGGCAAATCAATCAGATACTCTAAAGGCTCTCCATTTTGAATGCACTCTTTATCCAATATTTAATAAATATCCTCAACACCTATGTCTCCCAATTAATCTTATGATATATTATAGAACTTTGATTTTATAAATTAGTATTAACCACTACCAAATTCAATTTGAGAGATGACATGTATTTTATTATGAATTATATCCATGTCTTTAATGAATCCCAAACCCAAAAATGCTCCGTCCTACTCTACAGCTACCAAACTAAATATAAACACTGAAGCTATCTCTTCCAAATCATAGTAATTCTTCTTTTCATTTATCACAATGAATTAACATTGATTTGTATCTATAATTTTTAGATCTGTTTAAGAACATAAAGTTAAATAATTTAGATTTTCCACACCAAGGTTTTAAGCAATCTTTGAGGTTCGATTCTATTTTCTAATCTAAGGTGTCTCTACCTGAATAGTTTAGCCATATGATTCAAAATCGATTTCTTCATGAACTATCTGCAATTATGACTTAAATGTATCAAAATTACTAATAAAGGATTTTCTTGATAATTATTCATATAAATAATTTGATTTCTCCATAATTTTTTTATGGTTGTCTCTTGAAAGCAAGATGCATTTTGAGGGTTACAAAATATTTATTAACTCTTAAATTATAGTTATTCCATAGCTCGTTATGAAACCAGCAGTGTTAATCAATAATGGATAATCCTTTAAAAGTTGAGACTAATTGTAGACATCGAATGCCTAAGTCACTTTATGGAAATAGAGATCAAAATGATTAAAGACTTGGAATTCCCCAACAAATCCTTGAAATAAAATCTGAGGTTTTGATAAAAACAGAGGCAATTCTAATTTTACAAGGGTAACAAAACCAGGTAAAATGATGGCTTAACCAAGATCAGTATCTAAAATAAAAACTTGATTGGAATTCATTAATTTATTTGCATATAATTACAAACTTGTAGATTTTCCTACTTATTTTTCACCAATGAACATGACACTTCTGTCTTAGCAATCAAAAAGTTCCTATTTTTAATCTGTCAAAATATAACCAAAGTCACTAATTTCATAATGACCATAAATTAACAAAGTTAATTCTTTAGGTTAATTTTTTAGAATGTAATTCATGAATTCCAAATATACTTCAGATTATACTTATGAAGATTAAAATTTTGTTAAATAATCTTCAATTTTTTAAGGCACATTGTGAGCGATTACAGTGACAAACTCTGTGCTGCTGAATTCATATATTTAAGTTTTCCTTACTTCATACAAATCCATTTCCAAATATCCATTAACAACGACAAATTAAAATTGACCTCTAATGTGAATTTACTATAATTTGTATGAAAATGTTATACTTCTTTGTGAGTGAGTTTTATTTATTGAATTGTTTCTGATTCAAGCTAAGTTGTTGATTATTTTCTTTTTTTCGAAGGTTTTAACAATCTTTTCTTTTTTAGGATTTTTTTAATTGAATTCATTACAATTATTTTTAATATATTAATAAATCAAAGTTTGGCTAGAAACTAACGAAGTTAATCCTACTTGAGTGTTGCTTTCTCCATAAATGACTTAAATTCATTCCAAGTAAGCTAATTTAATGATAAACATAATACAAAAATCATCTAATTTGATTAATGACCTTATTTTCCCTTTTATAGTGAAATAACAATTTCATTTATCAAATCATCTACCATTTCTTCAAAGTTTTTCTCAGATTTTAATTTCTTAAAAAATCAAAAAAATAACTACCTTAAAGCTGACTCTTAGATCTTTCATTGAGTTTATCAATAATTCTTTTATATCTTAAATCGAAAGCATCCCATTATGATCTTTATCATATTCATTAAATTAATGCTATAAAGTGCCCCTAAATACATATTTACCTTTTTCAATTACACAAAGATATTTAAGCCATTCATCTCTTGTAATTCTCCCTGATTAATCCATATCTAGGATTTCCATTTCAGTTTATAATCTATAATAATTTGGCTTATCTCCTTCATATGCATAGATTAAATATTTCAATTCTGACATAGAGACTTCATTATCACAATTGATATCAGAAGCGTCAAAAGCAGCCCAAGCATTCATTACATCTTAATATGCTTATTTAAAAATCCATCCATCCTGTTTTTGGTCTAAGTAAGCATTAGAAGAATCCTATAAAGTTTTAAAAAGTAACTCCAGAATATCTGACTACTAATTATTGAATTCATTCAAAAATATTTGTCTTATTGATTCCAATTCACATTATTCACATTTATAATTTCCAACTGCATTTATAAAAAAGTTTTCATAAAGAATTCTCCTCTCTTTATATCTCCTTCTTGCATTTTCATATGTTTAGATAAGCGCATACTTTAACAAAAAGTCTTATAATTCAAAATTTCCAATTATCCACAATTTAAACTCATTGAAGGAAATAGTATTACTGTAATCTCTATCCAATTCTATAAATAATCGCTCTGCATAGAAATCAATGTCCTTTAATGAAGGAGCAGGTAAATGGACTAACTTACATAAACCACAAATGCATGTTTCTAAAGCGACTACTAGTTCAGCCTTCTCGATTTCACCTGACTTATCAGTATCAAATAATTGAAATATGAACTACAATTTAAGTTCTTATTCTTCATCGCTAAATATTGTCTTTAAGTTAATTCATTTAATTACCAAAACAGCTAATGATTCATAAATATCATTGGCCCCTTCTAATGTAGATTTAGAAGACAAGAGAGAAAATACAGGTTATGTCCAAATTTCTAATATTGGGTTGAATACATCACAATAATCACTATACTCTAAATACTTTTAATTTGGAAATTTAGTATTTACAACATCAATAGCCTGCTTAAAAATATCTCTATACATCATTAATGTGTTGAAGTTTACGAGATTTCAGAAATTCAACCATTTCTCTATCTAGTTTTTGTTTAGGTTTAGTTTTAAAATAGTTTCCCATTAAAAATTTATGTTAAATTTTGATAACAAAATGGAGATAAAAATGTAATTATTCCATATATAATTGTCTTTCTTTAATAATTAATAAAACTTAACATAAAACATTATATTAGCATCTAGAAAATTATTTCTATTTTATATCATAATTGAATTTACTTATTTTATTGTTAGATCATATCGGTTAGATAATATGTAAAAATTTTGTATATTTTCTAATATCTTGAACTTTTTGTTTAATTAGCTAAAATAATGAATCTTAGACAATGGTTTAAATTAAAAATCATAAGAATATATTATAAATAATTATTAGTAATTTCAGATTTATGATTGCATTAAAAAAAATTATCTGATCATTAAGATTATCTTTCTCCTCTAACTTTTAAGACTATTTTCCATTATTTTTTAAAATAGTTTAAACAAAAAATTAGTCTGGTTAATTGTTTTGTGTATGGTTGCAATTCAAAGAGTGGACTAATTGGAAAAAATCAATAATGCGTTTGTAATCCTTTGCTTGTTCAATGTTGCTAGCATTACTCAAGTATTCACACCTTATACGTAAAGATTTGATTGATATAAGAGAAAGAAATTATTTATAATCAGCTAGCAATTATTTGATTTAAAAAATTACATTTCTCAGTTATCCAAACAGAATTGTAACATAATCTTCAATAATAATACAGTCTAAGAAGCCATTCTATGATAAAGAATTTAATTTATTGAATTGCAATTTCTTTATACGGTAAAAATCTAAAAACTACAATAATATAGTAAGAAATGTTATCTATTTTTCATAGGGTTTATTTATTTAAGTTCTTTAAAGGATTCAGAGTCAATTAAGGTTGGAACTATTATTAAATTGTTTTAATTTCCAATCTGGTGTAGCATTTAATTCTATATTGTAAATAGGAATCATTTTCTAGCTCACTCATGCTTAATTATTATTTTTTCCAAACAGACTTTTTGATCCTTGATATTGTTTCGTATTTTAAGAATCTATGATTTTATTTTAATCTAGTTTATGGTCTTCTTTAGATACAATTTTATAAATTTAATTCTTTTGAAAATAATGACTATTCCATTTTAATTAGATAATCCATTAAATCTCTTTATCATTCATTAATACTTTCTTCCAAATATTAGATTTTCTTCTAATTTTCTTCATTCTTCTCTATATTGATAATTCAACTTGATATTATTCAATCTGATTTTCATAATATGATTGCATTATTATTGTAGATCTTAATTTTACTCACATTATAAAATAATACATAATTAAAATATAGAAATTATATAATTTGTAGAATTGATTGCATATGAATAAATCTCACACTTATCTCTGATACTCTTCATTAAGTTATGGTTCATTACTAAAGGCTCGGATGAAATTCAAAAAGCCTAAGATAGTTAATCCTACTTCAATCCACCAAGTTGATGCAATGGTGTCATAACCACCTTTATACTAAATTTATATAAAAATGGATTACCTATTTTGCCCCAACTATCATACCGATAAAAACTAATATAAAACCTAACAATAGACTTCCATAGATTCCAAATTTTATGTATTTGTGTTAGAAGAAGTAAGTTGCAACCAACCCCATAAAGGCGAGCATCATGAAAACTTATCCGGAAATTGCGAATCTCACATAGGTCAAATTTTGATTTCGATGAGGATGTTCATTCATATAAGAATATTCAGTTAATAGAACGATTTCTATCATGAGAAGTGCAAGATTGCTAATTGCTAGTTGCTTCTTTTCATCCCTATAATAGAATATGAGAATTCATTACAATTGAACCATAAAAATGATATTATAAAATAATTTATTATGAAATTCATACAACTTATTGTTATTGAGTGAATTGAGATTCATTGTTTCCCATCATAACTACTTAACTTTAATTTGCTTAGGTGTTCGTGTTCTATGCTTGTTTCTTTGAATCATCAGTTTCCTCTTTCTTTTGAGTTTTATCGTCCTTCTTTTCATTTCCTTCTTGTTGTTTGAAATTATGCAAGTTCACTAAACTCATAATGTACAGACTCAATTGGATGAACCAAAATGCCACTGGAACATTATAGGTTGTGTACCCTTTTGTACCTCTCCTTAACTGAAATCATAAAGAATGTAAAATACCGCTTCTGATCCAATTCCCATTCCAATCAACAATATTAGAATAGAAAAGGTATTAACTGCAAAAATCAGGTATAAGATCTTTTAATTATATCTGTAGATCAGCAGAATCTATAAAAACCAAGTGATCATCATAAAAAGACTTCCTGTTACAGATAAGCCTTTGAAAGCCGAGAATTCATTCTCATAACCAGTATTTTTACTATTCTAAATATGTTTAATTACTAGAGGTCCAAATCGATAGAAGCATAATAGGCCAACAACACAATCTCAACGATATTCGAGCAAACAAATCCTATCACTTTATGAGTATTATCCGATCTATCACATGACACTTAAATACTTACAATTCAAATGAGAATTTCATGCTAATTTAATTTGAATATTTTAATTAATAAATAAATTCAAAATCATTTTATTTATCTATATAAGCATATCTACCTTGAAACTGATGACCATTATTAAATTTTAATTTTACTATCCTCCATATTAGGACACATACCCTTTACTTATTGAAGTATTTTTTATTTAAAATTATATTTTGCAAATTAATATTATTATCACTCACTTTTATAATTAATTAATAAACTAAGAAATCTTAATTAACATAATTATTTTTAAGTTTTATTCTATCTAAAAATAACGATACATTGTATAAGCGATTGTTGAATATTAAATTATGACATTTCATTCACTACTTTATCGAAATTTAAGTTAGTTACTTCTATTTGAAACTTACAGATCCATTATTTTTTAAGATTTAAAGGAAGTTTGATATTAAATGAAATAATTATTACTCAAATGCTTTAGTTTTATTTAATCTCTACTTATGGCAACATTTTAATCAATTTTTATCCAAGATAATATTATGATCGGTTCTAATGTGACTGTAAGTTATATTATGATATCATTTTAAAATGTCATTTATAAATTATAAAAAATCTGAACATAGATGGTTATAGACTATATTTTAATTGTGAGTATGGTAAATTTCATCTAAGAAAATAACATCTTTATATTATTTAATAACTTATTACAATTAAGAAAGTGATTTTATAAGAGTTCAAACTAAGGGTGTAGTTTGTCGATTGACTTTTTCATCAATTTATGATTAATTTAGAATGAAGAGAATAATGAAGAATTATTAATCAAAAATAATAGGAAGGATTAGATACTTTAATAATGATTATTAAATTAGTTTGAGTAACATAATTATAGAGTGTATTATAATTTATATTTTATTATAAATATATTAAATGTCTGAAAATGATGTTATATTAGTAACATCATCCTATGATCATACTTTTATATTTTGGGATGCTACTACAGGACAATTGAAAGAGGAGATCAATTACGGGGAAAAGGTGATTGTAAATAGAATTGACATCTCTCAAGACAAGAAGCATCTGGCTGCGGGTGGCAACTTCTTTGCTTCTTACTACGATGTGATCTCTTAGAAGAAGTAGCCTGTTTATGTTTACGATGGATATAAGAATAATATAACAGGAATTGGATTTTTGAAGGATAGCAATTTCTTTTATACTTGTTCTGAAGATGGATATATCAGAATCCATGACCTTAGATCAAATAGTAAATGAATTCAATAATAACTTAGATTTATCACGAGAATACTAGGAGAAGGAACCATTAAATACCATATGTTTGCATCCAAATGAGACTGAGTTGATCGTTGGGGATTAAATGGGGAATGTGAAGATATACGATTTCTAGTAAAACAAGGTAAGATTGAAATTATCTCCCTGTCCTGAAGTTGGTATTAGATCGATATCCATTGCTTATAATGCTAGTCAAATTGTAGCTGCTGATTCATAAGGATAATGTCATACGTATATGATGAATAACATGGACCTCACTGAACAGAGTTTGTTGTATAAGTTTGAGGCTCATCAAGATTATATACTCAAGGCTTCAATTTCTGCAGATCTAAGATATTTGGCTACTTGCAGTGCTGATAAAACCGTGAAATTATGGACTTTGAATGAGAAAAATTTAGGGAATGACAAATATCCAAAATGGGAATTGTTTTCAACTCTTTATGGTAGTCAATAGTGATCCAATATTTATAGGTCATGGCAAATGGGTATGGGATTGTGCATTTTCTTGTGACTCAGAGTATATCATTACAGCATCATCTGACTTAACAACAAAAATATGGCAAACTGATAGTGCTGCTGTGCTTAGAACTTTAAAGGGACATAAATAGGCTGTTACTAGTTTATCAATTAATGATATAGCAATTGATTGATATTAACATTATCACTTCTTCTTCTCCTTCTATTATATATCCCTTCTATAATCGACCTTTTCAAAACAATTATTAATATATAACAAAGTCTATTCTTCAATGAACGTGTAGGGTGAATGTAAAGCAGTAATAAATTCTATGAGTTCAATTTCTTATTGCATTTGAGAAGAAGTCATATATAAAAATTGTAATCCTAATGACATACTAAGTCATTCATTTACTTCAAATTATGATCCTTATTAATAATATCAATTAAACATTATCTTATATGTAAATCATACTCTACTCAAATCTATCATATACTAAGTTTATTCTTATAGTTAATATATAAATATTCAATTAGGTTATAGATTTATGATAAATGATAAAATGGATTTCAATATATTAATAAAGTAATTATATAATTTTAAATTTGAAATGGAAAGCTAATCATTTTCTCCTATGTTAGATAGAGTTATGGCTCAAGAAATCTAGTCTGTTAGTTGGAGTAAAACTATGGATGTGTGTGCAATCCTATATGTCAATAACTAATTAGAAATATGCAGAGTAAGCGAATAATTGCAAAGGATGTTCATGATTTAAGAAGACGATGCCATCAGCAACATAATTGTGGAAAGTATTCAGAGCTCTCTAACTAGGTACGTTCCTGACTTATAATGTTGGAAACAAATTGTTTTTGTATCATTTGGCTTCTCATTAAAAAATCATTCAATCTACTTTAATTAAGAGTACAGATAAAATCAAATAGATGCTTTTGGTTTAAGTGAATGTCAAAATTATTAAGGAGCTTGAATTATAAGCAGCTATAATTCCATTATCAACAACAAACTTGTAATTGCATTGTTTATAAATAGGAAAAATTGGTAAAATCTTTGCTTTCTAAAACAATAACAAATAAATAATATCATATTCTCTTTAACTAATAGGTAGATCGCCTATAATTTTAATGGGATTCTTCATTTAGGAGAAATTGAACATAAAGGGATTAATGAATTATATCAATTGCAAAATGAATTGCACTGTTTTTCAGATTCCACTGTCGAAATTTACGACATTAGCCTAATGAAGCATCAATAAATTTTAGTATAATATTTGGTTCATCTAGAAATACATTCAGCAATTGAGTTACTTAAATGAACTATTTTGTTTTTTGAAAACATCAATCCTATTAATAAATACTCAATTATAGGACATTTTCAAATGTTACCAACTAAATATCATAGGTCCATTGATATCTTTTGGGCCTTAGGAATCAATCAATTTCCATATTCTGAAATTTTACCAAAAAGGGGATTGTCCTCAGGAACTTGTTCAATTCTTTCAAAAAGAATTATACAATACTAAAATTTTGTAAAAAATGGATGATGTAATATATATATTTAATTTAAATTAAGAATATCACAAACAGTTTCAATAATATTTAGGAAATTATTTAGGATTCATTGATGAATGTCTTATCAAGAATTTTAATCATTCTCAATTTCTTTATTCAATCAAAAAATATGTAAGGAAAATCTAATTGATATTTAAATAGGCCCTTTTATTAAGGATTACACAAAACTCCTTTTGAAGAATTATAACAAACAGTCTAAAAGATCTAAAAATTATTCAGCAGATTTTAGATAGAGTGTCATTAGACGAAGTTACATTTGAGAAACTTTTTCGTTTGGTTGAATCTATGTGCAATAAAGGCAGGAAATGAATAAGAAGTTGAATGTGAGAATGTAAACTCCCCTCTCAATAAAATAGAAGTAGATCTATCAAAACTATTTGATTTCTTGAAGGATAATCACTTGTTTTAGTTACGAAACTTGTAATGCTTCTATTAGGGCAAAATATGTATTTAATATATTTAATTTAATTAGCACCAAGGACATTTTTTACTAAGGTAGTTGTATAGAAGAATGTAGAGTTCAAATAAACAGAAAATATTACTAAGATATTATAAAATGTTTTTAAAGATAGTTATATGGACAATGTTAAACAGTAATAAAATTAAATAGAATATGAAGAATCTTTTGAAACAGTCAACTCATTAATTAGAGAATTGCAAAATAATTTAGATAAAATTGCTATAAATTTGAAACCTCAACTTAAAAACAAAATCAACATTGATCTTTCTAGTTCAATTCTCAGATTTTCCGAGAAATCAGAAGACTCATATTTGATCTCAGTCTTAAAAGACAATACCATCATTCAATACACTTATTAATAGCAGGGTTTCGCCAAATCAAAAAAGATTTAGTTTAATAACAAATTTATAAAGGAATTATAATATTTTGATGGGAAACTAATCATTTTGAGTACAAATCAACAATAGTCAAGTGACTTGGCAAGAACCAAATAATAAAAGGAAGAGGGGTTGTTTAATTAATTGTAATTGAAAGCATATATTTCATCGGGAGATTTGGAAATCCAGAACAAATTTGAATGTCACTCAATCAAAGATCTGTAAGTTAGTAAGAAAGGATTAATATCTATCATTATAGATTCTAAAAAATTAATTATTCTTTCCATTTGAATATTATTATATATTTATTTAGTAATGTAAATTTATTGATTTATGCAATATCAATTCTATTCTTATTGGGCTGCTTATAACTTAGATAGGGAGAATACTTTACTTCTTTTTTCAAATCAGCAATTTCCCTCTTCAATCTAATGTTCTCATCTTTAAGTTTTTCATATTCTAATTTGAGTTTGTCAACATCAATGTCGACAGGTGATCCTAAGTACTTTTTAACATAACTAGGGAATCAATTGAATGAATACTCAATGGCATTGTTTGGCTTTTCTGGTTCTTCATATAATCCCACCAGAACTCTAGTCAATTGATCTATAACGCCAGCCTTTTCTAAATACTTTCTGAATTCTTCTTTCTTGGAATCGGTTGTCTATGAAATAATCTTCAAGGAATTACTTAGAAGCTCATGGAATTTATGATAATTATATTATTAATAAAGTTTAATTAGAGACAATCCTATCAAATATAAAATACACAAGAATTGTGGAACTGGCTCAATGAGACATGAGATATTAATTTATGAGAATGATTAACTGATAATTAGACCAGATTATCTAATTATTAAAATTATAAAAATGGATTTTAGTAATGAGCTGATAAACTTGATCAAGGAGTGGGCTCCGAGAATGAGTAGTCAAGATATTAATAATGAGTTAAAGAGGGCTCATGGAAGAATTGATTATGATCCCAATTTAATGCAACATTAATGCAATAAGGGCTAATTACTTGGTTTCATTGAGGCAGAATCCCTCCAAGCGATTGAGGAAAATCAATAGAAAAGCAAAGAGATTTAAGTATATCTAGGAGGGATAGTTAAAAAATGGTCTTAATAATGTGCAAAAGAAAAAAGAATCAATGAGGATCATTTAAAATATTGCTCAGCAGTACTATTGCCTTACGGATCAGTGTTATTGGGTGTTGCAGATAGCAAATCTGATATAGATTTAATATGCATTGCTCCAGAATTTATAGATAGAAGGGAGCAATTTTTTAATGGGTATTTATGATTGAAATGTATTAAAGTTTATTTTATTTGTTGTCAAATGAGGATGGAATGGAATAAATAAATAAAATTGAAAGCACCTCAAATCCTATTATAAAGATGATTTACAAAGGATTTCATATAGATATCAACTTTGCTCAATTGAATTCGGATAGAGTTCCTGAAAATATAGATGAAAATTTAGATGAATTACGAAGAAACCTATTGTAAAGTGAAGATAAATCATTGTATGCTTTGAATGGTCGAAAGAATGGTATTTTGATCAGTAAATCAATGCCTGATCATTCCCAATTTGTACAGGCTTTGAGAATCATAAAGTAATGGGCAAAGAAGAGAAAGGTGTCAAGCAATATTATTGGTTATTTGGGAGGTATTAGTTGGGCAATCTTGATGGCAAAGATTTGTTAGTTGTTTCCTCGAGTGGATGTGTGTTAAACTGTTAGTCTATTTTTCTAAATTTATTCTCAATGGAATTGGAAGATACCAGTTGTGATTGATGAATCGGAGTAAGATTTTATTTTTTATTATTTATAGTCCAGAAATAGAAACATTTAAGACTCTCTGTTGGAAGAGAGATGAAGATAAAAGGAACGACAAGATAATGCAAATCATAACTCCCGCATATCCATTCTTCAACACGACATTCAAAGTCAATAAGATCACTTTTCAAACCATCTTCTAAGAATTTTAGATCGGAGCCTAGAAATTAGGAGATTGGAATGAAGTATTGAGACCATTTGATTTTTTTGATTGTTTTTAATACTTTGTTGCCATATCTATAGTTTCGAAGAGTTCTGAAAACTTTCATAAGTGGACTGGATTTTGTGAAGCACAATTACCGAAATTATTAAAGTTGATTGGACACAATGAAGCAATTTATGATAATACTAGTTTTGAGTTGAGAATAACACCTGATGGGGAAGAGAATCTTGAAAGAGATTATGCCAAATCTCTCACATATTTCTTAGGAATCAAGAAATTAAAGCCAGATGCATGGCCTCTGTTCTTAAGGATTCCTATCACTTAGTTTGCAATAGAATTAAATTAGAGAAAACTATAGAGTTTTAAAAATGAGGACGAGTTCAATATGAAGATATATGTTGCCAATGTGACTGATATCGATCAGTTGAGGGGAAAGTTGTCACCAAGAATGTATGATGATTCGGATTCCATTGTGAAGAAGATTAAGATGAATGAAGAGGATAAAAATGGAAGTGCTTATTTGGTTAAGAGAATTTCTTCTATATAAGACAGTGGGATCAACTAGGAGGTGTTGAATGATATGTTTTGAATGATGATGAATGTAAATTTGCAAATATAATTATTATCAATTCATTTTATTTTATTTATGTATTCGTGTAATGTATTTTGGTTTCCTCCTGTCCATCTAAATTTCTATTCTCCATTCTGATAAATAATAAAGGTTGGGATGCTAGTCACTTGTAATGAATCTGCTAATTCTCTGACCTAAATTTATAAGAAATTGGGTGCTTACTTTATCAATATTCACATTGTAGAAATTGATGTGTGGGTTGTCTATTGATAACTTATGAAACACTGGTTTTATGGTCTTGCATGGTCCACACCAATCTGTATAGAAGTCAATAACACATTAAGGGCTGCTCTCTATCAAACAAAAAAAGGATTCCAAGTCTTCGATTGGTACAACATTAGAATCTGTTGAAGAATGTTATTGCGATTGTTATTAGGCTGCCTAAACTGTTTAGTTTTAGGGAACAATTTGTGGCTAAGGCTATGGCTAGTTTATTATTTAGGGATTAATATTTTGGAAATTTTAAGGTACGTCTAAGTCTTAATTGTAGACATAATTAAAATGCTCAGTCTAATCAGAAGCCTGTTTATTGGTGATTTGCTCTATTATGGGTTTCAACATTTATCCTAATTAGGTATTTAAAAATTCTTATGGCAATCCTAATGTGAATTAAAAGATTATAATTTACCTGTAATATTTTCGGGAATACCTTTTCCAACTAAAAATTAAGCACATTCATTGGTAAAATTATTGCAATTGTTTTTAAATAGGTCATATTTCTCCATTGTATAATTTGAACTTATGCTTCTCAAGAATTCTTCGAATGTACTCTGAGGGATTTCTGTTTCTCCCAATTCTCTTTCCTAATTCTTAGTATAAACTATGAACCTCTATTGGGTATCCGTATATAGTCGTTTTTGGAGTTTAAGCACAAATGCCTCCACCGAAATAATATTCTTTTCCATACACTACAATTCCAGTGTGCCATATAGCCTCAATTTATTTGCCTAAAAACATAGGTGAAAATTGTTTGGCCATTCCTTAAGACAAATCATACATGTTGAGTGAAACCTTGTACTTCTGATTATCCATTTGGAAATATAATAATTAATACTAATATTAATCAAACAAAATTTGATTTTTTCATTTTAATTCAAAAATACATTCGACTATTAACATCGTCATTGCATTACTCTTCAAACCCATTAACATTAATCACATAAAATTGCTCAATATCAATTAATCGATATTTGCAATAAAAATAAAATTAATTAACTGAAATGAATAGAGCCAGGTTCGATGAGACTAATCGAAAATTTTAAGTACTTTCTTTTCCATAACCAATAGGAATATTAAGCTGAATTCAAAATTCCAATTCTCCCCTCCAGCCAATAGGAAAACTTTAATGCTTAAACCTTCTATAGACTTTATCCAGAATTGACCCCATTGCATGCCATAAAACCCCATCAAGCACAAGCCTTTAATCCAGAAAAGACAAGACTCTACATAGAGAGTCTGTAAAAGCAAAATCAAGAGATAAATTTTGAGTTAAGACAACAAGCACATGATATTGTTGCTTTGTCTCAGATGGTTAATACATTGATTGATGAAAATCGAAGTCTTTCGTTATTACTCGAACAAAAGGATTAAGAGATGCATTCCATCGTTGAAACCATGACGATCAATGAAGCTGAGGAAATCCAAGACCTCAGACACTAATTACGATTATTGGAGGATGAAAATTTTGTCCTCTTAAAGCATGTCTAAGAATAAAGATAATAATTAGATGACAAGACCCAAGATGGTTATGAATTAGAAAAGCAATTCTAAAATTCAAAAAAATATTGTCTCTAACTTGAATAATAGGTTGAAAAGTATAAGTTATCTGAAATTTCACAATCTGAGTAGATGCAAATTATCAAGGAGAACTGCAGAACTGAAATAGAACTTAAAAGTTCTTATCAATTCGAAAATCAGAAAAAGGATAGTGTCATTACATCACTGACCTACACAGTTGAAAAATTGAATAAACAACTGTTGTAATTTCAATCAGATTATGAGAAATTGGAATCAGACAAAAACAAATTGCATTCTGAAAGCAATCTCAAGATCTACCAATTGAATCAAAAAGTAGATGATTTGAGTAATGAAATAAGCAAATATCAGATTATCTATGATTAATTACTTAAAGAAATCAATTAATAACATGAAGAACTTAAAGAAAAGTAATAAACTTGTGATCGAATCGCTGATCAAAACGATGACATTATGAATAAATTATCAATGGAAATAGAGAAACAGAAGAAACTATCCGAAAACGAAACTAGACTCTTAGACCATATCGGATAGTTGAGTATATAAAACACTGAATACTTCAATCAAGTAACATAGTAATCAAAACAAATTGATTAATTGATTTATGATAGTGATAAGGATTTGAATACTTAGAAGAAGAAATTCAATGAAACTATGTAGAAGTTAAAATAAGAATATATGGATGATCTTAAAGAAAAACAATTGCAGATCGAAGAACTTGAAGAGAAGAACACCACACTCTTAAAGGAATGGAATACTGTCAACAATTAATATGAAATACTGAAGATAGATTTTGAATAGTGCAAAAAGGAAATTAGTGATTATCAACAATAGAAGAGAATTATTGAATAGCTTTAGTTGCAGAATAGACAATTAAAACTCTAATTGGAAGAAAACAAAGCTTTGTTATAAGAATTTGTATCGCATAAGGGTGGAGTCTAGGCAGACATCGAAGAAAGGGATAAACAAATTCAAAAAATCATCAATCAGAAGGATGATCGTATCGCTGAATTAGAAAGGGATTTTCAAATGTATTACGAAAAATGTGCTATTCTATAACAACATCAAAAGAATAACGAGCATCTAGAGTAGTTGAACTTTACTTATAGGGAATAAAAAGAACTATTTGAATAAGATAATGAAAGATTGAAATAAGAGATATCAAAATTGCAAGGTTAAATTAATAATTATGCTACTGTATAAAAACAATAGAAGTTGAGAGCCGATAAATAAATCATTGATGAAAATTAACAACTTAGAAAAGAGCTAAACGAAAAGGCAAATGAACTACAAAAACTTAAAGATCAATAAGCAAATATGAACACCTTGCCTATGCCTCCTAAATAGCCAAGCGAAGCTGGAAGCAGAGTGAGACAAGGACAACCGTCTCAAGACTTTTAATAAACAAAGCAAAATCAAGTATATCTCCCACCATAGTAATTAATCTAAGTATGAATTTATATGTATGAATTAAGCCACCTTCCCCTCATCATTCATAACATTCCCCTGTTCTATCAAGAAGAAACATTTAGGAATCAGATGATGGTTCAGTTAAGGCAGGAGGAAATACTTAAAACAAAAATATGCAGTTCTCTTTTACTGATGATCAGATGAAATAATAATAATAATAACAATAACAATAAAGATAGAGGGAAAGAGAAAATTCATATCATTCTAATATGTCAAATGCTCCATACAGAAAAAAATCATAATAAATATGAATGATACTATTATCTTAAATTTCACACTATTTTAATAAAATTCCTTTTTATAATGATTTTGGTTAATTTTTACAATTGAATTGCCTTTAATTTTTGACTATATTATTTTTTGATTGAAAGTAAAATTGTTATTAGTTGTCGTGTTAATTTGTATTTAATAATATATGAAAATAAAATGAATCTTCAGTTTAATTAAATACCAAAAAAACAAGCTAAGATGTTAAGCAAAAATCATCTAAAAATAATTTTATAACAAAAATAATACTTAAACACATTCATAATTCAAAATCAAAGATTGGGACATTTGCTTGAGTCTATTTAATTTTGTGAAATTACAAACTGGAAAAATCTGGAACATTCATAAAAGATTCCAATCTATTTACATATTGAAAAATTAGATTACTTCTCTTTTAGAAAATTGTAAATCTGCATTCTAGCAAATTCAATAGCTCTCTCATCATTTACAATCACTACCTCTTAAAATTAGTATTAATATATGGAATCTACAGTCGATCTAACACCTTCTTAGATTAATGGTTATTCACCATCATATATATCAATTGTTTTTGGATCAAAATCCCATTTGCCAACAGGTTTAACAGGTTCAACAATTTAATTAGTTTCCTCTTGCTAAACCTCTCCAGCTTATTGCTATTACTCCTGATTTTAATCTTAAGGCTATTCTTCTTCAAAATAAGGAACCAACAAATTAACTATTGCAGTGACATTTTCAAGCTAATTTTAAGGCTATTTAAAGATTATATTAATCTTTTTCTTTGCCTCTATCATGTCTAAATCATGTTGAGTGATTTCTGGCTTTTAATAAGGATCTTCTTTCTGTTAGGTTTGAACTTATTATTAGTCCTATTATTGTAGTTATTACTGTTCTTCTGTCTATTAAGATTATTATTCAGGATTTTATTGTGGGTCAAGGTCATCTTATTTAATTTAAACTTCTGATTTTTATATGGGTTCTTTGTAATTTATTGATTTAAAGTAAATATCGAAGAAACCATCAAGTAATTTATTCAAAATGGTTTTTCTAATATTATTTACAAATTGTTATGATACATAAGATGACCAAAATGGGGACTGGCTCCTTAAGAATTCAATGGTTAATTATTTTGCATTTTTTTCGAATACATACAAGTCTTCATCAATTTTATTCAATGCTTCTTAGATGAGAGGTTGCATTGCTGAATTGATAGTGATATTAAACTAATTGCATTTATTCATCAATAAATCCAACCAAATAGTCTATATGATTGATTCATCAATTTAATCAAGTTGATCTCCTGTGATGAGATCTATGTTCTCAGCTAAAAGCAAAAAGAGATCCAAATGCAACACAACTCCCTTCTATCCAACTTCAGCAGTTCCTTCTTATATATTAACTTAAAAAATGGAATTGGAAGTTTCAGCCTTAGAAAGTGTTAGATTATACAATGCACTTCTTTAGACTTCTCTTTTTTCCTTTAATGCTCTTCTTCTTTTAATTTCTGCCTTCCTCTTTTTTTACTCCTCAATTTCAATTCTCCTCTTCTCTAGTCTATCTAGATGTTCCTATCTCTTTTATTATTCTTTTTGATAATAGAATGAATGTTCTTGAAGAATAGGAGTTTAGATCTCCTCTAAAAATGATTGGAAACCAATTTATGAAGTCTAAATGTTATTGCAATTCTATTTGATTCTTTCCACAAGCCAAGGGAGAGTGTTTACTTTGAGTTCAAGTATATGATCATTCCTGAGTACTCCCAAATTCTGGAGATCGTTTAGGATCCTTGAATTGACTCCTTTGAGAACACCTTTGGAGAGCGCTCTGGCTATAAATTTCTATTATGACAGTTTCATCTAATCTTGGTATAATTTATGCTGCAATAACCTTCTTTCCTAAAATATAATAGTCTATTTTAAGTACTCGTTCTTCTCTTCTCCTCACATAGGCTGCTTCCATCCTCTATGTTACCATTAATTCAGCATTTCGTTTTTTTTCAAACGCAGCCTTTTATATTTGCAATTCCTCTCTTTCTGACTCCTCAATCAATTCCATTCTAGCCTATTCAACAGATTTCCCAACCAAAACTTATAACACAGGCTCCACTTCCAATTTGTAATCAAATAAATCTGGCTCATATGCTTCGATTTATGTTTGTCTGTCAATTCCCTTTGGCAAAGGTTTGTATTCAGGAGTCGCCTTGAGTATTAAGCTACAATTACAGGTCGATCTATATAATAATCTGGTTTGATTCTTGATTCATCATCAGGAAGATCAGTCAACTCCTCATAAAGTTCTTGATCTCTGTACTTTGGATGCGATATTTGAGGCTCAGCTTCAAACTAATAAATATTGGCTTGAGCTTGCATATTATTATTTAATTTAATAACTAATGTATATAATTAAATCTAAACTATTTGATGTTTTCATAAAATTCAATCATTTTATTTATTATATTCAATTAAATTCTATGATTCCAAATGCAATAAATTTTTATTTCTGAAATTCATTTTATTTTATTTTCCATAAATAATATGAATTGTTTAAAGTTTTCACTTTTAAAACATTAAATACAAAAATTACAATACAGATCCTTTAACATTTAACTGCAATTCGTTAAATGTCTAATCAATCAAAATATTTTATCAATTTTTTCAATTTTATTATTTGATAATTAAAAAAAATCAAATAACATAGGATCATACCAATTTTATCTAAGAATACCAACAATTAAGAGAAATGCTCTATTGAAAATTAATAAGCATCTTAATTTAAAATGATTCTTACAGATTCAAATTAGATTTATTAATTATGATTTTTAAGAAAATGAAGAATATTTTATAAAATAATGAGATTATTAACATTTTATCTAAACCTTATACTCATTATTTTTGTTTATGCAAAAGCTTCTCCAATTAATAAGTTACAAGACTTCAAGGAGGTAAGCAATTAAGTGACAAAAAAGAGTCAAATCAATGAACCTATCTAAAATGACACTGGACAATCTTTATATTAAAGTGAAGAAGAAACAAAAAAAAGAAATACTTATAAGGAATCATAATTAAATAAGTTTAAGCCCTTGTTTGGTGTAATAATATTTTTACTTTGCTTTGATAGTTAAGAAAATCAGATTAAAATGGAGAAGTAAAGAACCAAAATATTTCCAAAGACTTAGGAAAGTCAATTTAAATGACAAAAGGAACGCCAATAGGCATGGAAAATGAGTAATTGCTCTTTATATGGGATGAGTAATTGGGGAATTTTGAACCAGATGTAACATTAACCTTTGATTTATCTCCTGGTTCTATAGAGGTATGCAACACTTTTTTTATATGTTGTAGGTATTTTATGAGGACATCTTGAAGCCTACTAAAATCAAAGGAGCTTTCTTTATTTCCTAATTAGCTTTAGAGGAAAGGATTGATTTCTTTATTAAATCCTCTAATAATACTTTGATCTATTCGAAGGAAAAGGTTATTGAAGGAATGTTTAATATTGATATTTTGGAAAAGGGAGAATACAAATTTATCTTCTAGAATAAAAGAGTATGAGAAATAGCTATAAGCATAGACCAAAGGCACTCAAACAATTATATTCACTCTAGATGTACACGATTCAGAATAGGAAATTATGAAAATTCAAGATTTAGATCCCGTAGAGCAAAGGATAGAAAGAATATCAATGGCAATGAGAGTATTAAATAATATTATGCAAAAAGGATAATTATTATTTTGATAAAATAACTGGATAAATATTTGAAGGCAATTTAAGCCAAATATAGAAATCGAATGAAGAATTATTAATGTTTAGTATTCTAGAGAGTGTGGGAGTGATCCTTATTACAATTTGGTAAGTGTACTACATAAAGAGAGTGGTGGGCAATCAAAGATTATTTTGAACTTATTACAATTAAATAATTGAATCAAATTGTTAATTCCTACTCAATCTTTAGTAATGATAAATAATTGTTTTTGGATATATAAAATAATGAGATAATAATAAATGTCTGCACCTACGGTCTAATTTGGATTGAGACACTCTTTATAAATCTAATCGTCTCCCAATATAAAATTATACCAATAATCACCTTATCACTCACCATACTAATCGCCCCTATTATAATAGCAATCTGTCTCTTAATAAAGACAACCGACATAATAAAATAATTTGGGAAATGTAAATAGAAACCTATTTAATGAAGCCTCAAATAAGAAATGCAAGTTAGTGGACTTGAATCACATAGAAGAACCATGGAAACAGAAAGTATTTGAATTGGAGAAGAAAATTAAATAATTAAACTAATAACAAAAAAATTAAGATAATGATTATGATGAGAGTGAACTATCTCAGGTTTATAGCCAAATTTAGCAGTCTGCGAATACTATAAAAATATTGAAAGAAGAAATTTAAAATTTATAATAAAAATTAAACATAAAAAAAAATATAATTGGCGGTTATGACAAACAGTTAATCGCCAAGGATAAGGAGTTGGAAGATCAAAATCATTATATTTAAGAGTTGCATAGTTAATTAGAAGAGTAAACCTTAAGGATGGATGATAAACAGAAGCTTCTACTTGAGGAAATCAACTCGTGGAAAAGGAAGTTTATTGAGTAAAATAAGTAGATATTATTGTAATTTATAGAGGATTACATAAAATTTAAGATGAATAAATTATGCTTTAGACATAAATTGATAATCTTAAAAACATTAAATTAATGTAAAATAAATAGAGTGAATAAACATGAACATATATTCTTTTGCCTTCATTAATTACTATCTTTATTTATCGATTAAATTCTTTAATAATTATTTATTTATTAATCTACATTGTAATGTGGAAAATAGTCATCAAACTGACTAATTTTTTCAAATGATTGCATAAAATTACCTTCAATTGAAGTTCTTCTTTTTTTCTGATTTTCAACAATAGAATAATTACTCATCATAGTTTAGTTTTTCCTTGAATTCCTTTATTACTGTTTCTATTGAACATCTGTCTGATACTTCTAAAATTGTGTTTGCCTCTCCACTCTACTCTTTTTGATTTTAATCTTATTGTGGAATAGACTATCCTACACCTTCTTCAGTGAATTGTCTTAAAAGGATGACCCTTACATTTCTTCTAACTGGCCGTATTTTTAGAACTTAGATTGTCCTACTTCTTTGAATTCATTCTAAATAATTTTTCTACTGCTATTGCTGCTGCTGATTCCTTGAGCTGGGAAGAGGTTATCTGAATCCATTTTTTTAGAATACAAAGTCTACCCACTGTGAGAATAACTGACATAAGGAACTGAACTCAATTCTAATTGGTTGATTGGGTTAGAACTCAAAGAAGAATTGGATGAGAGGAGAACCTTATTAAAAGGTTCCACTTTATCCTTTTCTTCGGATGCGAAGGACTCTGAATCCTCTTAATTATTTTCCTATTTTATTATAATTTTTCTTCTTTTTCTACAAACTTCCTAATTAAATATTAATGATTATTACTCTTCTAAAATCAGATACTCTACTCTATTCATTGTTGACTTTATAACCATTAATTATCAAATATTTATTAGGTTTGTAATTTACAAATGGACATTAGGTTATTTCATGAGCTTGGTGACATCCAAAGCAAGAAATACTCGTCAAATAAGGATCATTATGAAGTAAAATGGTGTCGATGAGCATTCTATACTTTTAGAATTCTCTCGGACACTGTTTTATTAATTAGTGGAATTAGTGAGAATTCAAGCAAGCCACTTTTGAGTATCCTATGCTCTCAAATTAAATTCCTTACATCTAATTTTTAAAGAAGGCTCCATTATTAAAGATTTGAAATGGGTTTGTAATTTTAGTTAATTTAAACTCTTATAGGGATGAATTTCCTTTTTAAACTAATTAAACGACTCCTTGTAAATGAATATATAATGCTGGTTTTTGTAGAATAATTTCATTGGGCCTCAATATTTGTTCTTGAATCAGATCACAAATATTGAGCAGTGTCTAAGTTGAGAATGATGAATTAAAGATGGGGATGTTAGACAAAATCTTAAAGTACTTTTCTCTCTTCATTTTCTTCTACAAAAAGTTCGGCATCAAATTGATGTCAAAGATTTACCTTTGTTTTTGGTGACTGTATTCATGTATCAACTTTTAAGTATTTGGCTCATAATTCAATTATTAATCAAGATTAAGGGACTAATAGTTGAGTATTTGCTTGAACTTATAAAAGTAAAATATTATCAATAGTATTTTAATAAGGTAGATGAGAAAGTAGTATTGGTCAATTATTTGTGGAGTAACAAATATCAAGTTGAAGATATTTTGGATGTAAACAATGTAGTCCTATTCAGTCAGAGAGAACATGAATATGATGGTTTAGGCAAGACAAGTGGAAAAATGTAACTAAATGGTCACTTGTATTACAAAGATGTAATCTTATTAATTGGAGTAAAAGTTTAAATTCTAAATACAATTATTAATTCTCTTTATTCTGATCAAATACAATAAATACAATAACTTCTGAGATTGTAAACTGTTAATCTAATATGAAATAAACGATATAAGTCCTAGATTATCAATAATGATATTCTTAATGTCACCATTGTAGAATATTATTTGCTATGTAAATTCAATTATTTGAGTAATCAGCATAATGTATTAGAATACAGCCAAATTTGATATTACCAATTGATTGCACCCAATCTCAATTAGCAATATGGTGAGATAAAATAACAGGAAAATGATGTAAACACAGAGGATGAAAAGTTTAGGGGTCCATTCCTGTTGAAAGACTTTTTCTATTTTATTTTTTAATGGGACAAAGTATTGGGCTGCCAAATCATTAATCAACTTAAATTGCTTTTTTGTAATAATTATATTAGATATAAGTGTGGCTTTTTCTTTGTAAAGCAAGGAAAAGGAGGAATGAGAACTCCTATTCTTATTGAAGACGGACTTTTTAAATAATTGATCTGAATCATTCCTTTTTTTAATCATGCTTAATTATTGGGAATCTTCTTTGTTACTGGGTTCCTCATTAATGAGAAGCAAATTTTATTGATTATGAGGTGATGCTCTATCTGATGCTATCTATACGCTCATTTGCGTTAACGTGGGTGATTTTGGGTGAGTAATTTTCGCTTGTTGAGTTTCAGATTGTTTTTTATTTCGACTATCTTCAGAAGGCTTGCGGACTCTCATCTATTGCTAATTCATAGTTGACATCAGCTGAATAATAGGTTTGCATAGAGAATCCTCGTTTGGAGGACTTGTTGTAGAATTTTAAATCATTATTTATTATATTAAATCATGCTTATTTAAGATTTGCCATCTCTGGTTGTTCAAGAAATTCCTTTAAAGTTTCAGGACATCTGGAAGCACTTAAACCTCCATTTTATTTATTTAAATCCTCATCAAAAATAAAACATAAAAGCACAGTGTCACATGCCATACCATAAATGGACATGAAAAGCACAGCCAATGCATAAGCAATGATGAAAACAACCTAAGTAAGTTAATGGATAATATTACAATGCAAGGGAAAACTGGCGAGAATATCTTTTCTTTAAAGTAATCCATAGTTGTAATTACATAATAAAAGATCATTAAAGTGACAATTGAGATGCAGAATTTACCAACAAAAATGAATGCCCCTCCAATACCATTGACCAAAGAAAATCTCATACTATTTGCCCATATAGTCTCAAAAGCAGCCTTAGCAGCAGAACAAAAGTTTTTGCCAGTCAGAGCAATCATAATGTAAGCATTATTGTTCAAAAACCTAATGAACCTTTCAAAACATGCCATACAACAACTCAAACACCTTAATAAACATTTGACTGCCTTATTTTCAGAGCCAGCCACCTTCTCAGTTTGATATCTAATATATTCCAACATGATTCTGATGAGTTGTACAATAGCCAAGATCAAAGAACCGAATGCCAAGGAACCTGCATGATATCTGAAAGCTCTATAAAGAGATTATGATATGGCTCTTTCGTCACCTCCAGCACCTTGTTGTGCAAAGTACCAAAAACAACAAGTAGAGGCTATCACAAAATTATTAATGGCCTAAATGAATGCATTTATCCATAAGCCACCAAATATGAAATACCAAATATATTGTATCTACAATTAAGTATGTGTGACTTCAGCAAATGGACTGCTGCCTGTTCCTTTAATTTCACCCACTGCATAGACGTATGCTGCAGTGTATACCCACCAAAACCAGAGGCCTGCCAAAATTATAGCAGTAACTTGAGGAACAAATATTAATAAGAAATGATCCTTCACACACATGGCTGCAGTCTTAATAACAGCTATAGCCAGTCTTATCTTATTGAAAATGCAGATCAATCCCATAACAGTAAAAGCACATACACCATACATGACATATGTTAGATATTGGAATGTCAATTAATTATCTGAGGCTTTGTTGGTTTGTTCGACTGTGTACTTGCCAGTTGTGTCATCCATGATGCCTTAGTAATAGAGATCTTGTTGATGACACCAATAGGTTCCAAATCCCAGTCCTACTAAAAAGAGAAATATGGATGTCCAAACCAATACTCCAGCCAACAATCTCGTAAAGAACAAATATATGATTCTATTCTATAGTTTAATCTGCATACCCCATCAAGAATGCCACTGCAAATGAACAGTAAATAGCTTCCTTTGTTTATGTTAAATCCTCTATGTAACCAGTAAGGACATCCATGGCAAATTAAGAGCCATAATCCTGATAATTGTCGAAAAGGGCCAATAAGGCATCTGGATAACAAACACGATCAAATACTTGAAATTTATATTTATATTTTACGGATTGATGAATTGAAGATACACAAGAAGTCTTTGAAGATGCCAGTGCCATTGGATGATACATAACTCTTAAGGGCAGTAGCGGCATCGCATTTCTAATCACAACTCTTAACTAATGTGTTTGGTTGACAATCCAGAGAAGTTGGTTTGCTATTTTCATCTACATACAAAGGACAATCTTTCACACACACTGTTCTATTGAAGTAATCTCCAAAAGGTATTGCGAAATACAAATAAGGGTAATCCGCATTTGTGTCAAATCCACAGGCAACACCTTTCATTAAATATTTCACATTCTTTACCATTTGGATCGTACATAGCAAGAAGTCTGTTTGGTTCTCCTTTTGAATAAGCTTCTTTAGAGATGACTCTACTTTCAATATATTAAATACATCAGAATAGCCATCCCAGCTATAAAAAGTAGTAAACAAAGTATATCAGTACAGCCTCTATCTGCCAAAGGTCCAGCAATAAGTCGAGGATCTATTTATTTCTAATTCCCTTATTGTTCTGGTATTGTTGTGAAAGCCTTCTATGAGATCTCTGGGCTTGAAGTAACCACCTGAACTTAATTGGCAGGCTAAACTTTATTATTTTTTCTCATTTATTAATAAAAATTTCAAAGTAAATAATATTAATTTTCAACTTTATTAAAATCACTATTAAGCAATATCCAATCCTTTTTTTATTCTAATTAATTTCAAGGAATTCTAAATAGTAAAATTGTTTCTTCCCTCTGAATTTATTAGATTTTAAAAGTAAATAACCTGTTAGAGTATANGAACAAATATTAATAAGAAATGATCCTTCACACACATGGCTGCAGTCTTAATAACAGCTATAGCCAGTCTTATCTTATTGAAAATGCAGATCAATCCCATAACAGTAAAAGCACATACACCATACATGACATATGTTAGATATTGGAATGTCAATTAATTATCTGAGGCTTTGTTGGTTTGTTCGACTGTGTACTTGCCAGTTGTGTCATCCATGATGCCTTAGTAATAGAGATCTTGTTGATGACACCAATAGGTTCCAAATCCCAGTCCTACTAAAAAGAGAAATATGGATGTCCAAACCAATACTCCAGCCAACAATCTCGTAAAGAACAAATATATGATTCTATTCTATAGTTTAATCTGCATACCCCATCAAGAATGCCACTGCAAATGAACAGTAAATAGCTTCCTTTGTTTATGTTAAATCCTCTATGTAACCAGTAAGGACATCCATGGCAAATTAAGAGCCATAATCCTGATAATTGTCGAAAAGGGCCAATAAGGCATCTGGATAACAAACACGATCAAATACTTGAAATTTATATTTATATTTTACGGATTGATGAATTGAAGATACACAAGAAGTCTTTGAAGATGCCAGTGCCATTGGATGATACATAACTCTTAAGGGCAGTAGCGGCATCGCATTTCTAATCACAACTCTTAACTAATGTGTTTGGTTGACAATCCAGAGAAGTTGGTTTGCTATTTTCATCTACATACAAAGGACAATCTTTCACACACACTGTTCTATTGAAGTAATCTCCAAAAGGTATTGCGAAATACAAATAAGGGTAATCCGCATTTGTGTCAAATCCACAGGCAACACCTTTCATTAAATATTTCACATTCTTTACCATTTGGATCGTACATAGCAAGAAGTCTGTTTGGTTCTCCTTTTGAATAAGCTTCTTTAGAGATGACTCTACTTTCAATATATTAAATACATCAGAATAGCCATCCCAGCTATAAAAAGTAGTAAACAAAGTATATCAGTACAGCCTCTATCTGCCAAAGGTCCAGCAATAAGTCGAGGATCTATTTATTTCTAATTCCCTTATTGTTCTGGTATTGTTGTGAAAGCCTTCTATGAGATCTCTGGGCTTGAAGTAACCACCTGAACTTAATTGGCAGGCTAAACTTTATTATTTTTTCTCATTTATTAATAAAAATTTCAAAGTAAATAATATTAATTTTCAACTTTATTAAAATCACTATTAAGCAATATCCAATCCTTTTTTTATTCTAATTAATTTCAAGGAATTCTAAATAGTAAAATTGTTTCTTCCCTCTGAATTTATTAGATTTTAAAAGTAAATAACCTGTTAGAGTATATAATTCATACGAATTAAGGTGGTATTTATTTTTTATTAAAACACATTTGAATTGACTATAACAATAATTAGAATAATATTGCAATAATTAAAGTATATTAAATTTAGATGCTAAGTAATAATTTTTAAGTGTATTAAAAACCAAAAAATGAATTTGATGTTACTTATGAAGATTAAGTTAAATAAAGAAAGCAGAGACTATGGGCTGGGAAGCCAGTGCCTTAATAATAAGATAATTCAGATGATGACATATTTGATTTACCTAAGCAATAGGAGAAGGTTGAGATTAAAGAGGCTGAGTAAGAGGTTTAAAGGAATCCTTAAGAAACTGTTTAAACATTTCAAAAAGTTGAAAATGATAATTATCAAATAGAAGTTGTTGATGAAGAAGCAGCTATGATGAGAAGGAGAAGAGTAATTTAATCAAGATTAGCAGAAGAATAATAATTGTTGTAATAAGAGTAATAACACAATCAAGAATAAAAGAGGGAGAAAAAGCAAAAGGAAAAAAAAAAAGAGAAAAAACACAAAAAGAAGAAGGATGACATCGTTTACAAGAATGATTAAGATGATTAATAAGAGGAAGAAGAGTTTCAAGAGTAATAGAAGGAAGTTGAATTGCTTAAGCCAGTATTCGTTTCCAGAGTGTAAAGAGACTAATTAGACAAAATAGAGGAGGAGGAGATTAGATTAAAGGAGGAGAAAGCTAAGAACCTTGAGAGAATGAGATTAGAAAACAAAATTTTAATTTTAAATTCAGTCAAAGCTGATGCTGCAAAAGCAGTCAATGAAGATAGTGATGATGGACAATAAAAATTAAATGATGAGGATACATTGGATGAAACTGAATATGCATTATGGAAAATACGAGAACTAAAAAGAATCAAGTAATTTAATGATGAGAAAAATAAATACCAGATAGAGAAGGCTGAAATAGAGAGGAGAAGAAATTTAACAGATATGCAGAGAATTCAAGAAGATTTCAAATTGGGTTCTGACAAAACCAAAATGGAGGATAAAACTAAGTATGTTTTCATGTAGAAATATTACAACACAGGAGCCTTTTATAAGGATATGGATGATCCCATATTCTAGAGAGATTACAACTTACCAGTGGGCGAAGATTTATGGGTATGTTGATATTTCTATTATTTCTAGAGAAAGGATAATCTACCATAGATCTTACAGAAGAGAAGAGGAGAATTCGGAAAGAAAGGAAACTCTAAATATACTCATTTGACTCAAGAAGACACCACCAATTTTGATCCAACATATTAAGTTGATTAAAATATCAGACAAAAGTTCTTAAATCAATAAGGCGGTTCAAAGTCCTCACATAATTTCTTGAATTAGTTTAAATAAAGTTGATTATTTAATATGTTTAACATTTGAAAAAGTATGATAGACAATTATAAAATTAAGAAAAAAAAAATAATCTTCATTTGATTTTCTGATTATTAATTGCTTTGCTTCTTAATAACTACTGAATGGTTTCTAATTTTAACGGGAAAGCTATATTATATATATATGATTAGATACAGGGCTACGGATATTGTTGTTCAGTGTTAGTTCTTGGTCTATTTTGTGGAGTTTTGTTTTGATGCAATTGCTACTATCGCTACTTTTAGGCATTGAGATAGGATGAATCAGGAGATCTATTATTAACTCTATAACTAATAGGCGTGTAAGAATTCTATTATTCAGTCATTACTTATCTCTCAGTTCTGCAGGCATCTGACAGCAAGGACTTTAATTATGTATTGTTATTATTGGTTGGGCTTTGTTGTTTAATCATATTAGTTAGATTGCATTTGATATTGTTATTCTTGTATGGCTGCAATTGAAAAGTCATGACACTGTTGATGATATCCGAGGTGGTATCTGTATTTAGATTACTGGTGTTGCATGGGTTGGATTACTTTTTTAAATAGACACTGAAATCAAAATCTGCTTAGTTCTACTATTTGGCTAGGTTTCTCTAATTAGTGGGTGAGGAATCAGAACCTCTTTTTTTATTAATCATTTATTCTAAGAGATTGGTTTGAATTTTGACTGTATCACCAATAAGATTTTTAACTGATTATTGTTGTGTCTATTTGGGAGGTGATCTGGAATTAAGAAATGACTTAATGAAATTGCCAGTGAGTTTGGGAGATTGATCTTGTTTTTCAAATTTGGAATGGGGAAGTTCTTTATTGATTTATATTTGCAACATTTTGCCTTTAACTTTTGACTGTTCTTGCTCTTCTATTATTTTTTCAGAGGCATTCGATTGCAAGGATTCTTCTCTGATAACATCTAGATTAATATTGTAATGTTTATGGTAACTTGTAATTAAGTGAGATATGTATGGTGATTGAAAAGCGATGTGTCTACATGCTATTTCGATTGATTTAAGATGGTATAGTTCACTGAGTTTGAATTCTTCAGTGTCTATTTTATCATCTTTAACCCCATGTTGTTTAGCCTTTTCTAATTCAACAAACCTCAATTCAGTTGCAATAGTGAAGTAAGAGATTGATAGATAGATGACCTTTTCCAATAGTTATCGTTTAGCCAATTCAAAAATCATTTCTCCAAATTAAGTGAAATCCTCATAAATTTAAGGAGCCATGTGCATAATGGACCCAATATTAAAGTTCTTGATCCAATCAGCCAAGTTTTGAATACCCAACAAAGATCGATATTCTTCATTCTAAGTGACTAACTTTAATTCTTTTCTGACTGACTTTTCATTATTCTCTGGGTTGTTTCTCCAATTGTACAGTTATCGTTTTGTTTCTCTGAGTAATTGTTTCTAATCGATTCGAATAGAGGATAAGTCTTCTTGCTTAATCATGTCCTTCAATACATCTGAGGCACTGTCAATGACAAGTCTACCAAATTCAATTTCATCTTTGAGTTGATAAGTTTAGCCCTTCTTCTTTTTATCCAGATTGTGAGATGAGTCATCTAGAAAATAAGGATGTGTGACATACTTCTCATTGACACTATAGATTGGGAGGTCGTAGCAGTTTCTTGGGAGCCATTAACCTAGAGCCACTATTGATAGAAAGAATTGGCTATCTTAAATAACTCTCTCATGGTTTGAGCTGCTTTTTGAGAATTAATCAAAGCTTACTTATGTCTATGTATAAATGCTAAATTACTTTCCTAATTGACTCAGTATTGCAGTATATTGTAAATAGGCTTTAACCAAAAAGGCCTATCTCTTGATGAGTTAGGCTTGTTTCTCCTGCACATTGGCAAGAGTTTGCAAATCCTGCTCATCTTCTTTGATGCCAATTTCCATATTGTAGATCACTCCATCCAGGTACTTAGAACATTTATCAAGGATCCATTGACTAAAAATGAGAAAGCGAAGGATACCACTAATAAGCACATGCTTGGTTGTACAGGATAATAATGATTAAGTTCCTATCAATTACTCTACCACAGCTGGCAGCAAACTAAAAGTATGTAAATTGGTGATACTTCAAGCATCTGTTCGGATTGTTGCAATAATTTCAATGCCTCTTTGTGTTTTTGTTGTTTAATTTTAGCAGTGGCCTATTCATTCAGAAGATGAATTTGCTGCATGAAGGAATCTAGGATTTCTATCATTTTGAATTTACCTTAGTTATTGAACAACTATTTTAGATTACTCGATTGAGTGTACTCTTATAAGTCCTCGTCATCTTCTTCATCATAAGATTCCTCTTCTGGTTATTGTTCTTACTTGGAGTTATTTGAAATTGTTTGTTAATTATTCATTAATAAAATAATAATGGATTAAAAGAAGGACATTATTCTCAAGAAAATTGCTGAGAATGAGGAAACCACCATCTAAAAGTTGCCCCCCCAGATTAGACTGCCCATCCCTTTGAAACACAAAGTCCAATGCGGTGGAGGCACATTTGAAATTTACACTCATTATGAGTTATAGCGCAACATTGGAAATGGAGCCTTTGGTTTTGTTTGCTCAGGGAAGGACAAATTGAACAACATAGACGTAGCCATTAAGAAGGTATCATTCTCAATTTATCTCTAGATTGCAATGGTCTTCAGAGATTTGCTGGATGCCAAAAAGGTGCTCAGAGAAATAAAACTATTGAGTATATTGTAACCTTTAAACTTAGAGTTCTTCGATAATCCCAATATAGTTAAATTATTGGACATCATCGTTCCCGACGATTAGGACACCTATAAGGATTTGTACTTGGTGTTTCAACTCATGCATCTGGATTTAGAAAAGGTCATCCAATCTCCTCAACCTTTAACTGACAAGAAGATCAATTGGTGCATGTATCAAATCATCAGTGGCTTATATTATATGCATTCAGCCAACATCATCCACAGAGATCTCAAACCAAATAATATATTTATAAATGCGAATTGCCATATAAAAATTGGCGATTTGAATCTAGCTAGAAAATAAGAAGTAGAAAACGCCTCAATTCAAACTGATTATGTCGTTCAAAGATGGTATCGAGCACCAGAGGTTTTGCTCTCTTCCAGTGAGTATACCAAAGCCATAGACATCTGGTCTCTGGGCTGCATTTTGGGTGAACTCTTAGGAAGAACCATTTTGTTCAAAGGCATGCATCACTAGGAATAAATTGAAAAAATCGTTGCTGTCCTAGGGAAACCCAAGTAGGAAGACTTGCCATATGAAATTGACGAATAATCTACTGAGTTCCTATAGCAATTACCAGAAAGAGAAGCCATCAAATGGGCTGATTTTTTTCCCTTTGCCTCTCCTTTAGCTCTGGATTTGCTAGAACATATGTTAGTAATTAAATTCTATTTACATTTATTAAGGTCTATAATCCGAATAAGAGATATACAATCTAATAGTGTATCGAGCATCCCTATTTTAAGCAACATTACATAGACCACCCACCTCAAGTTTGTCAGGAATCCTTCGATTGGTCTTTCGACGATATTGAACTTAAGGAGCACGCCTTGCGAAAAGCTTTGTATTAAGAGGCACTTGAGTTCTTAAAGCCAAAAAAATGATAGTAATATTGATTTTTATACTTAAATCAAGTAAAAAATTTTCTCTACAAATGCAATTAAGGAAAGGCTTGCATCATGTTTATTTTTTTAGGCGAAACTTTTTGTTCCTTTATAAAGAAGTTATTCGCAAATGTGAATGCACACTCATCTCGAGTACTTGGTGAACTTTACTTAGATTCAATTTGAGGCAGCATAGAACGTTTGTAATTTTGAGAGATTGATTGTTTATCTAAAAAATATCCGTAGTCATCTGCAATATTCTATTTCTCATGAGGTTACAGTAAACTACGTGAATTTCTTTGAGACAAAATGAGCTCTGGTATCTCCTTTCTTTGTCTCATCCTCGTATCAATTATTTTCTGTTTCTAATTTATTGTTAATCGAAGTCTTTCATTCTCAGAGATTATCCTCTTGATCTATTCAATCGGATCTACTTTTTTGATTGTAACTAATTATTTTTGTGAACTGCTGTTGAAGAAGTTGAATCGATTTTTTGTTTCATCTTCACAAGGCGATATCAAACCTTATAGGACATTATTTTCTCGAGATTCCCTGACATTTGTCGACGGAGTAACTAGGGCATCTGTCAATATTCTGTCTACAATAAGCAAAATTCTACATACCAGGCAATTGATGAGTCTTTTTTAATTTAAGTCCAGCCTTTTTTTTTAATATTATTTTTTAGCCCTGATCCTTGTTTTTTAAGTCCATATCTGATCTTAGAAGTTTAATTTTATATTAAAATTAATTATGCTAATCACTGATAATTTTGATACTACAAACACAATCTAAAATAATAAGATCTTCATATCATAATTTGTATGTCTATATTACTATATTATATCAATTGTTGAAATTACTCAATGAAAACTTAAATTCTTGTATGAAATCAAAAGAATAATTCCCATTTAAATTAATCTAACCTTAAAAATTAAAAAGTTATATAATATCTATAAATAGAATCAGAAAATTGAGATTATTGCTCGAAGATCATTTACCAATCATAAATGGTTTTGGCCTAATAATGAATGATATTGTATTAGCAACTATAATTATGACGTCAAATATATCATCATGTAATTTCTATTCTAAATTTAAATTTAGTTTTGTAATATTTACAACTTTCATAAATTTATAGGCAACAATTTATGTCAGAAATGTATTATCTAGGAAGATAGAATTAGATAGTAAATTAAACTCTTAAAAGTTTAAGGATTATCAAATGATCACAGTAACTAAATGAAGATAAAATAAATTGGTTAAAAATATCTATAGATATGTATTAAACAATTCAAGTTAATTTTGATTAGTTTAGAATTTGATTTATCAAAAAATTTGGCATTTCACACATGCCTCAGGTTAGTTCTCATATCTATTATTTTTAATTTCCTCTTATTTGAATAAGGGATGTTATCTTTTATTAATTTTATTTTGATCATCAATCAAATCCAAGGAGGCCATTGATTCATACTAAAGGGATTTTGCTTTTTATTTACTTTATTAGCAGATCATACTTTCAGTTGAGAGGGATTTACTTTTAATGATTTCAAATAAATTGTCTCTATACTCGTCAATTAAGTTCAACAAGATTATGTATTTATGAATTTAGCATGATATTTTAATAAATGTTTAATCATTAATAATACCTAAAAATTTCTCATTCAATTGATTAAAGTGGTCATTATTTTTAATTTATGATTATTGAAACTAATATTGCAGATTCTCTATCTCATTTTCTAAAATCTGAGATAATCTGAAAATGTAGATTTTTTCAAATTCATTTTCTGTATAGTTCTCAACATCCTTAACATCGTTGAGTTCTGATAAATCATTTAATTACTATAGAATCAGTTATTTGATTCGTTTGATATTACTAAAAATCGTTAGAAATAGTTACTGCTTGCTTTCTTGATAAATTAAGGGGGCTTACTTTTTTTTTAGAATTGATGGAATTTAGAAAAAGATGTCCAATTAAAGCTTAAGATCCTGCAGAGCATTACTAATAGACTGCAACTTAAAGATATTGTAATTGAATACTTCCATAATTTTGTGAGAGTAGTTTCTAATGATTTTGGGATCGACATTTCCTATTTCCTATTTTATTTGATCGACAATTAACTAAACATGAATTAGTAGATGATACATCGATATCATGTTGATAATCGCATTGGGGAGTTTGGAATTTTGGTTATTATTGATCAACATTCTCAAAAAGCCTTTAAGTTAGCAATATAACTTTAGGAATCATTAATTATGTAATACAATAATTTTTATGTAATATCATAGATTGTATTTTTTTTTTTAATTGCTTGATAATTCCTTCTCCATTCCTTTCGGTCTTACTATGACATCTTGACCCTACAAAACACTTTTCATAATTTATTCATCCAAGACATATTAATGTTTGAAGAACATGGTTTTGGTGGTACTACCCAATTTATACTTGAACATCGGTATTCTCAATGAAGGATGAATGAAATAGGAAAAGCCTCTAAAATGTTCAATATCAATGGAAAATGTTCTGCTATTCAATCCAAAGAGTGAATATGAATCCATCACTATTGATTTACCATTTGGTGACAGCCACAAATTAAAAAGAGTTTTATTTGTTTTCCAATAAAAAAATACCATTCCTATTCCAAGAGCTGCCATTATGATTATCGAATTTTCCATTCCAGACCTATAGGAAGCAGCAGTTAAATCTTATATATACATTGAAAGTAGAAATACCATTTAATGCATATTATGAATTTTCTTTATCTTGCATATATGAATAGGCATTATATCCAATCAGTCCTAAGTAAAATGCATTTAAAATTTTGATGTTTCTTCCTTCAGTTGATTTGTAGATGCTTAATAGATCTCCATTGGGAAATTTGGATGGATCAATATAGACACTAAATTTATTGATTATTTTATAAATCATTAAAAAAGATGGTTGTATTAAATTTAATATTTCTGTATTTCATGATAAATATATGCAGTATACAATGTGATTTGAAATGAGTACATGAACATCGATAAATAAATGATGATCATAATTTGTGTGTAAATACTAATAAATTACATTAGATATCTAAATTATACATAATTAATTGTTTAATTTTCAAAATTTACTCTTCGTAAAATGTCTCAAAAAGCGTATCAAAGTATTATGGATGCCAACATTTCAGCTACTTAATTGTTATAGGAAGGTAAACAAGAATAAAATCAAAAATAGAAAAGTACAATTAAGGATATTAAATATTGAGGAGAATTGAAACTACTTTGAAACAAGAAAAGGAAGCTCCTACTATTCCATTATCATAAATTAATCATCTTCTCTCTGTGGTAACCAACAACATTGGTTGTTTTTATTATATGTAAATTTCATTGATTTTAGTAACAGGGTTGACAAATTTCAAGCAGCTGAGAAATATCTCAAATAATCGATTGAATATTTACAATTATCCATTCCAGATGAAACCTTGCTTATCACTTTAATTAACTTAGTTATTCTCTTTATCAAAAATGAAAAATACTAAGAAGCTAGCAGATACATCGAATAGAGTTTTACTGAATTGAATTAATTGCAAGATCAATAACTCAATCCCAAAATTAGATTATTCTTGGGAGATCATTCCTCCATTATGACCTTACAATCATTAGAAGCCATCTTACTCTTCTATAGCGGATTGACATTTTATGAACTAGGATAATCTAGCAATGCTCTCTAAGCATGGAAAAAAGTGCTTGACATTTTACAAACGAACACCAAATCCCCTTATTACATTTTGACCAAATCAAAAATTCAAAATTTAGAAGCTGAAAATGTAGCCAAGAATAATAAAGGGAATCTATATTCCAGTCGATCACATCTTAAGTCAGATAGAATCAATAAAATCCTAGAGTAGTATTCTAAAGATAATGAAAAATAATAAAATCAACAAAGTTTTCGTTTATTGAGTTAGAAAATCAAAAAAAAAGTAAATTGAATAATATAAAAAGATAGGTAATGAAATTGGTGATTATCAATAACCTAAATGGCAGAATAAAATTGAACACAATGAAAAGAAAATTGAAATCAATAATTACTTTAGTGATCAAAAGAAAATACAATTGCAAATTAATGTCAAAGACCTTTTGCATCAGAAATCAATTACTTAGAGAGATAAAACTAGAGACTTGCCTCTCAGCTCACATTCTTCCAGTGTCAATTAACAACTTAACAAAGCATTAAAAAAGAGGCCAACATAACACATTGAAATTATTGAAAAGTTGAACAAAACACACAATGAAATCTATAAAAGCTATTTAGCTCAAAGAAGTAATAACGGAAGCAAAACCTAACGTGGAGATTCTAGTATGTATTTATTTTCAATTAGATATTGATATCAGAATCAAAGTAAATGACAAAAGTAATCATTCTTAGAATACCATTCTACATAACAAAAGTCATGATAAAAAGTCTGTTGATCTTAGAGAATCACCTGAATTATGTGGAAGCCCCTAACAGTTTTTTAATATGCTCTAATCTACCTAAAGTGTAATCAAAAGCCAATTAATGAGATCTGGCAGTTAAGGAAGTGTTTCATAAACATCTCCCTTTAGACTAGCATAAAGTTAGGGAGAATAACCCAAAAATACAAATAAATTACCTTATGATTATGCCAAGACTCATAGACCTATGGTTGATACTTATGATAAAGCCATTAAAGAATTATATTAGAATTAATATGTCCAAATTGAAAACAAAAAATTCAATCGAATTTATGATTTGGCTTAAAGTGTTAAAAATAGAATATCGACTATTAATACAATGCTAGTCCAATAAGAAAAAACTTAACAAATCCTTTAAAAACAATTTCAATAAGAGTTCAATTAATCATAAGATGAAGACAGTTGTGAGACTATCATAAGCATGGACTGAATTAAGTAATATATATCCACTATTAAATATTAAATTGCAATCATTTCCTTACTTTAATTTAATATGATAAAAATTTATAATTGTTATTAGTCTAGTTCCCTTACTTTTTTATCTATTAGTATTTTTATAAAATTAAACTGAAAAAATAGATACATGCATCAAAATGATTAACAATTTTATTTCAATAGGGACCTAATGATAGAAAATTATGGATAGAATTTAAACAAATCCGAAAAATGAAAAATGCAGAAAAATTAATAATTAATTTTCAAAATTTGAAGATAAAGAATTTTAGTATAACCTAAACTTCTTCTTCTTTAGCTTAGAAATATCAAGTTAATGTATTCAAATATTTTTATATGAAAGATTAAAATAATCTTAAATATTTCTGGGATTTTTCATTACATTTTATCATTGTTTTTTCTATTTAATTCTTAGGATTACAGGGCTTTTGAAATATATACAATACCTACAGAATTATATTAATTATTGTGCAATATTATTATGTATAGAGTTAGTTATGGATGAAGGTAAAATTGATAAAATGATATATGGACCTGCACTAAATTTAGATGAGTGATAATCTGAATAAATTATAATTATTAACAAATATCTCTTGCCTAAAAAATTAAAGGGTATTTCTAAAAGTAGAAGAGAGTTAAATTCAAGTCTTTCTATGATCCCAATAATTAATTTAATGAATTAACAATAGGAAATAAGTGCCAAAGAAAACAGTGCCGATTTTTCTACTACATAATAGGAGTGTCGAAATGGACATGCTGCTGAGCATTAACTGTCAAAAAAAGAATAATTCTTACTTAAGTGCACTAAACATCAAGACATTATGATTTATAAAAAGAGATATCAAGTTGGTGATAGTATATTAATAAAAACAACTAATCAAATTGAACAGATTGGCTTGATTCTAAACTTTTATGGTTATCACCAAGACGATAAGACAATAGTTCCTTTAGTTGAAGTTTAATGGTAAAATGTAATTTTCTCATTTTAGGTATTGTACTTATTAAGACCTTGCAGATTCAATTGATAAAGACTCCTTTTCTGAATGTGAATTGTTCTTAACTGAGCAGACCACTATCATATTCGTAGATTGTATCTAAGCGAAATGTTTTGTAATGAATATTGATGAATTTGAAAACACAGGAACTTAGAATGCCTATTTTACTAGATCCAAATACAACACTTTGACTAAACAATTAGAGCCACCAATTTCCTAATGGAAAAAAGTTTGTATTTGTGAATAGCCTCAAAATCCTGTAAATTATTTTATTATTATAATCAGGATTTATTGTACATCTAATGCGATCAATGCAACAAGTGGTTTCATTTATCATGTATGGGATTAACATAAGAATAAGCCAATTAGATGGAACAATATAGTTGCAAAATATGTAAAAAATGAGTGTATATTTTTATTCATATTATAAACTTGTTCATTAATTTATTTGCGTTAACATTATTGATAATGGACTTTATTTGATCCATCTTCTTTATTGCTTAGATTGCTTTAATAGGATTGCTTTTTTGATTTTAAATTAAATTCTTTTAAACCGAAATGCTTTCTCCATATAATGAATTTAATTTGGCTAAGATTAATAGGAACAACAGTCATACCTTCAGTCTCACTAATAACTGATTCATCCATAAATAACTGATTATCTAATTCATCAGGAAACTTTTTATTCCTTCTCAGAATCCTTTTCATAGATGTTTAGGGTCTCCCACAATACTCTTTAAGTTTACCAACTCTTTCACTTGCTAAACTAATAAATGATTAATAATCACTTTTCTTACTTGTAATTGTCTAAATTCCCTAATTTTTCAGTCAATTTCGATATCTATTAAGTAGGTAAGAGTGGTATTTAATTCAAAATGTAATCTGAAGAGGCTCTAAAGGACTAGATTCATTAAATTTAAATCATTTAGTACTTTAAGATGGTTGCTGTAAATCAGCTACGGTTATATATTCTATTATTTTAGTTTGGATAGTTTAAAGCCTATTTGGTTGTCTGATTTTTATCTAAGATTATTGAAAGAAGTACTTAATAATTGCAATCTGTTTTGCTCTAATCTTAATTTTATTGTTGAATTCTTGTATTCATCAAATTATATAAATACTTTATTAATTTTAAGATTCTATGTCATTTGATATATTTCTACTTTTTATTTCTTCTCTGAATTATGTCAATATTAAATTTAAATGGTTGAGTCTCTTCTCATTTTAGTATTGCTGTATTTATTTTGGATTCTCCTTTTTACAAAATGGTTGATCCTCATAGTTGTCATCAACTTCTTGAATATATTGTTTAATCTCATTTAACTCTAATTAATTTTTTATGTCGGAACTTGTCTTCCTATTTAGGGATGGCTAAGTAAAATTAATGCTAAACTAACTCTGATGTGACATGAATTTGTTTTTCTAAACTTTTCAATCGTAATGTAAGGTTAAGTGTCAATAATTTCCTCATGAGCTTTATTGATTTGAATCCAATATTTTTTATTTGTACTTTATCTTTAAGTGTGCTGGGAAGTTCCTCTGTTTAAATAAGACGAATCTATACGACTAGTGGGTCTGTTAGTAGTTAGAGCTGACTCAGAAGTTAGTTTATTTGATTTCAGCATATAAATAAATAAATTCACAAATAGTAATTCCTCTTCACTAAATATGGTTTATTATGACTGCTTAAGTTGCTCAACATACTGTTTTTTTGATTGCTGTCAAAACATTCATTTGAAAAGTACTTACTATGCTGCACCATATTATTAGTTGGAGTTTGGATAGTTGAGAAATTGAACTAAGTATTATTATTAATTGGATTCGAATTGTTTACTTGAGTTTTACTACAACCCAGATTTCTAATGACCAAATTTTCTAGATGATCAAGAGATATCAATATTGTATTGGTCGAGATCTCATTTACTTAAATTTTATTTAAATCAGAAGCTGATAATTTAACTACTATGTCTTCAATCTTCTTAAAAATTTTAATTAATTAGGAAGTAAAGTCAGATATTATGCTAAAATAAAGAAGATGATTTACTTCTCATAATATTCCACATCTACTTAAACTCTAAGTTATAATGTGTTATACTTTTATTAAATTTGAATTGCATTTTACAACTCATTTGTTTATCTTAAATATTAATCATTTAAATCTTAGTTGATTTCATTTTGCTCTATGACTTACTGCTGTAATAATTCCATTTATTCCACTTATTCTTATCTTTCCAATTAAAGTTTATCCAGATTTTAACTTAATTCTTATAATTGCCGATTTAGATGAACTTCCTTTTCTATAAGACAGGAATTTTATTAGAGTAGTGTTTAGTTCTATTATGTGATTGTTATTAGTTATTTATTATATGATTCAATCTGTTATAATTAATTACTTTATTTCTCCTAATACTCTCCTAATTTCTGATGTAACATCAATTACTGCTAAAAATCTGAGAGAGTTTATTTATTGATTCGAATCATCTAATCTAAACCTTATTATTACTTCTGAATAAGGTTGGTATTTCTTGATGATTTTAAATTGCTATCAAATTCACAAACACTATGATTATCTTAAATCTGTGTAAATTGAAGTTAACTTTGCTTGTCATCAGACTGTCTAATTACCATTTGGATTTAAGATGCACTGTCATTAAATTTTCTACTTAAATCCTTATTTTACTATTCATAATCTTATAATTATCGTTGAAGTGTAGTAATCTATTATTGATATGTCATAATTTCATCCTACAATAAACTTTTACTCTTATTTTACATCTCACTAATTTCTTTGATGAAGTCCTCTTTCTCCATCACTTCAACATTGTATTATTCAATTTATTTTTACAATTGTAAAATCATAACTTTCATCTCTTTTTATTTTATATCCTAATGATCATTTTACTACTTTAATTGTTCAGCAATGTCTTTCTACTTATCAACATAATCTAGCAATGATTCTTTTTCTTGTTCTAATTAATTGATTGTTTAGTTGGCTAATGTGAGTTTTGAAATTGCTTGTTGAATTGTTGTACTTAATTCTTGATTCTATCGTTAATATTCAGAATAGTCAATTTATTCATTAACATTGTTTTAATAGTTTTAAATAATGCCCTACAACTCTTAGATCTATTTTTCATAATGCTCTTTCTGTTTTTTTAATTCCATGTAAAAGTCAACGCATTTTCCATTATTTTATTTGATAACAAAAACTCCACAATTAAACAATTGTTTTTCCAACTCCAACTTCAATAGGTTATTGTAAATAGCCAATTATTCATAACTCTAGTGATCACTTTCAACTGATTGGTTTTGATTACTATGATGTGTCGACTGAGTTGATTGTAATGGAACATATTATTATTTCAATTTATTCCAATATGAAGTAGGTTGACTCGGTGATTTCTTCTTAGTGTAATTTTTGGGAGGGAGGCTGCTATTGTGATATTTGTAAATAAAATTTGAATCTTGTTGCTATTATTTTTTGTCCATGTTAACTACTTAATTTTGACCAGATGAAGCAAAAGTGTATTCTCTATTTGAATAATGCATACTCTATGGTTTTTATTATTATTATGAGACATCTAAAGCTTAACAATAATTGTCAATATAATTTAAATTCATTAATATTTTATATTAACTCAAATATCATCATAAGCATTCTTGACCCCCTGTTTGAAAGTATTAAATAATGTTGAAAATGTTCTATCAGTTTTGTTATATTCATCTCTCAAAGGCAAGAATAGCTTATGATGCAAAGAGAAGTAATATGCTTGATCTAAGTTTATTGCAAAATAAAATCCTGCTGTAAATCCAATTAATAAGTATCCAACTTACAACCTATTTATCATTAATATTTTTATTAAAATTAATAATGGTTTTTAGACTATTCTAAATTGTCATTCATTAAAATATGATTTAATAATATATACTTTTATTTTAATACTCTTTATATACTAAATATATATTTATGTGTTGTATATCAAGTTTTAGATCAAAATACTTTGTTTTTGTTTCAATCGTACTTTAAGTTTCTTTTTAATGCATTCTAACTCAACATAATCACTTTCCTGTATCATTTCTACCAATTTAGCTTAACTTGTATTATTGAAAATAGATTGATATTAGCAAAGTGAATTATGAACGTCTAAATTAAGAGGGGCTGTTTAAAAACTACTAAATTTTCTCATATGTGCTTTAATAATAATATGAGGCCATATTTTTGCTTAATTATTTGATTTTCCAATTATACACCATATCAAATAAAGTTGAAATGCTCAATTCGATGATTAAAAAACATCAGAAAGCAGCTGCCATTTGTGACTTGATTAATATTTCTTGCTTGCTTGTATAAATGTTCAATAAATTATGACATTTTTAATTAAATTTATAATCATTATTTTAATCTATTAATAAAGCTTTGTCTTCTAAATTCTTTAAACAGTTTTCTATCTTTTCTTCCTTTCAAAAATCTAGCAATAACTTTACAAGCCATGTATTTCTCCACTTAAAGTTCCCACTATTTGCTATACTTTTGTTTGTTCTCAGTCAATTTTTGAATTATCTAGTTAGCATGCTATTCTTTATTATTTAAATCCTTAAATTTATTGATTTTATGATTACCTCTATTATCTATTATTATCTACTAAATTTTTCTTACAGTTACTTTAATGTGAGTTTTGCTTAAGACAATTCTTCTTATCTTTTAGTATTTACCTCAATCATAATTTTCTCCTTCTCCTTAGTATCTTATAAATCTTGAAACATTTTAGTAATTGGCTGGTTATTCTACAGCAAATACTTCTCTAAATCAGTTCTCATATTTATTAATTCTTATTTTCGTTCCTTTGCATTTTTAGCTTTATAAACTACTTATTTTTTAGTTTTGGATGCCTTTAATAAGCTTTCATTTGACTTAACTTTTTTACTATTTTCTTAAACTCTATCTAATTTAATTTCAGATTTTTTCTATTAGTTCTCTTATAGTTATTTCTATACCTTCGGAATATCATTTTATTTATCCTCTGCCTTATTGTCTTCATCCATTTCAAAATTTTCTTGTTCATATTCTTCATCATAATTCATATCTTTTTCATTATTTTTAATAGGTTTCTATTAAATTTACACTTCTTTTTTGGGATCATCCTATTATTCAATTTTATTTAAAAAGGACTATGATATAACTAAATTATTTTATAGAATTTCATTCATCCTTAATTATTCAATATTATCAAGTTTTTATTAGATCTCTTTCTGCTATTGTCTTAATATAGTTTGGTTTTATTTGATTGAAGTTTGAATTACATCAGACTTTTATTACCTAGATAGGAACCTTTCTAAATTCTATTTTTCAATAGATTCATATTTTTTATTATTAATAAAGAATTAATTATCTAAATCAGCTTCATCCCAATCAAAAATACCGGCATTTTTAATTAATTCTTGGTTTTATTGCTATATATTATTGTTATTCTGAATATCCATTTGTTATTTTGTAATTTATTATTGTGAATGGTTTCCAGATTTTTTAAGAATGGTTTGCTGTTATTAAGGAAAGTAGCAATTCGATTGAATGCTAGGAGCTGCTGTTGCAAATCCTTGATTTTTATCAAATTTCACAGATTTAGCAGATGTATTTTATGGAAGGAGTTGTTTCTGTGTATATTGTTTGGAATTCAACCCAATCAGCTACTAATTCTATTCCCTTTAACCTTAATCTGTCATTTATCTCTAAGAACTCCATGGTCTCACAATGTTTTTCTAATTTTTCTTATCATCATCTTTTCCCTACTATTGATTGAGATAAGTATTCTTTTATTATGCACTTGGTTTCTAAGCTTGTGGAGGAATATTTTCAAATATGGCGTCGTTGAAATCAAAATTTATCGAAGGTTTCAATAATTGTTTCATAAATTAATTTTCATTATTTATAATAAATCATTATATCATCAACTGAGAAGTTGACATAACATGGATCTGTTTAATTATTAGTTCTTAATGGTAATGTCATATTATTGTATTATAAATTGCACAAAATCTCAAAATACATAATATTTGTTAAGTCAACTTAAACTTCTAATAGCATGATATTAGGTAATTAGCATAGTATGTTTTCTTGAAAAATAGAAATATTTTTAATTACATTTCGGGTCATAAATGAAAAGAACCTTTTATAAATAGCATTATACATAATTCTTCATTATTTCTTTTAGTTAATTGAGGAATATTTTTTATACACAATCTTAGAGTTCCCTAAATCAAAAGAGAAATGATCCAAGATAGCCTAAGTTGACTCAATCTAAGTTGCTAAACAAAAGTTGTTGATTTCTTCTTCCAGATTATTATTCTAATAAATTACAAATTAAATATGTTCTTAGTTAATATATTATCAAAATACTTGTTTAATAGAAATTTTCATGCAAACAGCATATTGATAGTCTTATCGTATTAAAAATGAGTTAGAAAATTAATATAAACTAAATTAATATTATTTATATCTCATATTAAAAATATCAAATAATATAGAATGCTAAGAGTTACAATATTCATTTAACTGTTGATTAAAATATTTAACTTGCCATTATAGAAATATAACTAGATGAGCAAACTCATTTTGAGAATGAAGTTTAGAGATAGTACATTTTAGATTTTATTTACATAATAATATTTATTATGAATTTGTTAATCTAAGATAAAACAGAGCAATTCTCTATGCCTAATTTGAACTTCAGCATATGTCAAATGATCAACTAGGCGACACTTAAATAATAGTAGTCGTCGACAACTGAATTCTTGACTCCATCTAAGCATCGTTCAATGGAACAACTATTGAAATCGCCAGGAGTGTAGGAACTAATAAAGGATTCAATAAAGGCAGTTATAAAAAAGAAAAATTTTAGTCCAAAACTGTTTACATAGTATAAATATGATCAATTGGAGAGATCTGAAAGTCCAACTTAATAAATTTTCCCTAAAATAGAGAAAATCAATAATATTCATGTTCTTAAATAAATATAACATGTGAAGAAGAAGAAATGTAAGGATTTATAATTAAAAATCATAGCAAAAAATTAAGTAAACTCTCCAAAATCAAAGAAATCCAATCATTTAAAATATTAATAAGGGAGGTTCATGTAAATATTTCCATAGACAGATGGCGTATCCACATTGAACATTTCATCAAAGCCAATTCACATTATCTGTACTATCAATTATTTATGGTAGAAAGAAATAAATTTTAGGATTCCTTTTTGAATAACTCAATGGATAATAAGCTAGAAAAAGAAATCGTTTAGAAGATTCGATTGCAAATGGAAAAACACTCTACTTAAATTGAAACTGAAACTGTCAGAACGGCAAAGTAAGTTCGAAAAAATTCATAATTGATGAAAACTTCAAGGAATATCAAAATAGAGCCTATGGGAAATGTGCCAAGTGTTATGTAAGTGGCAAATGCAAATTCAACGACAACATAATTACCAAGTATCAAAAAGAAAAAATTAAAGAAATTTGATGGAATCTATTATTTTGATCCGAAATACCCATAGGATTTGATATTTTAAGAAAGATATGCCTCTATGAGACACTATTTCAATGTTATGAATTTATCTAATTGTCTTTTCGTTTAACCAAATTAAAATATTTACAAAGCATACGTTGGAAAAGGTAATAATGGAATGTTAGTCAGACAGATTTTAAAAACTAGATGGTGGTGGAGTATTTAGGATGAGCAAGAGTCTTCCCATTTTGTTTGGACTCAATTGAAAGTGAACTCAATACATGAAAATATGAAGGCTTTAAATCGTAATCCAAATGAATCAATGAGTTGTCAAAGTGCCTCATCGTCTCTAACAACAATAGGTTCTGTTAGTTTGGGCTTCTCAAAGTAGGATGAACAGAGTGAAAGTGAATTGATAAAAGTTGATGCAATACAAAAAATTAATAGTTAATGGAGTAAATTCCTTGCAAATGCAGAATTAAGACAATTCAGTACAATTCTTAATGGATAAGGTCGACAATCGAAATTATTAACTTTGGAATAGGCTCAAGCAGTTAAACCTAAACTCTCTGTATATAATGAACCTGTTAAAGCACATAATCACTTAGAGAACAATTTTCATTTAGGAAATAAGAAGGCTTTATTTTACAATATGAAGGCATATTATGAATCATAAAATTTGAATGTATTTGAAAATCTACCTGTTACCTATCATATCAAAAGTCTGGACGGGCCAGAATATCATCAATTTATGGAGGCATATAAAGAAAGATAATAGATGATCAATTAGGAAACTGATGAAAAGAACAAACGCAGAAATATTTGGATTATAAAGCCTGGGGAAATCACTAACAGAGGAAATGGAATCAAGGTATCTGAAGACATCAACGAAATTCAATCTATTTTGAACTCAAGAGAAATGCATAAGAATGGAAGCTATAAAACATTTATTGTGTAGCTGTATATTGATAGACCCTTGCTTTATAATAAACGCAAATTTGATATAAGGTGTTATAGTATGTATGTATCAATCAATGGAAATTAAAAAGGTTACTGGTACACTGAGGGATATGTCAGAACCTCGAGCAAAGAATTCACAATGAAAAATCTAACTAACAAAATGGTTCATTTAACTAATGATGCTGTATAGAAAAAAGGAGAAGATTATGGGAAATATGAGAAAGGCAATAAAGTTAGTTTTGAAGAATTTTCGGTTTATGTTGAGAATTTGGGAGGCGATTTTAATAAGATCTATGCAAAAATGAAAGTATTTATATCTCAGTTATGATTTATCTAGTAAATGGCAACTGAACAATTTAAGGCAGTGTATGGTAAAATAGATTAGAATAAGAGAGAGAACACTTTTGAAATATTTGGATTAGATTTTATGATTGATGATACTTTCAATGTTAAAATGATCGAGGCAAATACTAATCCTTCAATCGAAATTTGCTGTCCTTTACTATCAAAGTTGATACCTTAGATGCTGGACAATGCCTTCAAGTATTTATCATGCATAAGTGAAGAATTGCATTGGATCCAATCTTTCCACCTCCAAACTTCTACAATCCCAAAAAGATTATTTGTGAAAATTATCTTGACAACAAATTTGAATTGGTTTTTGATGAAATGACAGATGGACCTCTCATTACTCAATCTTAACCTAATTGTATCAATCATTTATAACAAATTTAGATGATATCGGATTAATTGAAGAAGAATCTGAAGAAGAAGAACCAGAATGATTAATATTAATATTATTTTAATGTAAATTACTTAATTTAGAGCTTACGATTATAGTTGATATTTTATTTTAGTGTAAAACAGAAAAAAAATAACAGGATTATGATGTTTATACTAAACAATTCAAGTTACCCTCCTTAAATTTTTATTAATAGATGAAGAAGGAATCCAAGTATTATTTAGGAAGTTTACTAGCACCATACTATTATGAACCTAATTCCTTTATTGAATTAGATCCTAATGACAAAGCATTTCTTTGTCCTCAATTGATTGATTTTAGCACTCCTATTGGCTCATTAAAAAATGAAAATATATCAACATACATTGTAACTAAAACCAAGTATTTCAAACAATCCACTTTGGTTCTGAAATAAAAGAAGATTGGAAAACAGGTTCATTACAAACCATTATAAATTCATGGAAGAATTTCTCATTGTTATGATGAAATCTGGTGGTTTTTATTGACAGTAGATTACGTTAAGGTAATTGCAAGATAAGTGAATTTCAAATATCCAGATAATTTAAGACAAATTCGATTGGATGTCTATTTGAAGTAGAATGCTCTAAATGATTAATTTGATCTATCTAAATTCAATTAAAAAGCATTCTAAGACGGCTTCGTGAGTAGAGAAAGATTTTCATATGCCGAATCAGAAGAGGATCTCAATGTAGACTTACAATACTTTGCTCGTTTATCCCTTCTACTCCTATTCGATTTGCTAAATCTCCAAAGAACAATACCAGCAATGATCAAATCAGACAAGTATGTTAAGATATTTTTTACTTAATTGGAGAAATTTCATTCCCTTCAAATGGGATAACCCCTTAGACTTGATCTTACTTTCAAAGATTTTGCAAGAGTGATCATTACAAACAATGAGTACTATAGGAATTCATTGTAAAATTCAGCATTTTCCAATAAATTATATTCTCTAAAAGACTTTAAGAGTTCTTGCTTGTTTTTATCAAAAAATAAATACTACACCAATGAAGAGTTGTAATTCACTCCAGTCCAATAGGAAGTACCTATTTACTAGAATGTTTACTTTAAAAAATACATGAATACTCTATTGCTTGAAATATAGAAATTTATATCTACATCTACCAAACATGTACCTTAACAAAAATAGCAGAACTATCAAAAGTATTGTTTTGAGTTGCTGTTCCTAAAACTGAGTTGCACTTATCAATCATTATGTCAAGGATTTCATACTCATCAAGCAAGCATTGATAAACTTAATGAGTTAAGATATAAGGTGGATAATATTGAATAATTGAGTGTAAAGACATTTCTGTCACTTAATGCTGAGAATTCCTCCTTATATAAAGAGATTTAAAACCCATTCATCTAGGTAATTGTGGGAGGGATAACTCATAAGAAAGACAAAGAATACTTTGAATTATAGATTTCTTCAGGAAATTTATGTGATTGTTAAAAATATTAGCAATCATTAAAATAGCTGGATATCAATAGAAGAGAACAAGTGTAAAAGATGATAGATTTTTGTACAGGTAAATTAAAATTGTCTGAGGAAATCAATGAGAATGAAATTAATTCATTTTTAAATAGTAAAGATTAAGAATTATATGAACACCCTAAACCTAAAACTATGGTTTGTGAATTGAAACAACATTAGAAATAAGCATTAACTTGGATGTTGTGGAGAGA